ACCCTCTGCTGCACACCACGCGACAACAGCCGGAGAATGAAGTAACGACACACGTCGTCGAGGACAAGTCCGCCGCAGTCACCGCATCGGCAAGGGAAAACGACAAGATCGCGTTCCTGAAGATCCTGCCGATACGAGTCACCGGTCCCACGGGAACGTGCGACACCTACGCGCTACTGGACGACGGGTCGACTTGCACCATCATCGAGACGACGGTGGCGGAGCGAATCGGTGCTACGGGTCCCCCCGCACCATTCTACATGGAAGGTGTGGCCGGGGCACGGATCAACGCAGCTCAATCGACGCGTGTTCACTTCAAGATCCGCGGGCGGAATTCACAAGAATACACAGTGGGGGCACGGACGATGGACAGACTGCAGTTATCACCGCAGTCGGTACCGCGCAGCGTCATCAAGGGCTGTCCACATCTACAAGACATAGAGAGGGAGTTGGTCTACGAAGAGGGCAAACCGACGGTACTGTTGGGGCAAGACAACTGGCACCTACTGCTGGCCCACGAAGTCAGAAGAGGATCCGACACGCAGCCGGTCGCATCACTCACCGACCTGGGATGGGTACTGCACGGTACGAGTCGCGGCAGGACAAGACAGCAGGTGCACAGAATCAGCCACATAGTGACGACACATGAAGAGGAACAATCAATGGAAGAAATGATGAAGCAACATTTCGCGCTCGAATCGCTGGGAATCGCACCGAAGAGGTCTTACAATGAAGAAGAACATCGCGCCCTACGCATTTTAGAAGAGAAAACTCGTCCGTTACCGGCGGGAGGATACGAGACGGGGTTACTATGGAAGAAGGACGACCCTGTGCCGCCGGACAACTACGAATCGGCAATGCGACGTCTCCAACTGGTCGAAAGGAAACTCGACAAGAATGAAGAAATTAAGAAGAGGTATGAACAACAAATGGACACGCTACTCAAGAACGGGTATGCTGAAGTCGCCCCGCCACGGAGTTCCCAACGGGTGTGGTACCTGCCACACTTCGCCGTCATCAACCCGCAGAAACCGGGGAAACTGCGGATCGTGCACGACGCAGCAGCCAAGACGAAGGGCATCAGTTTGAACGACATGCTGCTGCCGGACCCCGACTTACTTCAATCGCTACCGGGGGTCCTCATGCGGTTCCGGCAACGACGGGTGGCAGTCACGGCGGACATAAAGGACATGTTCATGCGGGTCACCATACGGGAAGAAGATAGGGACATGCAACGGTTCCTGTGGCGAGGAGATCGACGAGAGGGTCCACCTGTGGAATATAGGATGAAGAGTGTCATATTCGGCGCAACATCGTCACCGTGTACAGCGATCTACGTCAAGAACAAGAACGCAGAACAGTACAAGGAAGAGTTCCCGGAGGCAGCAACGGCGGTGGTCATAAACCACTACGTCGACGACTACCTCGCCAGCTTCGACACGGAAGAGCAAGCCGTACGCGTCTCAAGACAGGTCGCACAGATCCACGGTCGAGCCAACTACTATCTCCAACGGTGGGCGTCGAACTCGCATCAAGTGCGCGCCGCGTTCTCCGACACCGGCGGGGACAGCGTGGTACAACTCGACGCGGAGAAGATACTGGGGATGGTATGGCGACCTTCTGAAGACACCTTAGGCTTCAACTTCAACGGACACAAGCTTCCGCCACAGATAGCTAGCGGGGAACAGACGCCGACGAAGAGGGAAGCGCTACGAGCAATCATGTCGCTGTTCGATCCACTGGGCCTCGCCACTCCCATCACCATACAGGCGAAGAAGATATTGCAGGAGACGTGGCGTACCGGTATCGACTGGGACACCGAGCTGCAACCACGGGAAGCGGACGCCTGGCGGAGCTGGATGGACCACGTGCGACGGCTGTCCGCGCTGGAGGTGCCGCGGTGCTACCCGGAGGTAGCCACGGCCGATACAGCGGAGCTGCACACATTCGTCGACGCCAGCTCGGACGCGTACGCCTGTGCCGTGTACTGGCGGGCCGTAAGCGCGACCGGCGAGGTCCACGTGTCGCTGATCGCGGCAAAGGGACGAGTGGCCCCACTCAGCAAGGTGACCACGATACCGCGACTGGAGCTGCAAGCGGCCGTCCTCGGGTGTCGCCTATCGCGCACGGCAGTCGAAGAACACGACCTGAAGCCCGCTCGCCGAGTATATTGGTCGGACTCACGCACCGTGCTCGCATGGCTACGCACCGGTCCTCGCGCATACAAGCCGTTCGTCGCACACAGAGTCGCCGAGATCGTCGAAGAAACGAAGACGAACGAGTGGAGATGGATACCGACGCGACACAACGTAGCAGACGACGCCACACGCGACCCACCGACGGACTTCGGCTCGCAGCATAGATGGTTCCGTGGGCCGGACTTCCTGTACCTTCCCGAAGAGCAGTGGCCGCGTGAAGATAGTACGAGCGACGATAGTCAAACGGAAACGGGAGAAGAACGCGTACACAAGCTACAGAACGCGACGCAGTTGTCTATAGCATTACCCGATCCGTCACGTTTTTCTAATTGGTTAAAACTTGTTCGCAGTTCAGCACGGGTGTTGCAGTTCATCGACCTCCTGCGACCGACCAGTCAACGCTGCACCGCCATCCGAAAAAGAAACAAGAAGAAAGAGAGCGCCGACCCCACTTGGACCCGCACGAAGAAAGTCGATAGAGAGAAGATGAAGATGAAAATCAAGAACAGCAATAGTCCATCTGTGTGTTTCATCCCCATAGACACACACTACCTAGATCGCGCGCGACGGCTATGGATTCGCGCGATGCAACAAGAGGCGTTCGGCAACGAAATCGCAGCATTGAAACATGGAAAACAGCTGCCGTCATCCAGTCGACTCATACAGCTGTCGGTCGTCATAGACAACGACGACATTCTGCGACTTCGATCGAGAATAGCAGCCGCCGCCGATCTGTCAGCCGAGCAACGAGAGCCCCCGTCGTCGACGGAAACCACACCTGGGTGCGCCTATACATCGCATGGGTGCATCGGAAACTTCACCACGGCGGCTTCGAGATCACCACGAACGAGGTGCGACAACACTTGTGGGTGTTGCGCCTACGACACGCCGTCCGCAGTGAACTGAAGAGGTGTCAGCTGTGCCGCCTACGAAGAGCAAGACCGGCGCAGCCATCAACGGGCAACCATCCACATAGCAGGTTGGCGCATCATCAACGACCGTTCACGTTCACCGGCCTAGACTACTTCGGGCCTATGACCGTGACAGTGGGCCGCACTCACCAGAAACGATACGGAGTGCTCTTCACCTGCCTAACGACGCGCGCAGTCCACCTAGAAATCGCCGGCAGCCTCAGCACGGACTCCGCCATAATGGCCCTGCGGCGCTTCATAAGCCGCAGAGGGTGTCCCACGGAATTATGGTCCGACCAAGGCACCAACCTCAAAGGTGCTGACGTCGAACTGAAGAAAGCAGCCGAGGAAGCCATCCAAGAAGAGTCATCAGTTCATTTCATCCGGTGGCGCTACATTCCCCGAGCGCACCCTTCATGGGAGGTGCGTGGGAACGGCTGGTGCGTAGCGTGAAGACCGCACTAGCCGCTACGTTGAACGAGCGGGCGCCCAAGGAAGAAGTCCTCCACACTCTGCTGGTCGAGGTCGAGCACACCCTCAATAGTCGACCGCTAACCCACGTGTCAACATCGGCAGACGACGACAGCGCCCTAACCCCCAATCACTTCATATTGGGCGGTCCATCGCGCGTCCCACTGCCAGGCAGCTTCACAGAGAGCGACGCGGCGGGACACAAGGAGTGGCGTGCCAGCCAAAGGCTAGCTGACTGCTTCTGGAACCGGTGGGTGAAGGAGTACCTACCCGAGTTGCAACACCGGCGGGAGCCCCGAGCTACACACGGAGCCATCAAAATGGACGACCTGGTCCTGATAGCTGATGGGACCTTGCCTCGCAACACGTGGCCGCGAGGCGTGGTGGTGGCGACCTACCCTGGACCAGACGGCGAGATCCGAGCAGTCGACGTGCGGACGAACAAGGGCATCCTACGGCGACCCACTAAGAAGCTGATCATACTGCCCACATCGACATCGAGCGACGCGAACACGAGTTAACTCCAGCTACGAGAGCTGCGGCGGGAGATTATGTTCGCGACATTATTTGTATATATCGTAATTTATAGTTGTTAAGTCCTAGTTAATCGTTTTGTATTCTGTTATTTTATATAGATTTACATAGATTTAAGATAGTGTAAGTTAAATAAAGTATTCCTTTGCGTGTTGTCATTATTACCTACGAATAGAAATAGAAATTGTAACAATAAATAGAATTAAGAACTTGTAAATTGCAATAAATAAACGCTATAGAGTACCGATCTGAAGAGACACGCGTCTCGTTCTTTCTCGCCCCGTCCCGCTCGCGCAGATTCGCTAACGCGAGTTGGAAACGTTATCATGCGAGCGGGCGGGTATAAAGATAGGCCGCCTCTCGTCGAGCGGCATTCGCTTCCGGGCAGCGACGCACTACACTCGAGAAGAAATAGGACAAGAAGAAAAAATACTCTCTTCAGACGGTACCGGAGGCTTCAGAATAGTAATCCCTGTGTTTCACTCCAGCCTGAACCAACGCCCCTACAGTCCACGCTCACCGTACGGCAGTCCACACCGCACAATATTTAATTTTAAAAGTTCCTAAAAAATTGTTCTATTTTGTTTAATTTCTTTTTAATATAAGAAAGACATTTTTTAAAACTCTTAGGCAAATGAGCAGACAATCTATCTGATGAAAAGTGGCTACGATCACCCATAACCACCTGTAATACACAAGAAATTGCTTATGCATTGCATTTAAATGTGACAATTTTTTTTTTTAAATGCTTCATATTATATTGCAAGGGGAAAACTGGACGCGGAATCAAAGAATTATAAGTTGAACACTTATAATTCTTTGACAGCAGTATGAACATATAACCTACAGACAGGTTATAATTAAAAAACAACATGTAATGACTTACTTTGGAGATTTTATCAGTGCCATTTGTATTCTTGTGGTTGTAGAGCAGGGGACTATTGGCAGCGGTTTTCTCCTCAGCGCGCTTGGCCTCCTCCTCCCGCGCCAGTAACACCGACATGCGGAACTGCAATATCAATATACAATACTTTATAAATAAAAAAAAAAGTGAATTTAATCGTGAACAAACCAGCAAACTATTGGAGGAAGGGATTGCTAGTAATGCGGACTGCCAGTTTCATTACTAACAGTACACCCTGTCAGGTCGATCTCCACGTGGTCGCCTCTAGAAAACATCGTGCTGAATTCCAGGTGTATTCATCTTGATAGGCTAACTGATCTGCCTTTCCATTCTCACCTATCATCCCCCATTGACGCCTGACCAGTGTATACCCCTAACACAGACGAGGTTACCATTACATTATCACCCATTAAAAAAAAAAACAGTAAACCATAGAACACAATAGAATAGAATTTTAAACCACTGAGGTGGCAAACAAAAAACGGCCTACATGATGGTAATTAGTTACTGTAGTCTATGAACTTCTACAATGCCAAGAGCATTACATGCCCGTTGATTTCTTCAGGGTGGGCCCTGAAGAAATCTCTACTATTATTTTGAAAAAACCCATGCTGTAATCTCTTGGAAGAATCTCGACAGGGAGCTTATTCCATAGCCTAAGCATTCATGCAAGAAGACATCTCTGAAATCACGTTGTACTCGACCATCCAAGCTCTTATGTATGGGAGTGAACTCCCTGCTGATGATGAGTTGTACGATTATGTTTTGCAACATGTTTATGACGTCTTAGAGGATATACGTCATAAATAACATTGGCATTAATGATTTTACTGTTATACAATAAAGTTATAATTAAAGTTCAGAATATCAATAAAATAGAATGAATAATAATAATAATAATAGTCACTCATGGGAACAAATACAATATATTTATGATTACTTTATATATTAATAAAATTATAATTTTAAAAAATTCATTCAAATTATAAATAGTATTTTCTAATATTGTTTTAATAATAATTTGAATTTATTATTAGATAGTTCTTTTAGATTTTTTGGTAAATGATTATAAACTATAATAGTCATATTTTTTACCAGAGGGAGACTTTGTACAAAAGTCGATTGCTTGGGTACCTCTGTCCCATTCGTGTTTCAACCGTGAAGCAGTTGTGTTTGCATAGCTGTGTTTCGGTTTGAAGGGTGGAATATGGCATGAATTTAGAGGGTACAGAGGAATAACACCTGAGTCCTCAGGAATGGCAACGCGTGGAGGGTATCATGGGCGAAACAGTATGTGTGTGTATTATTATGTCCATGGTACTGCTCATGTCTATAGGCGAAGGTTATTACTTTCCATCAGGTGGGCCGTCAGCTTGTTTGCCATTCTAAGTCGTATAAAAAAAATCTTAGGTCTAGTAGCGATTTACCTCAGGTGTGACCGCGTGCGCCACGGACCTGTCGCGGGCGCTTTTGATGTCATCCTTGGAGCCACTCTTGGCTTTCCTACTGCCGCTACTGCCCAGGCTTGTGGACGAGCTGCGCTCCAGGTTGCAACGATTTAATATTTCCGCCGCCTGGTAATTTCAAAGTTTTAATTTGTTATATGAAATCTATTCAACATAAGTGTTGAGAATAAAGTAAAAATAAAGGCAGCTATACATAGGTCTATACTATAATGAAATAGTAAGGATCGAAATTAATGTTTGTTTTGCTATATTATAGTGAGTAAATAGTGCGGGTCCTGTAAGGCGGTGACGGTATCACTCGCGTGATGCCTACGTAGTAGTGTCTATGTCAGTCGTGCGGTCCCTACGAGCTAGTTTCGGTGTTGGTGTCGGTTGAGTAGTACCTGCGAGGCGGTGTCGGTGTCGATGTCAGTCGCGCGAGCCCTACGAGGCAATTTCGGTATTAGTGTCCAGTCGCGTGATACCTGCGTGTGGTCTCGGTGTCGGTCACGCGGTATCTACGAAGCGGGGTCGGTGTATATCATGCGGTTCCTACGAGCCGGTTTCGGTATTGGTGTCAGTCGCGTGATACCTGCGAGGCGGTGTCGGTGTCGGGGCTGGCGATGGCGGGCGCGTGGCGCGGCGCGGCGGGCAGTGCTCGCGCGGGGTGCGGCCCGTTGAGCGCCTCGAGCAGCGACACGGGCTCGTAGCCGGCCGGCACGTGCTCCAGGCCGGCCGGCGGCGCGGCGCCGGGCGCCGGCGCGGCGGCCGGCTCGGCGGCACGCTGCAGCGCACGAATCTGCAGCAGGGCGCGGAACGGCGCGCGGCAGATGGGGCAGTTGTTGGCCTGGTAGCGCAGCGAGTCGGCGCACGAGTTGCACAGGCACAGGTGGCGGCACGGTAGGATCAGCGTGTCGCGCACGTCGCACATGCAGATCACGCACTCCGACCCGCCGTCCTCCGTCTCCTCGTCGGAGCTCGGCTGTTACGGGACAATCGCTTCTGGTGAGTGAAATGAATTTTCACTACTTGTGACTTATCCAACTCCTCACAAGAACTACTAATTGTGTAACTTATTATGAAAGAAATAAACTATGATATAAGCACTGTTATTTAAAAAAGTACTGTCGCGTCAAACATTCCAAATATATATCAGCTAAAAACATACCTCAATGGCTATTTATTTAATTTAAAAATAATCTGTAACTGTGACAAATGAAATGCTTTCAAGCCTATCAGTGTAATTGAAAATTAAAAACAGTTGCATAAGATTGATTGATCACTTGATAAATTAATTAATACTTTAAATTAATTGTTTACCTTGGTATCCAAATTCTTATTTTCAATGCCGTATATTTCCTGCAGTAGGTAGCACAGTCCATCCACAAACAGTTTTTGCTTCAGTGCCTTTAGCACATATGTGCCATCTGAGTGCTTCTCTACAACTGCTATTGTAGTGTGTGATTGTCGTATTTCTAAACATTAAGAAAACAAATTAAAAAAATTTCATATATGCATATCAATTACTAATATATAAAATGGAAAAGTTTGTTTGAACACACTAATATCAAGAATTACAAGTTGGATTTGCAGAATTTATTTTGTATTAGATAGCTAATTTTTTCAGAAGTGGTTAGTATATTGCAGCGCCGGTTCTCACCCTGAACCTTTGATTCTCTGAAAATTATAAACCTATAAAAATATAGTCTTATTCCCAATGGTGTAACTATACCATCTGTGTGTCATGGCAAATTCATCAGACAGGACCCTTAGATTATGTAAATAAAAAAAAATTACACCACTGCTTATTCCATAAACATGATTGAATTATACATGTGAACATATATATATGTAATTTATATAACTTACCTTCCTGTCCCTCATCAACAACACAGTAAATAGCAATGGGAATAATCTCCCTATCAGCATTGTATAGCAGATCCTCCTCTGGATGTTTGGATGGATCAAAAACATGTGAGATTTGACAGAACTGCTGGTTGGCGCCTTTTTTGTAATGATATGTTTGTGATGTCATTGTAGAGTCACGTGGGTAATATCTATGGTCATAAAAACATATTACCTATTTTAATGTTTTATTTTCATTATACTTAACCACACCATTATATGTATGTATGTATATTTTGCCAACTTATGAAGATCACTACCAAACCAAATATAAAATACAAGAGACAGATTTTAATACATTTGTTTCATTGCAAAAATGAGTAAAGAGCAACAAACAAACAGCTTTAACAGGCAACTGTTTAGACAACATTGTTTCATATTCTCAATAAAGAATTACTCTTAAATCTATTACTAATTAAAATAAATAGCTTACAGAAAACTCTCTAAAATATGTCTAAAGTATAAATGATGTAGGATTTATACTCACACAACTCCTGCTGGTGTCACTTCCTCAGTGCAGAAATAAAAAATTGTTATAGCACATCTAGCATCGCAGTCAAATGTGAATTCAATGTTGTAATATGTCCCCTTTCCATTACTATCAGCTGACTTCATCACTCCATCGCTGATTTTGTTGTCTGCTAGCTTTCCAACTGGCTCAGGGCATCGTACAAATCTCAGAGACTCTTTACGAATGTTCACAAGACTTTTAAGGGTCTTAGTTGGTTCATTTGACTGTGGTGGTGGATAAGGGAACTAAAATAATAAATATTGATATGTCAGCAGATATTATAATAATAATTAGACATTATATACTAACTTTGACATTTATTCTTCCATTTTTTTTTTCCTTTCTTATAAAAAAAAAATATTTAAAAAATACTAATGATGATATATATATATATATAAATCAAATATTAAAAAATAAATAAATAATTAAAAACATGCTTACAGGTGTAGGCCGGCTACCAAGAAAATTTAAGTCGGCATTCTCTCCAAATAAATAAGCTTCAGGCTGTGGAGTATCAAATCTTTCACCACCCATTATGAAATGGCTGCCAAAGTAATTACCTGCAAATTGGAACAATATCCTTGAAAGTAGCGATTCATAGTTTATAATTTCTAAATAGGAAGATTTATGCTTTTCCTTACATAGAACTTTCATCATTTCATTGATTCAATTTAGATTTTATGAAAGATTTGTAGTATTACTGATTGAAGATTTAATGCTCCGATTTCAGACAAAATACAAAGGCAAACGAAGATATTTACTTACCCGATCGAGGAGGATATTTATAGGCATGATTTGAAACCACATCAGCTTCTTCGACACCAGCATTTTGCCTACTTGTTAATGCACCCATTTTTTTCCCTTTAACAATCCGTACTGTATTTAAATGAAATAGATAAATTAATTTCTCAATATAGTCACATCTAAAAACTTGTGTAGAAAAGAAATTGTTTTTATTGAAGTGAATTATTGACAGCAAAAATAACAGAGTAAATAGATGAAGAGAATAACAAATTTTACAAAATGTGACTGAGAGATGAAGTTGTCAGGATATTTGACATAAGCAATGACTGATCAATGCTGATTGATGCTGATCAATATTAATTTTTTTTTATGACAAGGCTGTCACAAGTGAAGATAGCTAAAACTTGAAAGGCGAAAGAAATTTTAATTAAAAAGTACATTTCCAAAATAATTTTTATTCTAAAATTAAATAATACTATGAACTAAATTTAATGTCTGAAGAAATTTTAATCGGACAATTAAATGTAAAATATAAATAATTGACAATTAAAGACACTGACTTCATGTAATTAACAGCAGTATTTGATTTAAACTAAAACTAAAGACTAGGCAGCATGTTCATTGAACTTATGAAACAAACCTTATCAAAAAAAGTTTTTTTTATTTTACTTGTCACTTACCCTTATACTAAATAAAATGTAAAGAAGTCCTGTAACCGTATTCTCATTTACGCAACAAGCGAGAATCTTTCTTAGTCTATTTGACGGCTCTGGGTAAGAATTATTTACAGCCACTGTAGTCGATTCTAAAGCACATAGATTAAGATAGTAAAATCCTAAGCACAATTGAACATAGGTCTCCCTAATAGAGTGTTACACGAAAGTAGCAGTCTATGGTGGAATACGACAGTTCAACATATTTAAAGTTTCAATTTAAATATGATGTGACCAAAATGATATCTTTGTAAAATATAGCATTTGTGCTAGTTATACTTTCTCTACACTAAATTAAACTTGTGATAATTTTTATATCATTTGTTACAAAATCAGAAAAACATTTCTAGCCTAATCATATACTTAATATAACGTACTTAGTTTACTTAAAACTATTCCCACAAAATAGTTATTTTAAGGCTCAGTATAATTAATTTTATAGTACTTCTTAACGTTTAATTACTGATGATATATGCTGTAACAGTTTTATTAAATAATTAAATTGAAATTGTAGAAATTCCTGAATCTTCTATCCTTAATCTATCTCAAACCAAGTTCGCAAGTTCATGGTGTTATTTTTAATTATTAACAAAAATTATGTATACCAAATAGTACCCAAGTATTTATAATTTCAAACTATTGTTTGGAAAAAATAAACTGTTATAAGAATATTAATCGTTTGTATGAAATTAAATGACGATGTTGAATTTGTTTATTGATAAACATTTTGTTACTATTGAAAAAAAAATATTAATAGTAAATAATAGCAACACTAAGTGCAAAGTCAAAACTTTTTTTTTAATTCTTCGAAGTTACGGTGTCACTTTGTGAAGGTGCTTATTTATTTTCTCTTTTAAAATCTAAAGAAATCATTTCGAATGATATATATTTTATTATAGTTTTGTAAAGAAATTATTTGTTATAATTATTGAGTTGATTTTTTTTATTTATTTCAGATCACAATGGGGCGCCGGCCAGCAAGATGGTAAGTTTGCAACCTCGAAATTTTTCTTCATTTTAAATTTATTAGTTTTTTATTTATAATAAATAATTCTTTACTTATTCCAGTTATCGCTACTGTAAAAACAAACCGTACCCAAAGTCCCGGTTTTGTCGTGGTGTACCGGATCCTAAAATCCGTATCTTCGACTTGGGTAAGAAGAAGGCGACAGTGGACGACTTTCCACTATGCGTTCACTTAGTGTCCGATGAATACGAACAGCTGAGTTCGGAAGCCTTGGAGGCAGGCCGTATTTGCTGCAACAAGTACCTCGTGAAGAACTGTGGCAAAGATCAATTCCACATCCGCATGAGGCTTCACCCATTCCATGTCATTCGCATCAATAAAATGTTATCGTGCGCTGGAGCTGATAGGTATTAATATTTCTATATTTTTACTCTTTAGTTTGTATCTAGTCATAAAATATTTTCCCATATAACATACACAATCTTATTTTGTAAATGTGACAGTGTATTTGTTCATTTTTACTCCTTATCTCTTTGACAATTTAAACAATTACTATGAAATTTGATATACACATACTATATGGGATAGGAAAGAATATAGGCTACTTTTTGTCCCAGACATATATATATGGCATCATAGGCAATTTTTTATCCTGGCCAATGAACATATCCCAGTCAAGCAGTCGAAATTATGGGCAAAAAATTAGGGAATGAAAGGAATTATTATTAGATATTATTGCACAATAAATAATTAAGGAACAAAAAGCAAAAGATAAGAAATGATGTAGTTATCTTTTTCTATACATATTAATAACAGTAAGATTTTACTTCTCAAAAAATGCAAAATGTGTTGGAAATGGTTTTGATTTTTATAAGTACAATACTGTATAGTTATGGGTTGTTAGAAAAAGATGAGCAATTAGTGTGGCTAAAAATAAATTTTACTATCTGGTAAATTGATAAGATTTGCATAAGTTGCAGATATTTATTTTGACAAACTAACATTACAATGTAATTTCTTCTATATATGTAATTGTTCAATATCATTTATTCCCCTTTTAAACTTTATTTTTGTTGACACTTCAATTTGCTTTGTTGGGATTGTATACATTAGTACTCAAAACAAACATACTCAAAAAGAACATACTTTTACACACTGTTTAAAGATAGGTATAGGAATCAATTTTATTTAATTTATTATTGTTAGTATTTTATTTATTTACTTTATAAGTACATAATGAAGAAGAATAAATGAAGATGATTGTAATTTATATGAGTACTCCTGCCTCACTCATTTTTCTTGCGTAACTGTATTTTATTGTAAATGAAGTATGGTTTAAATTATAAAGTGTGGAGGTATAACACATTAATCCTCAGGAATAGCTATAAACAAGCACTACAATACGAGGTCTGTCCGGAAAGTTCGTATAAAAGTGTTCTGGAATGCGAGAAAGAGGAGTGGGGAGGCCAGGTAAGCGCAGGACCCCTTCCTTATGTCCCTAACAATGCTTCAGTTCTGGTCTGACCGCCGTGCGGTGCGAACTGGCTTGTCACGCCATCTGTGAAGTTACCTCTTAACGAAACCCCGTCGGCATGGAGCCCGCTTCCGTTGAAGAGCAGCGCGTCGTAATCAAGTTTCTCTCGAAACTCGGCAAGAATGGCCGTGAAAGCAAAGAGTGGAAGACATCCGGGGAACCACGAACAAAAAAATCAAGAAAATCCCGCTCAAATGTCAAGACAATGTTGATTGTTTTTTTCGATGTTCGGGGGATTGTCCATCAAGAATTCGTCCCTCCAGGCCAGACAGTTGATGGAAAATTCTACGTCGATGTGCTCAGACGCCTCAAAGCTCGTGTAGCACGAGTTCGTCCAGAATTGGCGCGAGAGGGGCGTTGGATTCTTCACCACGACAATGCCCCTGCCCACACCTCTCTTGTTGTCCGTGAGTTTTTGAGTAAAAATTCCATTACGGTGACCGAACACCCCCCTATTCGCCGGATTTGGCCCCGTGTGACTTCTTCTTGTTCCCAAAAACCAAATTGGTACTTCGGGGGCGGCATTTGGGGGACATAAATGAGATAAAAAAAGCTACGACGGGGCAGCTGAGAAACCTACAACCAGAGGACTTTCAAGGAGCCTTCTCACAGTGGAAACGGCGTTGGCACAAGTGCATTATGTCACAGGGGGAGTACTTTGAAGGGGATAAAATTGATTTACCTGAATAATTGTAAAATAAAATTTTTAAAAAACTTTTATACGTACTTTCCGGACAAACCTCGTAGTGTCTGTTATGTTGGTGGACTAATAAAGAATCTGAGTAATATATTAATATAGGAATTTTCATCATTAAAGCATATTATTTATTACTTGTGCTTAAACAAAATGTAATGTTTTTATTATTTATTTATGCAAGTTTCTTTGTTCCATTAGAACTCCTAATTAAGGTTAGTAGTAGGATAAAAGCCCCAAAATAAAATTATATAAAAAAAAATTACTTCTATATACTTGAACAGATTTGAATATTTTTTTAATTTGTGGAACATAATGTACTTCAGTTCCATCAATTTAAATAAAAATCTTAATTCTATATATTCATTTTTATAATTTTAATTCTATTTATTGCAATTTATTGGATGAACCCAAGTACGCTATTTAGCACATTTATTAATTGCTATAAACAAAAATAAAAAAAAAATCAAACCATTTAACATAATAAATATACAATTAATTAATTGCTTGATAATATTGAAAATATCTCATTTTTAATGATGTAAACTTTGTTAACATTTATTGAATTCTATTGAAACAGGCTATAGCACCTATTACAAGTCACAGAAACAAGTTTCCTTACATTTTTTTTTTTTATGAAATTGACTAAAATTTTTTTTTCTGTATGTTAGGCTCCAGACAGGAATGCGTGGTGCGTTCGGTAAGCCGCAAGGCACAGTGGCGCGCGTGCACATCGGCCAGCCCATCATGTCGGTGCGCTCCAGTGACCGTTGGAAGGCGCAGGTGATTGAAGCTCTGCGTCGTGCCAAGTTCAAGTTCCCTGGTCGTCAGAAGGTCTGCATCTACTTAGTTCTTAGTTCATTATGAGTATTTAAGATAATTTAAATATTAACATTTCTATTTATTTTTAACTTTTTAAATTGGTTTTTATGAGATTTGAGATTGCGATTGTGTTAGAAACCTAAAGATGAGATGTGGTTAGTTTTTAGTATGACCACTTTTATAATTTATATTATAATATTCCTTATCACGCTAAAACATACAGTAATAGTAACAAAAAAGATGTGAGTAAAGGTGAACTTATCCCTAAAAGGAATCTCCAGTGGACGTAACACAGTGGTATAGGATATATATTGTTTGTGTTAAAACTTTTTTCCTCAAAGGACATTATAAAAATATTGATTCTGTTGAGATAATAATTTTGAAATTGCCTTTACAGATCTACGTCTCTAAAAAGTGGGGTTTCACAAAATATGACCGCGATGAGTTCGAGAAGCTCCGTGAGGAAGGCCGTTTGGCCAACGACGGTTGCAATGTAAGGTACCGTCCAGAACACGGCCCCCTCGACACTTGGAAGAAGGTCCAAGCTGAAATCCTCAGTGTTTAATACTGGACTATGAACCAATAAAGTGTAAAATTTTCTTTTGTGTTATTATTTACTAGCTATTCCTCGTGGCTTTTTAATGGCATGTTAATTCTTACTAAAATTATGAAGTGAAAGTGAGTTTAATTATTATATTGTGCATTAATGGCTTAACCAATTACTATGAAATTGAAACACATACTGTATGGGATAGGAAAGAATATAGGCAATTTTTTGTCCCGGACATGAGGCTTAAATCGCGGGTAAAAGTTAATTGCTATACAGTGTAAGGGACAGATCGACAAAAACTGAAACTAAATTCAAATCATTATTCTGAACAGAAAACAGTAAAAATTCAGAAAAATATTTTTGTTTTTTATTTATCGTTTAAAATAATATGTATGATATTATGGCATAATATAAAGAAATAATAACTTATACATACAATGAAATAGAGAAAAAAAAAACGGTAATGTAACATACATATTAAAATCTAACTGCGACGCTCGGAATTAGCTGTCTAAAGTCAATACCATAAGCGTACGAAACTACTTATGATGAAGCCCTACTGACCGCGCGATACCGACGTATTATACATCGTATGAATCGTAAAATTGCAAATGCGCGGCGTCGAAACAAGAATCGTTGATTGCTGTGATGTATTTCCAGTGGGAAAATTATGTCATTACAATCAGACCATTCATCTGAATCAGCTGTTTTCGTTTTGGCCAATCTGGTATATAATTATTACCAAGAGGGTGAGTAGAAAAGCATTAACAAAAGATCATAAAAATTTAATTCATATTTAAAATACATTATGTATAAATGATTGCATTTAATAGCTACCTAAAGAATGAATCGATAGATTTACATGGTACTTTCGGTTTTTTCAATGGTATTTTATCTATTGAAAGAGGGGATTTTTTTCTCTTGGAACTATTTCCATTGGTGTGACATGAATTAGATTTCCTATTTAATTCCCTGTTTAATTTTTGTGCTTCATGGAAATCTAAGTGTTCTCCAATTTTTTCTACAGATATCCTTTTGCCACACTCCGAGCACATCTCAGTCGGAACAGTGTCGTCAATTTTTACTAGAAAGCTAGCTATAGACGAAACAGCTTCATTTTTATTTTCTTCAACTACAGAGATTTTTCTTTTAGTCTCTTGGTTTGTTGTTTTTTTATTTCTCTCTGCGTAATTGCGTATTTGTTGTCGTTCTTCATCTCTCAACTTGAGTGCCAAATGATAATCGGCATGTATATCAAACTTATCAATTGTCAAAGTTTTTCCGCATTCTGAACAGCAGAATGTCCCCAATGGTTCCGGTTTTTTGGGCGTATTGGATTCAAGAATGCAATTATTTTCTGTGTCAGGATAAGATTTATTACTGTTTTCATCTATTATACCAGAATTATTTAACAATTGTCTCATATTACTCACGCGAGAAACATCATCAGGGTCATCTTCGAACAATGCTATACTCTGATTAATTTCATTATTAATTGTGGAAGTTGAATAATCAGAATCATTGCTACTTTCCCTGTGATTAGTAATTTCACAGGTAGGTATTATCGGTGGAGCTGTTTCACTTTTGTCTGTACATATTACAGGTTTTGTAGCTTCAACACATGTAGATTGTTTGTTCACATTCCCATTTAAAAAATTTGCAAAAAATGATTGGGTAGCCGGACTGTTTTCTTTTTTCGTTTTTGTAAATAAATTTTCAGTAGTTTCTGTACTCTTGCTCGACGTTTGAAAAAATTTATCTATAATATATTCCTTTCCATCTTTACTTTTATTATCTGTAGAACCTTTCTCCATATTATTTGAATTCCCATTCTTCTTCGTTTGCATTGCAATATCTTTTGATGATCCAGCACCAAAGTAATCAACGATTTTTTTAACTTTCTTAATCTCTGAATTATCTTCAAATTTACCTACACTAATCCCTAAGAATTTTATCGGTCCTTTTAATTTTCTGTTACTTTCATCTCCTGAAATGATAATTTACATAAATATATATAAAAAAAAAATCAAATATCTGATTAGAAAATGATATCAGATATGCCACATAACATGTATAAGTAAAACCAAATATTTGGCTATCATAGGTAGGATTACCAAATGTTATTGACCTTCTTTTCTGCATGATGATATGAGATATAGGATAAAATGTAAGATAGATTATCATTAAATAACAAAAATAATATACCTTTGAGTTTTATGCCTTCCAAAGTGTCCATAATCAATTCTAAAGCTTTACTGGAGAATAGTTCACCGCATAGTTCATCATCTGGTACAAAATTGTACGATCTTGAGCTGCTAGTGTCTCTTCCGTCAGGCAACTGTGTAGTAAAACTTACAACCATCTGTTTTGGAGTCCTATTATTTTCTAATGAGTCTTTTTCCAATCTATCGTCTATTTCGTCACCCAGGTCTGTAAGCCATTTTTTTAAACTGTCCAAGTTGACTACTGCAGCTTTACCCCTCAATTGCTTGCAACATCCAATACTCTTTGGATTGAATTTTGCTTGGACAGGTTCCATATCAATGCCTCTCGCTATATTATATAGCCATGAACTAAAATAAATTAATCACAGGTTGTAATATGAAGTTGCTAAAATTAATAGAAAAAATAACCTCATATTTGTAACATTCAAATCTTTAATGATATACCCTATTGTTGATTTTAAACTATGTCTCTGTCAATTTTGATCCAAATTAATTTGAATGTTGTTGTGATACAAAGGGAAATATTAATACATGTATGTAATAATTATCTTTAACTACTGGATCAAAACATCAGCAAATCTTACATTACCTGACTTACCCATTTTTTTCATCAAATTTTTCTTGTAATTTTTTCTCTGTAAACGTTTGTAATTCAGCCATTGTACTAATTTTCAACACTTCACAAACTGTTTCCCCAAACTTGCCTCCTAAGTGTTTTACTTTCTTTACAGATAAAGACCTGTAAATTTATATAATTTACAATTATAATATTGAAGGTTGAGTGCACACTTGTAGTAATTATAAAATATTTACTTTTCTAGACCTTCTCAGATATACTTTAAAGTTCTCTACTACTACAAGCATGCATTAACCTTTTGAAATTGGGGCAATCATTTGTGTTCTGTGATGCTTGTGAAAAACAACAATATACATTACCTGTATAGTATATTAATAGAATGCTTCGGTAATACAGTTTGTTTGTCAGGTTTATTCATTCCACATACCAGTTTGGCAAGTATCTTATTATGGGCTATACCCGCTGAACATTTGTAACCTGGAAATAGGTATTATTGCTTGGTTATATTGAAACTCGGATTAAAAAATTTCAACTATAGTTTTTTTTTATTGATGAAAATTAAATAGAAAAGGTGAAGTCAGGTCAGTTGATCTATCATGGCATTTGGAGTAAGTATAAACTACTTTTAGTATAAGTATAAACTTTTTATTGTACCTCATTTTAATGTAAGAATATCTGGATTAACTTATGCAAGCACAAGCCTGTCTGCGCACGTCACGGCTGGTCTTAGTTGGTCTCAAACCTAATCAAGCATTCTTGACTAAAATACATGTAAATCAATCCGAGTCACTAATAACACCTGAGTCTTCAGGAATGGCAACGCATGGAGGGTATAATGGGCGAAATAGTATACTCTGTATGTCTATGGTACTGCACATGTCTATAGGCGATAGTTACCACTTTTCTTTAGGTGGGCCATCAGCTTGTTTGCCATTCTAAGTTGTATAAAAAATAAAAAAAAGATTAATTCTTACATTAAAATGGCTCTTGTTTACTATAAATATTTAAAAGTTATGTTAACAAACATGTTTAGGATATGTAAGCAAAAACATAAACATACCAGTTTCCTTGAACACAGCAGCTCTTATCTCACTCACAATGACTGACCCAACAAGTAACCTCTTTGCGTGTTCATAGTCAAACTCCATACACTGCCCTCCATAATTATGAACATCTGCTATAAACTCATCCACACCATCATAGCCAAGGGCATAAGTATTGGGCAGCATTTCTGAATTGACTGTGTTAATATTTAAAGTTTTAAGTCTTTCTTCTACCTATAATATTAAACATTATTTGACAATTGGTATTTTTGGTAGATATTAAAATAATTGAAGAAATTAATTTATTTTTTTATAATATTTGAAAAGTTAATGCTTACAGGTTTGGTTATATCCATGTAGGCCTCATCAATGGATGCCCTCTCTAATAGTGGTGTGAATCTTTGTAAAACTTTAGCTACTTCCTTCCCAGCCTCTCTATACCTGTAAAATATTTGTATACCTATATTGCTATAACTACTTAACTAAAGGTAATTAATAATAATTATTATAATCAATATTTAAAAAAAGCAAGTATATAATTGTGATATAAAATTATCTCCATATTTGTAAAAACTAAAATGTATATGTCTAATTTTAATATTTTGTTGTTTTTTTTCGAATTGGAAATTCAGCACTAAAGAAAAATACAAAATACTTGGATAGCTAAAATAGATTTATGAGAGCATCGAAGATTTTTGAATCTGAGGGTTAATATTTAAACAGTTTCACATACTAGGTGGCAAAAAATTAAAAATACAGTCAATGGTAAATCAACAAATTCGAAAGAAGATTCTTGTTTGGTCTATAGCTAATGAATGCAAATTTTATGGTCTCAATGTATTTTTTTTAATAGATGTTTACTAATATTCAAGTAAGTGTATAAAAAAGCAATATGTGGGACAAATAACATGCCACAAAGACTCTCTGAAGGATAGTCCAAAATCTTCCCTTATACTCTAGGATAGCATGATAGGTATTTAAAATTATGTTTTAAAAATAAATTAAGTAATAGTAAATACTTACTTAGTTATATCAGCCTTTCCTCTGAGACACGGAACAGATGGCAATTGTATCTCAGGACATTTCTCTTTGGCTTCATCACCTCTCATGTGCCTAGTCACTCCCATAGCTCTTGCCACATAATTGACAGCTATTATTCTTAAATTAAAAATAATATTAAACTTTATTATAAGAACAGTTGTTTCTCTGAATCGAAGCATTTGGCGTTCCATTGTTTCTGCCTACCCTAATGGGAGACAGGTGTGACAGATATGTATGTATGTATGTATGTATAAGAACAGATGTTCATATTATATGCATGTACAGTATTTTTAAAATAAATAGGTACTTTTGTTGAACAAAATTAAGAAAGAGAAATTTTGGAAATTTTAAAAACTTAAATAAACTAACAATTCTTCTTGAAGTGAACTTAAAAACTACCAGTAACTATGTATTTATATTAAAATTCTTATCTGCTTTATTATGAGTTTCTATAAAGAAATTAAGACATGTAGTCAATTAATATTTATTTATACCTTGAGTCCGAGGTGCTCAAACTTGAATTGCTAGTGATCTACATCAATATTATTAGATTATGATTGATCGACTCTGTGAGGCTGCAAGTATTTATGACGCAAGATAATTGTCTAAGTAGTGTTACAACCTCATCGTATACTCTTTTTAAAAAACATATTAACCTCTGACATTTTTTACTGTCTTAGATTTAAATATATACTCTGTCATGTGAAATTGCATTTTATTAAATTGGCGACGAGGATTTTAAAATGAATCCGGAATTAATGGAAGAATTCCTTAAGGTACAACAAAACCAAACAAACACAAATAACTAAAATACTGGAATTACTTACACAAACAGTAATACAAGTAAGTGGAACGTCACAGACCCCTACTACGAGTGCAACAGACTCGAGCATATTGACAACATCGTCAAACACAGTCTTAAAAAATTTTAAATGCGATCAATTCAATCCCGCAACAACGGATATACATAATTTCATAGACTACTTTGAAGTCAAATGTAACATATGGGGTGGAGACACTGACAATGTGAAGAGACAATTACTTTTCACATGCCTTAGCCCTGAAATATTCCATGAAGTTAAGGTAGCGTTCACACCGCATTTTGAAACATCGACATATAACGACATTAAAATTAAATTAATTGACCTTTATGGTACTAGAAAAACAAGGTATAAAGCCCTCACTGATTTTTGGAATGCAACACGTCAACAAAACGAGTCAATGACAAATTATGCAAACAGGCTAAAGGAACTGAGTAAGGATTGCAAATATGACAATTTGCTAGAGAGACAATTACGAGATAGATTTGCAACAGGCCTTAATCATGCAGCGTTAGAGATAGACCTAAAACAAAGATGGCCTGACCTGCTTGAGAAAGATGAGACTGGAAAATTAATAGAAGTCACATTCCAACAACTATTTACTTTCGCTCAATCCAGAGAGATAGCAGAATCTGATAACATTGTTAGAAGAATAAGAGACAATAAACATAAACGTACAAACAATAAAAACAATAAAGTTATAAACAGAAAACTCAAAAAAGACCACTGTTTCAGATGTGGAAATAAACAGAAGCATAGTAATGATGAATGCAAAGCTATAAATCATAATTGCAAAGCATGTGACACAATCGGCCATTTCGAATCATGTTGCATTAAAACAGGACGCGCTTTTATTGACAGCAGGCCGCACACACAAAGCATTAAAAGGACTCAAAACACCACTTCATCTCGCTACCAAGACGCGAATGAATCATCATCATCATCATCGTCAACTACTACAGACGACGAATGTAGTGAACAAGAGTATATCACCTTAACAAGAACAAAGACTGCAAGAGAATAGACCCCATTATCAATGGCATACCCTGTACAATGGATTGGGATACAGGTTCGAAGTTCTCTATTATAAATACAAAATTTTGGAAACAAATTGGATCACCACAATTAAAACGTTCACCACCTCTGAAAGCATATGGAAATAATGATTTTAAACTTAAACCAAGAGGACTAACAGAAGTATCAGTGGAAATACAGGGAAAACAAAAAATTCTTCCTGTCATTGTCATGAAGACTTCAGACCCTATGCTGTTTGGATTAGACTGGAGTGAAATGTTTGGAATGGAATTTCCGGAAGCTGTATATTCTATTAAAGCAATTAATGAACAACAGACACTACAAAACATCCTAACAAATTACGCAACACTTTTCAACAACAAACTTGGTAAAGTAAAAAACTATCAGGTCAACATTCACATTAAACCGGGAACAGAAGCAAAACATTTTCCACCACGTCCTGTAAAATTCAGTATCAAAAAGAACATTGAACTGGAACTAGATCGATTAGTGCAAGAAGGGATTATCACAAAAGTGGATCCTAACATAACACCCGTAGAATGGTCAACTCCAACAGTTAATGTCGTAAAACCTAATGGTCAAATTCGTATTTGCGGTGATTATCGCGTCACAATCAACCCTGCATTAATAACACACCTACATCCAGTACCACTTTTTGACCAATTAAGACAACAGCTTGCAAATGGTGAAAAATTTTCCAAAATTGACTTAAAGGATGCATATCTTCAATTTGAAATTGCCCCTGAATCAAAAAAGTATCTTACAATAACAACACATAAAGGATATTTCCAATACAATCGAATGCCCTTCGGTATTGCAACAGCACCATCAATTTTTCAACATTATTTAGAAAAACTACTAGACAACATCCCGAATACGGCCGTCTACTTCGATGATATTGCAGTAACAGGAAAAAATGACAGCGAACACCTAAGTACTCTGACGTCAGTACTCAAGAGATTGCTAGAAGCTGGCCTCAAAGTTAACTTAAAAAAATGTAGTTTTCTCCAACCCGAAATTGAATATCTTGGACACATAATTGACGCACGTGGTGTACGCCCAACTAAAACAAAAATTGATGCAATCGCTAAAGCTCCAGCGCCAAACAATACTAAAGAACTACGATCTTTTTTAGGAATGGTCAACTTTTACGAGCGATTCATTCCGCACTTACATACACTTTGTTCAGACTTGCACGACTTAACATCTTCACGAAAAAAATGGAAATGGACGAAAGAATTACAAACCGCATTTGAAAAGGTAAAAACCTGCATAACAAAAACAAGACCTCTGATAGCTTATGATGATAAACGAATGCTTTATCTAGCATGTGATGCTTCCGAAAAAGGACTTGGGGCTGTTCTTTTCCACAAAGAACACAATATTGAACAACCGGTCGCATATGCTTCTAGGAAATTAAAACCTGCAGAAAGTAAATACTCTGTAATAGACCGAGAAGCATTAGCTATCTACTTTGGTATCAAAAAATTTGATCAGTTCTTAAGAGGAGTCCGTTTTACATTAATTACTGATCACAAACCTTTAATCTACCTTTTAGGCCCACAAAGAAATCTGCCTAAACTTGTTAATAACAGATTGGTGAGATGGGCGTTAGCAATTGGGTGTTATAATTATCACATTGAGTATCGAAAGGGAGAACACAATATTCTTGCAGACTTTTTGTCAAGAATGCCAAACCCTGACCAAATACCGTCTGAAGGTGAACTGACTGTACATAAAATAGGCACGCGATTGCAAGCGATAAAAATGATTGATTTAACACTTTCAGAGAAACTGATTAAAGAAGAAACAGGAAAAGATCCCGTCCTAAGGGAAGTATCCAATCATATTAAACTTGGCTGGAAGAATCAATGTAATAGTCACCTAAAACCTTACTATCGAAAACGTGAAGAACTTGCCATCGAGAATAAAATTATAATGTGGGGCGGAAGAATTGTAATTCCACAAGGGATACAAAAAGCTGTATTACACTACCTCCACCGCGGCCATCCAGGCACATCTGCTATGCGAGCTCTGGCTAGATTTTATGTCTGGTGGCCCTCCATAGACGAAGATATAGATAGATATATTAAACTTTGCCATAAATGTCAAGAAAACAGGCCGAATGATCCAGAACTCCCTATTTACTCTTGGTCTATCCCAGAAAAAAATTGGGAAAGAATTCATATTGATTTCGCAGGTCCTTTCGAAGGAAAGTATTGGGTAGTAGTTGTTGATGCTTTATCAAAATGGATTGAAGTACGACCAATGACTAAAACTACTACAGTAAAACTATGTGCTAAACTGGATGGAATATTTACTACTTTCGGTCTACCCAAGATTATTGTATCTGATAATGGTCCACAATTTACGTCGCATGAGTTTGAAAATTATTGCAAGCAGTATGGAATCTTACATATTCGGGTATCACCGTACCATCCTCGCTCCAACGGATTAGCAGAACGCCTTGTTCGCACTTTCAAGACCCGGTTATCAGCCAGTAACGAAGACGGAGCTAACTTGAAACAACGCTTAAGAAATTTCCTGTTCAGTTATCGTAATACACCACATTCTACAACAGGTAAATCTCCAGCACAAATAATGTTTGGCCATCAACTAAATTGTGTATTTGACAATCTACGCCCAGATTTAAGAAAAACACTAAATTTCAAACAACTTCAAACTAACTTACATGGAGATCAGCCTTTAAAAGAATTTAAGAGTGGTGACCCAGTTTATATACGCACGCGAAATGAATCAACTTGGCATCCTGCTACTGTAACATTACGTACTCACCGTTATTCGTACCTAGTTCAAACACCTGATGGTGTGGAAAAACGAAGACATGCAGATCATATACGTTCTCGAGCAATTGATGAAGCTGAAAGTACCAAAATAGGAGGAATGGTTAAAGAACCATCTCAAGACTCACAAGCGAGTATGACTCCATTACAGGCCCCAACATCAGAAATTCAGGAACCTTCTCCAGAGCAAACTCAAGCAAATGCTCCAATTACACCGTTACAAACATCACCCTGTGAGCTACCACAAGAATGGCAACAATTGACATCAATACCACTTACTAAAGAGGCATATTCTACGGCCGAGGAAACAGCCGTACCATTGCGTCGTAGTGTACGTACCAGACGCCCTCCGAGACGACTACTTTATGATTAAGAAACATTGTAGAGACAGACAAACATTGTATATAAATCATATTCATTGGGGAGTAATGTTACAACCTCATCGTATACTCTTTTTAAAAAACATATTAACCTCTGACATTTTTTACTGTCTTAGATTTAAATATATACTCTGTCATGTGAAATTGCATTTTATTAAAAGTAGGGTATATTGTGGCATAGATATCAGTTTTTAGCACAATATGCATTTTTTTTAGTCAAGATCGCAATCGATCATTTAAGTATTTAGGTTATTTTGTTTAGATAAGTAATTATTTACACATTTTCCAATTTTTGAATTTTGGGTTCTTAGTTATTGGAAATGGGGACTTAAATATATATTTGTATGTTACATACCCACCACCTTTCCATGGATTATATTGCACAACCGCTATTGGTTTTCCTTGGAGTTCTGGATTAAGTTTCTCTTCAACTTGACAATAAAAACAATCCATGTCAATTAATGAAATCACTCTGTTTTCTTGTTCCATTTTAGAAAATTTAGAATGAGTCCAATGTTATAATATGTAATCATAAACTTTTAGAAAATAAACACCGTTGTATCCCGCCTTCACTTTCAAACTTTTAATAATTCAATACCTTTGGATTCGATAAACATTTGTTTGTGAGAAAGCATCAGTTATCATTATTACATTAACTTCGATAACAAAAAAAAATCCAATAAATAGCTATCTACAAAAATAAATATAATTTCATTAATAAATTGCTAAAAACTACAAATTGCACCTTTAATTTTTTTTTTTTTTTTTAGTACGTTTGTTCCGTTTGGAACAGGCTAAGGTCGGAGACCATGCTGCCTAGTCTTCAAAAAGATAATTTGTCTGGAATTTGCACCTTTAATTATTTCTCATTAAAAAACGTCAATGTTAATAATTATGTACACTTTTTTTTAGTACGTTTGTTCCGTTGTGGAAGAGGCTAAGGTCGAAAACCATGCTGCCTAGTCTACATGTACAAAACTAGAACTGTCATCCATATCATAATATACGCATATAATACAATTATAGAGATTAAGACAACGGTATGAGGGTATAGGCTAAAGGTATAGAATATTATAAAACAAGATAGATTTTCTTCAGAGTCTCTTCGTGAACATTATTTCAAATTATTACATCACTGAAGAACTACAATCTATATTATTATATGATTAGTCATAACTTAAATATTATATCTAGTAATATGTATTACTCATACATAAATGAGAATAATATACTTACAAATATTATACATACAATACATATATTGGGGGGGGGGGGGGGGAAGGGATTGTTAGCAATGGAGTTTGACAGCCCCATTGCTAGTAATATGTCTTATTAGGTCGACCTCCACGTGGTTCCCCTTGGAAACCATCGTGAACAATTCTTGTTGAATTCGTCATGATGGGCTAACTGACCTATTTCATTCTCACTTATCATCTTTCACTGGTGCCCGCCGGTGTATACCGATAGCGCGGGTGGGGTTACTATTCCATTATCATCCATTAAAAAAAAATACATATATTGTATGTATAATTTTTACATATATATATGTTAAAATGGATTAATCTACCAAAATAATTATTTTATTTAAAAATTGTTCTTGTTTGATGCATATTAATTTATGCAAAAGTATAAATAAATATTATAGATTGCGTACCTACCTACCTAAGAATAAGGAATTACAAAGAAGGGATGATAAACCGTAAATTATATGATTTACTCCTTTCTTCTTATGCAAATATAATTAGTAAAAAGAGGACGAAAGATACAAGATCAGTTGCTACTTTTGTCAATTCATAGCAAGATAGTGCATAAAATATGTTTCATATGTCAATTATTTATTAACGACAAATTATATAATCATTGTGTACTATTATTTTTGCGGTATCAAGGCAGATAAAATAATAAAATATATTATATTAGGTATATAATTTATTAGACCCCTTGGCCGTATGTGTTGTTCCACTTCACATATTGCCCCAAGTCATCTTGCGACACGCTTGGTCTCACTCTTTGAAGAGCGTTTATGAAGTCTTTAACATTTACTGGCCGAACCTGAAATAAAAATTAATAATGAATTCTGTACATTTTACAATGCACTCTTTTATTACAATTTGGGTATAAATACAGCTTCTTATTGTATTTTTTCCCCCTGACCCAAATGTTATATTGGCTTTGGTGATGTATAGGTTTAACACATTGCCTCATCTTCCAATAGTTACAGTTTTTTTTAATGGATGTTAATGTAATCGTAACCCCGTCTGCGCGGGGGAAAAGGGATTGTTAGTAATGGAGACTGAGAATCCCATTGCTAGCAATATACCCAACCAGGTTGACCTCCTTGCGGTTCTCCCTAGAAATTATCATGGTTAATTCCTGATGAATTCATCATGATGGGCTAACTGGCCTGTTTTCATTCTCATCTATCACCCTTCACTGGTGCTGCTCCACCAGCGTATCCCGTTAGCGCAGGCGGAGTTACCATACCATTTGCACCTATCAAAAAAAAAAGCACAACAAGACTTTTGTATTTTTGAGTTATTTTTTTTACATTGTAAAGGATAAGTTCTGTGAAGTCTGTATGCAGCTAATATAAAGTAAAATTTTAGGTTTAAAGTGACTTTAATTAAGTGATAAAATTACGAGCAGTATCAGATTGACACTGTGTTGCGTTATTAAAGTAACCACTTTACAAAAAAAGTCCAGCAAATTAAGACCACCTCTTTTTTCAATCAGGTAATGAAAAGGTTTATATCCAAGACTCGTGAATACTTACTTTTTCTCTATCAATGCTGATGATCTGTGACAGCGGCACCGATCTTATAGGTCCCATCGCCGCCTCGGAACACAAGGACTTCATGTCGGCGCCCGAATAGCCGTCCGTCAGGCGAGCTATCTCGGATACGTGTTGAGGCGTCAAATCGTTGTTTTCATTTTTAAGTAGGTTCTTTATAATTTGTTCACGAGCCTGCCATCATAATATATAATAATAATAATTATATATATGTCAAAACAGCATAGAAAGAAGTGTATTGGGCATAAAAATAAAGGATAGGGTTAAATTAATAGACATTAAGGAGAAAACAAAATTCAAAAATGTTATCTATACAATAAAAAATTAAAATAGAGATGGGCAGGACATATTATGCGAGAAAAAACACAAAAATGGACAACAACTGTAACAGACTGGTACTTTAGAATAGGCCAAAGAAAACAGGGAAGACCATTGACACGATGGGTTACAGATATACAGATATAAAAGCAGTAGCAGGTGCACTTTGGACAAGGATAGCCAAAGACAGAATAGAATGGAAGACTCTGGAGGAGGCCTTTGTCTTTGGACAAGATATATATATATAATTTCAGGTATATACTCATAGTTTACATTTATTGCTATAATAATTTAATTTTATTTAATTACGATTTACACATTGCATTATACAAACTTTAATAAAATACCAATTAAAATAATTTTATTATAAATTCCTTGGTATATAAATTCTTCTAATAAGATATAAATACTAATACAATCAATGATGTTATTTGTAAATTGCATCGTGAATACACTATAATACAGATATTTACTTAAACTTAGATATTTCATTTTATATATCTGAAATTGAGTTTCTTTTCTTACGCCTTGTTAGCCAATAATGGCAAATACATGTAACTATTTGAAAGCTAACTTTAAATATCTACAACTTACATCTACATCAGGCAAAGGTATGTAAAGTCGCTTGACGAGGCGTCGGCGTGCCGCTTCATCTAGCTCTTGTGGTCTGTTTGTGGCGCCCACTATTAGCAGACGATCTTCGTCTCCTACAAAGAATCAAAAGACATTTTAAATTTGTACGTTGAAGTCTTAAAATACATGTTTGCGAAAATATTCTCTATGTTCCTAAGATCATTAGGACTCGATTCTCTCTGTATCTAGCGTAAATATTAAAAATAACAGTGTAAATTTCAAATGTTGTTTCTTTCCTAACAACAAAACATATAGCAAATATTTATTAACCTTTCAAATATGTTTGAACATGTGTTTTAATAAGCAATTAAATGTTCCATTATGAAGTATGAAATGCCGAGAATAATCCACTGTTCAATTTATCTATAATTTATTTATTTATTCATAGGAAAACCAGGGCTACACTACAGCAAATAGATACAGTTTTAGGATAACAAAATAAGTCACTAATAGGTTTTCACAAGTAGCAACAATATAGATACAAGGCGCTGTACACAAAGCAACGAAAATAGGAGTTAACAAAAAAAAAAAAGTGAACAAACAAGAGGAATAAAAACAAAAAGAAAAAATAATAATGACAAGTAAAATACAAATTAAAGATTAAATGTAAATATTTGACCAAAATATGGCCTCAATTACCAATAAGACACTACACTGTTGATATAATGTAATTTTGCCATGCCATGAACAAATGGGTTCTCAACAATATTTCAACCAATTTTATAGTTTATCTCTCTGATAACGTATCCCTTACCAGTGGCTGCACCATCAAATTGCACCAGAAATTCTGTTTTGATCCTTCTAGTTGCCTCGTGTTCTGAATCACTGCGCTGTGTGAGTAGCGAGTCTATTTCATCTATAAATATGACCTGCAATATGAATTTTAAATTAACTCTTTTAAGTATTTTTCAAAACACACGTGTCACAGAACTTTTTTTGACTACTTCACACAACACAGTTTGACTACTTCAGATTTATGAATTAGTTTATTCGAAAATTTCCATAAATATTTTCGTAAATGGGCTGTTATGCGTTAGTCCATCCTTGCTAGACTGTACCGGAATGCAACTTAGATTGTTTATCATTCTAAGCTGTTCTACTAAGTATTATAAGAAAAAAACAATTGCCACGTTTTCTGGACACCAGTGATCTCAGGATACATACTCGATTGTCGACTATTCTCCGTCGAAGAGAAGGGATTGTTAATAAACCGCCCTATGAAATGTTCCTGGAAATAATCTGTAATCCTTCATTTATATTTGCGCCCCGCTAGCAAATACCGATGCCGTAGATGGGGTCACCATTCAATATACCATTTAATAATCACCAGAGGGAGACTTTGTACAAAAGTCGATTGCTTGGGTACCTCTGTCCCATTCGTGTTTCTACCGCGAAGCAGTTGTGTTTGCATGGCTGTGCGGTTTGAAGGGTGGGATATGGCGTAAATTTACTGGGTATGGAGGAATAATACCTGAATCTTCAGGAATGGGTACTACTCTGGTAATACTCTGTTAGGTCCATGGTACTGCTCATGTCTATAGGCGACGGCTACCACTTTCCATCAGCTGGGCTGTCAGCTTGTTTGCCATTCTAAGTTGTATAAAAAAATCATTACAATCCATTTAAAAGAGACTCCTTTCTGGAATTGTATCACTATATTACGGTGTTTCTTTAGCAAAACACTACATGTATTAATAAGAGGGATATAGAAGTGAACTGACCGCGGGTTGGTGACATCGAGCAACAGCGAAGAGGGCGCGTACCATCTTCTCACCGTCTCCTATCCACTTGGAGGTGAGCGATGACGCCGAAATGCTGAAGAAGGTTGCATTGCATTGCGCCGCTACACATTTACCTATAAACAGGTTACAGGAACAGGTTTATATAGAGTAAAATTCTATTAGATGTACCTATCATTTCTCACTGCTGCCCTGCCAGTATATACCGATAGCGTAGGAGGGGTTACCATTCCATTTTCATCAATTAAAAACCCTTGACTGAAAAATTTTAGTAAATTGTGCTAAACTTAGTCAAACTTGAAAGAACTGACCAAATTTAGTTGGATTTCTAACCACTGTATGAAGACTTTACACTGTATTACTTACTATTTACCAGAGGGAGACTTTGTACAAAAGTCGATTGTTTGGGTACCTTTGTCCCATTCGTGTTTCAACCGTGAAGCAGTTGTGTTTGCATAGCTGTGTTTCGGTTTGAAGGGTGGGATATGGCGTGAAATTACTGGGTACAGAGGAATAACACCTGAGTCCTCAGGAATGGCAACGCATGGGGTGTATCATGGGCGAAACAGTATACTCTGTTATGTCCATGGTACTGCTCATCTTTATAGGCGACGGTTACCACTTTTCATCAGGTGGACCGTCAGCTTGTTTGCCATTCTAAGTTGTATAAAAAAAAACTGTATTTTACTATTAGTTACCAATTAACGTTTTCCCGGTGCCAGGTGGTCCAAACAGCAGTATTCCCTTAGGCGGTCGCCTCAATCCAGTGAATATATCCGGGCGTAACAGCGGCCACACCACCGCTTCTTGGATTACAGATTTAGCCATTTGGAGACCAGCTATATCATCCCAGCCTGAAAAGTTATTATTATATATACATTATTATTTTTATCAGCCGTATTTTAAAAAAGTAGATGGATGTAAAGGTAGAGAAAGACAGAATAAGTTTTTTTTTTTTGATGGGTGAAAATGGTATGGTAACCCCGCCTGCGCTAACGGGATACGCTGGCGGAGTACCAGTGAAGGGTGATAGATGAGAATGAAAACAGGCCAGTTAGTCCATCATGATTAATTCATCAGGAATTAACCATGATAGTTTCCAGGGAGCACCGCGAGGTGGTCGACCTAGTTGGGTATATTGCTAGCAATGGAATTTTTAGTTTCCATTACTAACAATCCCTTTCCCCCCACGAAATAAAAGTTAGATGAGCTTTTTTTTAAAAGATGATAATGATGTGGTGATTTCGTATGTGCTAACGGTATACGCTGCGGGGCACCAGTGAATGATGATAGGTAAGATGAGATGTAGGTTAGCCTATCGTACAGTGCCATTGGCATAGTGGTAATGACTGTATGAGATGTCTTTAGTAAAGTTGCAAGTTCCACAATCGAATTCCGACTGGCTAATGACTTTTTGACCCCCCGAGTGGTAGGGTGAGCACGCCAGCCACCCTATCTTGAGAGAGGAGACCTGCTCTTACCATCAGGAAGCGGGTCGCTGCCGTCGGAGATGTGGTGAGTGCGAAAGCGAACCCATGTCTCCGACATATGGCACCTCGAGGGTATATCGTCTGGTTTTTGGTGGGTACACTCCCACCTTACGGGGGGATTCCCGCAGTGCCCATTCACCCCCCACAAGTTGTATGGGTCTACATAAAGCATTTTCCAGACGTTAAAAAAAAAAGGTTACCCTATCGTGATGAATACGTAATTCAGCACAATGGTTTCGTTTTGGCCATGTGGAGGAACCTGACAGGGTATATTGCTAGCAATGTAACTGATAGTCCGCGTTACTAACAATCCTTTCTAATATAATTAATATAATTGCTATTCCAATCTTATCCATCCAATATAAATAATTTGTGACGATTGAAAATGTAGGAGTTAGTTACATTACTACTGACCTATAGGTGTCCCTTTGTCAATAATCTCACTCTCAATCAACTCTATCATTTTGGGGTCTATGTGCTTGAGTCTTTCATCTGTTACTTCTGGCTCTTGTGTTCCTTGTTTATCCCTTTGAAAAAAAAAAGTTCTATAAATAATGTAGCATTGTTTTGGTTTATCTTGAGAGTTGACAATATTTTTTAGCTATCAATCTTGATTTAGGATTACACCACTCAAATTAATAATAAAAATGGTTGAGAAACAGGTGGTCTCGTCCATGAAACGAAAATCCGAATTTACGGGCTCAATTTCGTGTTTTTGTTCGTACCAAAATCGACCCAGTAAATGGAGCTTAACATTTCGTTAATCATAAATCCTATCCTAATAGTCCAGAGGAACCATATTTTAACATTTATAATAATTTTAAACGGCATGTATTATATAATTTTAACATCAAATTTCTGTTTCGTTCGTGCCCGAAATTTCGGAAAATATTTCATTGTAGGCCCTCAGTACTCTAAAGAGAGTACTGTTTCTTAACCATTTTTATATTGCGATCCAAGAAAAAGCCAAAAAGTAGTCTTGTGACCCCCATAACTGTAAAATTATAATAATATTTAATTTAATATTTAGTCCTTTCCCTGTTATCCCTTACTACCACACCACTAATGAATTGCTTAGTTGAGTAATTTGTAGTCAGATTAGTAAAGTTGCGCATCACTATGTTATACAAGTTATTCGAGGTCTTATTATATTTCAACAGACTGCACCCCCCCCCCCCCCCCCAAGAGTCGTGTTTGTTATTAAAGAGGGTTGAGAAATAGAGATAGAGAGAGGCTTTAGAGCAAACGAAGTTTATAATATATTTACACATTCAACTAGACACTCTAAATTTATCTAGCTAATGAAATAAAATTTTTATCTATCAATAATTTTTCATATAAATGGATATAAATTATTTTCTATTAGCTAAAATTTGCTAACAAATGTTTGAGATGACATCTCTCTGAATATGCATTTCCTAATGCTTACCATTTGTAATACAACAGATCTGATTATGGCTAAAAAGGCCTGATTCCACTATAGTAATAATAAAATAATAATAATAAAAAAATAGCATAAATGAGTGTATAAAAAATTATGAGGGATATTATACTACAAGTCTAGATGGCGTTGTGTGAAGTCTCCAGAGATATTATTGTTCCAGATATACCAGAGTAAAACTGGTACTTACTGTACTCCAATCATTGGTGAGACAAATTTAGCTTGAGCCTTCCTTGATGCTCCCAGAGTCCTCTTAGCAGCTGGATTAGACGCCAACAGTTGTTCCTTAGCTGTTTTGAATGTAATTTTTGCTATATTACTCTTATGAACTTTGTCTTCATCTTCTTCCTTATCAAGAGCAATGTCCTCTATTACAGGACATTTGGGAACTGGAGGCTGCAGCATACTTTTAACTACAGGCCTAACTCTGCCGAATTTTGGTTTAAAACCCTGTTTCTGTCTATCCCCATCACAAACCTCAGTCAACATATTTTGACTTTCAGTGTTAGAATCTACAGTTTTCATAAAATCTTTGTTCTCAATTATTGCATTATGAGTTTTATTCAGTGGCTCCTTTACTCCTAAATTACATGTGCACACTCTATTGTTAAACTGTTCCAAGCTTGTAGTTTTTGAATCTTGGCTGCAGTGAGTACAAGGTGGCAAGTGTTTCTCAAATAGAAATAAAGGGTCTGGGAGGTCACTGTAAAAAGTACAAAATAATATTTAGTCTTTCAATCTCAAATCAAAGTAAATCCACAATGTTTGTAATATAAAATATTAGGTATTTACTTATATGTACATTTAATTGAATTCATCACATAATGAACTGAAGAACCAACTGCCAGCAGCCCTTGAGTATATTTTTATTTCAATAGTTACACATTACAGAGAATTAACAATATTACATTAATTTATACAGTACAATAATATTTTCGTTCAAGTAACCCTCCAAAAATATGTGTACACAGCATAATCAAAACATGTTATGTCCATGGTACTGCTCATGTCTTTAGGCGAAGGTTACCACTTTCCATCAGGTTAGCCATCAGCTTTTTTGCCATTCAAAGTTGTATAAAAAAAAAAAAACATAAAAACGCTAAACAAGTATATAAATACAATATAATTTACACAACAAAAAAATATTTAACTTACTTACACATAAACAACTATAAAAGTAAATATTTACAATATTAACATACATGACAAAAATGCATGCACCTCTTTATAAACAAGGTAGGCGATGCAAATCATATGAGGTGTACACATATCAAGAGTATTGGAAGAAGTCACCATTATTAAAGTGTTTATTTTAGTTATGTCTTTATATTAATTCCCTTACAAGGTGGACAGAGGATATTCAAATACAGCGAATGCTCTATATAAGCAACTCATTTGAACCAATTTCAATAAAAAAGTTTCTTATTGGGAAAAGTTGCTTATAGAGAAAAAAGGAATATAAAAATACTTATTATTTGGAATTTTTTTTTTTTATTTCTTTTTCTAAGCTGAGTAAAATAAATAAAATATAAAGAATGTTGTTTATAGAGTTTGCTTATATAGAGCATTCACTATACAGGTAGTGAATGCAGTACATACTTTAATGAACTTTTCCATGTACTCATCTTGTTCATATTTGCATTTTGAAGAAGCCCATGAACTGTGTTTGTTATTATATCCATGGCTTCTCCATTTAATAATTCCTCATTGGCTTTCCAAACATCATCAAGAATTTTGGATGACAGCTTAAACTCACTGTAAATAAAAAAAAATGTAGATTATCTGTATACAATTATTCACTAAAATCAGTAATATCAGAAAAAAAAGTAATTTGAACAATACAATATAAATTATAATACAACAATAAAAATAATTAGGTACCTTGTCTTGGGTAGTTTTAGAATTTAGAATAATAACATTTAGTATGGAATGAAGTATATCAAAATTGATGTATAGGAAATTAGTAACAAACCTTTGCAGAGAAAGTTGATATTGTTGCAATGAAGATTTATTTAAAACTGATAAATGGTCAACATCCTCATTTTCAGGTATCAAGCCACTTAATTCATTTGATTCGAACATTTCTTGTGATTTTTAGATATTTATGTATATTTTCATTTCTTCTCCTTTTCTATTCGCGCGCAAACAAAACAACAAGTATCACACAGATTAGAGAAACTACAATCACAGAGTAATTTATTGGAATTTGGTCCTACCACAGAGTATCATATTTCGGATACTTACAGGATATCTCTTTTTTTCTATATGTATATACAGCACAAGAAGCATACTGCCTGAAATTATTTTACTCAATGTAGTGTAAACGAGGTATCAGCTTAGTTAGGATCAACGAGAAAAATAATAATCAGTTTTGTTTTGTCATGTCAAAATTTGTCAAGTGTATTCGAAGAGGCGACAAATTAAATTAAAATAGAAATTGTTTTTATTCAAAATACATATTCAATTTAAAGTTTTGTAAGAAATAATAAAATTCTAGTATTAAGGGGTAGCAAGAAAACATCCTTTTTGTTGTAAGGCAAAATGATGATTATGATATAAACGAGATGAATTCCAAACCAACAATTTACCATGAAAAACAAGTTAAAGAACTATGCGCTTTGCATGCGCTTAACAATTTATTCCAGGTGAGTTCATGGTGTCATTATCGTGCGCTGTATTGTCAATTATGGCTGTGAACAACATTTGGAAAATACATATGCTTGTAATGGAAAAAGGTTATTCTGACCAAAACTTTGTATTACAAGCATTTTAATAATTTTCTGAAATTTATATTGCAGACACGTGGAACATTCTCAAAATCGGAGCTGGATACAATATGTAGTCGGTTATCACCAAATGTATGGTTTAACCCACACAGATCCATGTTAGGATTGGGCAACTATGACATCAATGTTATCATGGCTGCATTACAGAAGAAAGGCTGTGAAGCTGTGTGGTTTGATAAGAGGAAGTGAGTTAATGATAATTATGTAAAATAATGAAATTCTATACTTTTTTGATACATTATATTAATTAACTATCTGTACTATTTATGAATAGATTCGAATTTGTAGGTAACAATAAGTAGTTTATTGTATGCTCAGTTTATAATGTATTTACATAAACTGATAAATTTGTATGATAATGTATTTTATGTAGACTACTTTTGCCCTTATTAGATATACAAATATTATTATAAATTATTTATTACAAATTATTTATTATAAATTATTACTTTAATACACAATACAATTCCATATTGAAGTGATTTTCATGATTGGTTTGTATTATTTTTTTTATTTTTAATTAATTTTTTTTTGTGTAGAGACCCAGGTTGCTTGGATCTATCAAACATCTGTGGTTTTATCCTGAATGTGCCATCGGACTACAAGTTGGGATTTGTGATGCTGCCACTGCGTCGCAGACACTGGATCACCATTCGCCAGATACAAGGCAATTTCTACAACCTTGATTCAAAATTGGATGCCCCACAGTTAATAGGAAGGGTAATATTTTTTTTTTTACTATTGACGGATTCTGCAATTGCTTGTCAGCTGCTTCAATAGAAAGTCAGTTAACAGAGGCGGGTCTATGATAATTGCAAGAAATAATATTAAAGTAAAGGAACGTGCTGACATTGTTAGACTTTCTATTGAGTGTTGTATAGAATTATCTTGTATAGAACTAGAAAATTATATCCTTATATGTGTGTACAGGCCTCCTAATAGTGATTACAATGTTTTTGAAGGGGTGATGGAGGATATTTTAAAAAAAGTATTTAATAGTATTAAAAAAATTATTGTATGTGGAGATTTTAACGTTGATATTCTTTGTAACACACCCACATGTACAAAAATTATTAGTTTATTTCAGTCATTTGATTTATGTCATGTCTTTCATGAACCCACTCGTGTAACTGCCACGTCTGCTACTTGTCTTGACAATGTTTTTTGTAACTGCGAGTATACAGAAAAATTCATAATAAATAAACTTCCTTCAGATCACTGTGGTCAAGTTGTTAAGTTTAGCAGTCAAATCAATAAAGTCAACAATAATAAAAAATCAAAAAGACAAATAAACGTTTACAATATTAATAAATACAAAAGCGCGATTAAAAATAAATTGGATTTGCTGTTACAATCTAGTAATAATCCTGATTATCTTTACACCAAGCTAATTAATTATTTTATCCGGAGAATATGAACAATTTTTCAAGAAAAAAGAAGTTCATGTTAAATCTAAATTCACGGAATGGGCAACAGTAGGAATACTTAAAAGTAGAAATATTTTGTTTGATTTATACGATCAAAAAAAAATCGATTTGATGACAAATTCACCACTTATGTAAAAAATTATTCTAAAATTTTTAAAAAAGTTTGTATTATGGCTAAGTCTAATTATTTTAATAAACAAATTAAGCAGTCTTCTGACAAAATTAAAACCATCTGGAGCATTATAAATAAAGAAACTGGAAGATCTAAATTAGCCTGTAATCAATTTACATTAAATTATGATAATAAATTAATAACAACAACAAAAGATGTAGTTAATATTTTTGAAGATTTTTTTGCTAATATTCCGATTGATATTACATCTTCTCTGGACTCATCTCAATCTCGAGCAAAAAAATTACTAGAGACTAATATCGGTTGTTGTTCTTTAAGATTTAAATTTTCACATGTTAGCCCCTTTCATATCATAAAAATATTCAAACAGCTAAATTTAAAAAATACGGAAGACCTTTGGGGCATGTCTGTAAAAGTAGTTAGTTCTTTCATAGATATTGTTGCTCCATATCTAGCCACTATTTTTAATAAATGTATTGATAATGGCGTTTTTCCACATTTAATGAAATTTAGCAAATTAATCCCACTATTTAAATCAGGAGATAAATTTGAGCCAGGGAACTATAGACCTATATCTATTTTGCCAGTTCTAAGTAAGGTGTTTGAAAAGATAATGTTAAATCAAATGTTACATCACTTCAGGGTTAACGGACTGCTTCACAGTCAGCAATATGGTTTCACCGCCGGCAAGTCTACCACTGACGCAGGTGTTGCGCTAATGACACATATTTTCGAATCTTGGGAGAGGTCACAGGATGCACTCGGAGTTTTTTGTGACCTATCAAAGGCATTTGATTGTGTGGATCATAAAACGCTTTTGTACAAGCTCGAACATTATGGTATAAGAGATAATGATCTAAAATTAATGAGAACTTATTTAGAGGATAGGGTTCAAACTGTAGATATTGACGGTGTAAAATCTAAGGGAGCTAATATTAAGATGGGCGTTCCACAAGGGTCAATCTTAGGCCCCTTTCTCTTTTTAATCTACATAAATGACCTTCCCTTTATGGTAGAGAAAATTGCAGATATAGTGCTGTTTGCGGATGATACTTCGTTAGTGTTTAAAATTGGACGTCAAAGTAATCAATTAGACGATGTAAATTGTGCTATGTCTGCAATATTAAATTGGTTTACATGTAATAACCTATTATTAAATTCCAGCAAAACAAAGTGTATAAAATTTACACTTCCTAATGTAAGACTAATAAATACACAGTTATTGCTTAATGACGAAATAGTAAATTTTGTTAATGATACAGTTTTTTTAGGTATAACAGTGGACTCGAAATTACAATGGGGGCCCCATATTTCAAAATTGGCCAGTAGACTCAGTTCTGCTGCATATGCAATTAGAAGAATTAGGCAATTAACAGACGTGGCGACGGCTAAACTTGTATATTTTAGTTATTTCCATAGCATAATGTCTTATGGCATACTGCTGTGGGGTAAAGCAGCCGATATAAATACTATATTTGTTTTACAAAAGAGAACCATACGTTCTATTTATGGTATGGGTTCAAGAGAGTCATTACGTCAGTGCTTTAAAGACTCAAATATCCTCACAGTTACTTCACAATACATTTATGAAAATATTATGTATACACGGAAGAACTTAGCGAGTTTTAAAAAACTCAAAGACTGTACAAGTAGAAACTTACGCAATATAAATAAGCTTATTTTACCTAAATGCCGTCTGCACAAAATCAGTAATTCATTCTATGGTAATTGCATAAGATTTTATAATAAACTGCCGGAATCTGCATTAAATCTGACAGAGAGGCAATTCAAATCTTATATTAAACAATTTTTATGTAAGAAAGCCTATTACAGGATAGACGAATTCATAGATGACAACATATCAAGTAAATAATTAGTTTATTAGCATACAACGTTATAATTTTATTTTCTCATTGCTTTCTTGATTTAATTGATTAATTTTAGAAATATGAAAGCGTAGCGGTTTTTTGTATTAATTGCCGCATGCATTCTTATGTAAAATGTGAATACTATAACTATCAGATGGCAATTGTGAGTAGCTTTGACGTGGTCTAGTGTTTTGAGTAGTCATGCTCACTAAAATGTCCAGACTTGTGGCGGCGTGGTGGGCCGGGTCATTGGGCTCCCTAAAATATGGTCGAGCGCAGTGATGGCTGGCTCATCCGTCATACTCGTGAACGGGTGCTGCTTGTAGGGACTGGTCTGCTCTAATCACTATGACTGATTTCCTCTTATTAATTGTTTAACCAGTTGGTTATGTATTCAATTTTTTTTTTTTTTTTTGAGTATTTAATTGAATTAGTGCTAATTGGTGGTTTGTATTCACACAATTAAACTTAAAAATGTAAAATAATAATAAAATTATTTAAAAGAGCATCACGCAAGTTTCTTGCTCGTTCTTCTTGTGATGAGACAGCTTTCCGAACGAGCGGTAAATTAAAAAAAAATTTAATGACTTTTCAAAAGTGCTTCAATGTAAGTTTATTTGAATAAATGATTTCTATTCTATTCTATTCTATTCTATTCTTGCAATTTCATTTATAATGGTCACATAAATTACAATTGCAGAGCAGTTTCCTCCTGTGTTCATTTAGGCTATGAAATGATATTACTGCCTGGATTTTCCTCAGAGATTAAAGTACAGGGCTCTTCAAAAAGGTTGTATTAAGGTTTCTTCAGGATCGGCAAAGCACACATGAAAGCCCTAGTGTTCCAGGAGCTCTAGTGTTTTATGTTTGTTTGCTATTTTTATATTTGACATAAAAACAGATAAGTAAATTTTGTACATTACACCATACTCAAAAGTTAACCTATTTATGATACAACATATTAAAATGTGTGATGAGAAATATTTATTTAATGAAATCTGAATTTTGAAAGATATTGAAGATTTTTTGGTTTTATGTCATGTTTCAAAAAAAATTTTTTTTTGGCATTTTATTGCTAATTATAATCTTAAATATGATGGTGTTTAAGCTTTTTTTAATTATTGTTAGTTTACTTAAAGCTATAGTCAAAGTAGAAATATTTTATGTGTTTTGTTATCTTTGCTCTCTGACCAATATTTAATAAAATATATTAATAATAAAAATGTTACCAGAATAAACAGTATTTGTAGTATAAACACTCATTATTTTTTCTTATCCTTTTCAGAGCAGTGATTTAATAGCATACTTGAAAGAACAATTAGACAGTAAAGAGAAAGAACTTTTTATTGTGGTGAGCAAGGAAGTGGAGGAGAAACAGCTATGGATGCATCAGTATGCACTGCAGAACAATATCCAGCATACACAAAACTCATGTATGGATCAACTGCAATTGAATCACTGTGACAGTCCTGTGGACAGCTTATCCTCCTTATCGGCATATGACTACCGGAATAGAGATGCAGAGTGCCTCAAATTGACTGAAGTCCGAAACTGTATAGTCTCAAGAGAAAACAATTTGTAAAAAGTGTGATTTTTATACATACTTGAAACTTTTCAGGCTGTTTGTGACCGCATAGCAATTTCAATGTGTTCACAGTAATCATTCATTGTATGTGTGTCGTGTGGTGGAAGTGTTTTTATAAACTCCCAATTTTTTGTATTGGTCTTCTCGCTAAGACAAACAGAATGAGCCGCAATAATTGCGCTTCTGTGTAAGTACTTAACAACTTTTGTAGATAATGATATGTTTTCAGTACAGCACTATTTTCTTTTACACTATTTTTTTTAATTAAATTATTTAAATGTTGTTGATTATTTAACGTGTTTTAATATTTTTTGTTAAGATTTATGATAAGTTTTACGGCCTATTGTTATTATGTTTAGAAAATATTTGCATTCGAATGTTCTAGAAGATGATCTGCATAATCTGTGAATGTCCTTACTTGTTACTACTTTAAACGCCAATGAAATTTCATAATGTAATAAATTATATTGAGCTAACATTACAATTACAATTAATGCATTTACATAATAGTGTAGATAATATGGTATTGTTGATGTTCCCAATACATAGTTACATTACAGGTTATATATAAAATAATGATTATTCTCGAGATTAAACATCTACTTGCATCACCAAAGTATTATAATATCTTCCTTATGTAAAACTGTGACAGTAGTACCTATTATCTAGAAGGTCGTTTAAAGTTTTAACTTCTCACTGTATACAAAGTATTTTACACTATAAATCTGCATAATGCCAAATGTTAAACCAAACAGTTCAAGTTAATAAGTCCCTACCATACCATTTAGCATAAACTGTGGAGCACATATAGTAACGGTAACTTGTTATGTTGTTTTATTAAAGCACAATACTTTTAGATGTTTACTACGATATACTGTTTTTTTTTTTTTTCTTATAAAATATTGTTAAGATTTTAGCCATCACAATATTATCATTCCGCGGATAAAACATTGTGATGATGATTGCCATCATAATTTATATATCATTTGACTTTTTCGAATGATACTCTATTGTTTTATCTGTATTACTGTAAATACAAACTATTTTTTCAAAAAATACAAAGTGTGATAAAGGACTATTGTTTTTTTTTACAACTACAAAATGTTTTTACAAAGTTTTATTAATTGGGTTTGCTGAGTGGTCGGAGATCTGTCTAATGTGTTTACAATTTTCAACCATTAAGGTACGATTTACCACAGACACTTTCTCCCCTAGGTTAAAACGGCCCTGAAGTCAGTGTGGATTCCTCCGACCCATCTACTAATTATGTTTCCAAACACCATGCATTACATTGCTAATTGCCTGTATTCCGTTTTAAAAGAAGAGGTATGCAAAGTCATTGTGACTACATCAATATTCTTGATCGTCACATTGTATAAAAAGCAAACGATTTGATCAATAGATGCATAACTAATTTATTGTATCCGAATATCTTTGTGTACAGTTGTTATTCTTGGATATGACGAGCCGGTCGGGGTCGAGTTTGTGCTCCAGCATAATCGCATAGATCTTTGCTCGCAACGCCGCCTCGATCTCGCGGTGACGGCCCAGTATCCATATGCGATCTGTAATCGTATACTGCATTAGCACAATGACTTCTTTATATCGTGCTATTAGTGTTTAAAAATCTACAGTTTTCAACTGAGAAGCGACTTAAATTTAGTTGATGCTGGGCCAGTTTAAGTGTGGGCAGTACCGGCCTTAGGGGGTGGCGAAATCCAAAAGGGGCACAAAAGTGTATAGGCAATTTAGGAACCCTAATACATAGATTACCGAACCGGTGGCCTGGTGCGGGCGACATCAATATGGATGATGATTTTTTCATCGTCAAGGGGCGTCGTGAAAAACTTGCCCAGGGGCGTCAGGTACATTAAGGCCGGTCCTGAGTGTAGGCTACACTGAAAACGTAGTTATCTATGGTGTTGGCCTTGTAGCAAAGAGGCGGACGGAAGACTGGAATTTTAACTGACAGTACCATGAGTCTTCCCTGGACGAGTGGGCTTCATGACAGATTTCTCTACGTAAAAAAGTATTGTTGTTAGTTTCCTATGTACATACTTCTTGTGTAAAGGAAATTGTTTTTAATAGAGATTAACCTCTGCTAGCAATATGCCTGCCAGATAGATTTGTACACCAGGATGGTTTACACAGGACACTACGTTCCTGGTGAATTCGTTACGATGGGCCAAATAAACTGACTTCTTCCTCACTTATCATCACCTAGCTAATAATATAACAATACCGCAGGCGTGGTTATCATTCCAGCACAACTGAAATACCTCTGGTGTTGCCAGTACTCATAGCTGGCGGTAATCACTTACCATCAGGTGAGCTGCACGCTCGTTTGCCTCTGTGTTATAAGAAAAAATGTTCACTGACCAGCATGTGCGATGCTGACACTGCTGCAAGACCATATAAGTGCGAATTGGTCGTAATCTGTGAAGAGCACGTTGTATTGCCCGGCGCCGGGCAACAGCCGCCCGATCACGTATGGCATGCGGTTGTTCACCTTGTACCGGAACACCGATGAGCCGTTGAAGCTGGGGATGCCGATGCCGTAGGTTGTTGATGGGTTACCTAACCTGAGGGTAAGATACAGTGTAGATGCAGTAAGTGTGTGTCCCGGCATAGAATGAGCCACCCCTTAATGTCCCGTGGATGTCGTAAGAGGCGACTAAGGGAGGGCGAGGGATGGGCAGCAGCGTCCCTCTTAAAACATCTCAAAAAGTCTAATGGGGAAGGCCTATGTCAAACAGTGGACAGTTAACGGCTGAAAGAATAACAATAAAGATACAGTAAGTACAATTAATTAATTGTTAGTAATGAGATCCAACAGACCCATTACTAGTAATATACCTTAACAGGTTGACCTCCACGCGGTTCTTCCTGGAATCTATTGTCGTTTAATTTTTAATTAACTTATTACGATAGGCCAACTAACCTGCTTTATCCTCACCTATCATCCGTCACTGGTGCCCCACCAGTGTATACCGATAGCGCGGGCGGGGTTACTATTTAATTAACATCCATAAAAAAAACATGTGTTGCCGTGGAGGAAGGGATCGGCCACATTACTAACAAATACCGACTCGCACGCGGTTCCACCTGGAAACGATGTGATTAATTCTTGTGGAATTAGTCAAGATGGTTAACTGACCTATTTTCATCCTCACCTATCATCTCTTGCTCATCTTGCCTCACCTCACCCAGCTTGTTCTCCCTACCTTATCAGTATACGCTACACTGATGGTTAAGCAGTTACCATTTTATTTTCACCTATTAAAAAAAGGAAATGCGTTGCCATTTGCGTAGTAATTTTACTGCTATCTCTCATCCTTCAAATCAAAACACAACTATGCTAACGTAACTTCTTCACGACAGATAGACGAGTGAAACAGGGGTACCCTTACATAAAAAGGACTTTTGTTGTCCTCTGTATGTATGGGTACCTAGATCTAAATACACATTAAAATTTACCATCTATTAACCGTGTTTATAGTGATGAACAGGTATCCTCTGTCGCCGAGCGTGACGTTCAGCTCCGTGCAACTGGCTGACAATTCCACTAGGTAGAAAGATCGCTCCACTTCATACCATATGCCCGTCATCTAAACAAGCAGATGCCGTTTAATTTCTTGGGACTTTCACACCGCGCTGGTAACGCGCGCTTCGAGGATGGAAAATTTAGAGTCATTTGGCGATTAATTCAGACAGATAAATTCAGGCCCAGATGTCTAGAGCCTAATTTTCCAATTTACTTTGAATTTTTAGGGCCATCCAGTATGTGTTTAATTTTGTTTAGGGATCAACCATTTTAAATTGGGGAGAAGGTATTGTTAATAATGGAGACTAAAAGCCCCATTACTAGCAATATACCCAACCAGGTCGACCTCTACGTGTCCCTCCTGGAAACCATCGCCATGAATTTCTAGTGTATTCATCACGATGAGCTAACTGACCTGTCTTTTTATCATCACCTATCTTCTTTCACTGATGCCCTGCCGTTGTATATCGTTAGCGCAGGCGGCTTTATCATTCCATCATCACCCATTGAAAAAAAAAACACTTCAAATTAGGTATTAGTACTATTGTCGATTAAAACAATATATTCCAATTAGTAGGTAAGTGTATTTTAAACACTGAAAACGATTTGAAGAACGTAACCAAGTTACTTTGTGTAAACGCGGTTCGGGGTTTATTTTTATTTATTTATTCTTTATTGAACACATAAAAAATGGTAGGTACAAAAGGCCAACGTAATGCTATATAGTGTTCGGGTTTGAGTTTCAATTAGGAAAAGAATTATTGTAATCATTAATTTCAACGAAACGTCGGCAATAAAGAAGCAGTTATGTAGGTACTATTTACCTGTAAAAGTATCTAGTGTATTTAGAAATATTCGTAATCGGCTGCCATTTTCTTATAACACTCAATATTATAGCTTAAGGACCAAACAATTGGTGTGGTTGTGTGATATTTGTAGTAAAAAGAATAACATTTTAGAAGTAACGCGCATGTTGGTACGTATTAGAACCTTCAGAGTCGCACCTATCTGTATCGGTAAACAGTAACTGTATCATCAGACAGACGGGTCGTATGACTTATTTGCTACCTACCTTTTTGATAGGTATATAAAATAATAGGTAATGAGGTATAATACGGTACTAACTAGTAGATGTATAATTATGTTCCACAAAAAGAATCGACTTAAATTGGAGGAAAACTAGTTATTTTAATTTAAAATTAAACTACTGAATCTATATTAATAAAATTAATATGATAAATGTATGTAATATCGAATGTTATGCAGAGCAATTATTGGAGTGCAAATTTTTTTTGATCTTTATTTATTTAGGGACTTTTGTCCTTTTAGGCACGTCAGTCCCATCGTAGCTTAATCAATTTTAGGACATCATTGGATATATTTTAACAAAATATAATCAAATTGAAAAGACACTACCAAATCAAATAATATGAATGAAAGGAATGTCGTGAATGTGAAAAGGAATGTGAAAAAAAAGAAAAAAAACTTAATAATCTATGGTCGGATGTAGGCCTTAAGGCAGGTAGATCTACATTAAAACCTACATTCAACCATATTATGATATTATATATATATATATATATATATATATATATATATATATATATATATATATATATATATATATATATATATATATATATATATATATACATGAAACGGAGTGCAAATTTAATGCTGTTTTATGTAATATTTATTTTATTAAAGTATTAATTTGTAATCTGTTGCCTTGCTATAAATAAATAAATAAATAAATAAATAATAAGATGATAAATAATCTGTAAGTATATTATTAAATAAAATTATTAATAAAAAAAATTACAAAATGGAATACAATTGACAGAGTTATGAGGTAACGAACATAAATAATACGACCGCATTGAGCCCCCTCTCTCTTTTTGAAGTCGATTGAAAATGTACAAGGTCGAAGGCCGTAAACGCTGTCAACGCGGGGCGACACAGTGTCTATGTGCGACACCTGCCTACATTCAACTTTAATATTTGGACCAGTTTCATGGGATGTTGAAAAAATACCTGAAAATACTTTTACTGTGGTAATTGTAGGTAAACAAAGATGGCGGCAATCAAGCACACGCCACGCCCGATGTTAGGTAAGCAGTAATCGCTAAGGCACATATCTTATTATAATAACATAGGCGTATTTCGTTAAATACGTTATAATGTCTTTATAATGTCGTTACATTATAAAGTTAATCATCCACATACAAAATTATTGCATTGCAGGGAGTCAGTGGATGCAGGTGGCTCAGGACCGTTCTTTATGGCAGTCTATGGGGAAGGCTTAAGTCCAGCAACAAATAATGGACAAATAATGGCTGAAATGATGATGATGATTTTTTTTTACCACACAGGGGGCAAACGAGCATGCGGCTCACCTGATGGTAAGTGACTACCGCCGCCCATGGTCACCCACAACACCAGCGGCATTGCAGGTGTGCTGCCGGCCTTTTAAAAAGGAATATACCTACTCTTTTCTTGAAGATTATGTTGTCCTATCGGTTCGGAAATACTGCTGCTGGAAGTTGATTCCAAAGAATGGTTGTGCGTGGACACTTACTTCCACGCAAAATGCAAAAAATGCTTCCTTGAAAAATGCACGGTGGAAGACCGCCACTCGTCTAGATGATTAGGATGAAACTTTAGTTTGTGACGGGTTGTACGGTGGTGGAAACCAGCAGCAGGTATCTTTTGCCAAGAAACCTTTTACACGAACCCCACGCTGTAGTTTTTCGGAGATGTCTAACAGTAATGATACTTTAACATCGAATAAATTAGATACGTGTCTGATTGTTTTTGGAAATATCTGGCAAGTCCTGTGACCGCTTTCTATTAATGTAGTTTTATTTATGTATTTATTGTAAATAATTTATTGCACTTTATTGTATCATTTAATTTCCTTCCTACTGCTACCAAAATTGCGTATATGTGTATATGTATGTATGTATATGTATTTGTATATGTGTTAGTATATATATATATATATATATATATATATATATATATATATGTATGTATGTGTGTAGGTGTATGTATATAAATATAATAATGAGCAGGGATAATATTTATATTATTATATTTATTACATCTTCTATATTTAGAACTAACAAAATTTTTCATCGTGCCTCCCACCAAATTGTTTATTATTACTCCTCTCCATCCAAAGGTTGCCTGGAAAAGATCGCTCTTAGCGATAAGGTCGCCCATTGTTTTCCCATTGTAATTATTTCTTGTATATTTATATTTATAATAAGTTTACTATTGTAATCTTTTGGAGGAAACAATAAAGAGTATCTACGAGTATCTATTATTTATAAAAATAATAAATAAATTAAATTTTAATGAGAGGCGATACAAGAGACGGCCTTATTGCCAAACAATCTCTTCTAGACAACCTTTGGATAGAGAACAATGAGAGAAAAAAGACTGAGGGTTGATGGTGCACTATTTTATAGATACTAATATACAAAAACATACAAATATTTAATAGAACACATAAAACAGGAGAGAACGATACAGGAAAATAGTACTAAACGGAGAGGTAATAAGACTTAACAGAGGTTTTGAAACTAGTGAGTGTTTAAACGCACCGAATAGAGTGTAGTTAAAATGTATAAATTAAAAATGCAATTTGAACAAAAAAATACTGTTACATAAAAGATTAGGCATATAAAAAGACAACGATGTTGTCTTGTAACAAGACATGTAGTAAGTTAAACGAACGTCATCTATGTAAATTGGTAAAACACGTAAATTGGTAAAGATTATTAGGCACGTTAGTAAAGCTATTGTATTGGGAAATGATGGCCGAGACCTTCATATTCAATAACAAGTGAATTTTTTTAGTATTTCCAAGTAAACAATAATGTAATGAATACGCAGTAGTGACACGTATTGTATAATTTAATTATGTACGCAGGTAATATGTATCATACGATGCTATGAAACATTCATTATAGACTTTAGAATCATTATTCCAGTAGATTTGGTTGAAATGTAAACAATTTTATAAATATCTATTTAGTTACTAAGCCAGGGTTTTTTTTATGCAAAGTAGTATGGCGAACAAGCTTACGGCCCATCTGATGGAAGGTGGCAATCGTCGCCTATAGACGTAAGTAGTACCATGGACATAACAGAGCATACTATTTCGTCCATGATACCCTATAAATTCACTGCCATATCGCACCCTTCAAACCGAAACATAGCAATGCAAACACAATTGTTTCACGGTAGAAATACAAATGGAACAGAGGTATCCAAGCAAATGACTTTTATACAAAGTCGTCTTCTTGTTTTTTAATATTAGAAGTAAGCTGTGAAAAGGTTTCGGCCGTACAAGGAAAATGCGTTCGTAAGTTACGGTAAAAACATATAACCAGGCGAGTCGTATGCTTATTTGTCGCCTCTGTGGTAAATATGCATACGGCTTACCTACCTACATAAATAAACACATATCTATCGTACATGTTTAAATCTAATATATACATATAGTATAGTTACAGTGATATCGAATATGATTATTTTTTTATTTATTTATTCATTAGTACAAATATGTGTACATGGCGGACTTAATACTAAAAGCATTCTCTCCCAGTCAACCATTGGGAAGTGTCAGAATACTCGAATGCGGTACTACTAATTATTGATATACATATACATACTAAAATTACATATATAAACGAATAAATATATATGAATAACAAATATACTTACACATATATGACATATAATATATTATACACGAAATTGAGAATAATATAAAGCACTTACTGCTCGAATAAAGTAAAAAAGTGAGCGTGAACGTTTTTTTTTAAAGACGGTTTAGACGGTAGTCTCTTAATGGCATCAGAAAGCGCGTTCCAGAGTCGTGAAGAATGTAGGAGAAAAGAGTTTGAAGCGTAACCAGTACGGTGAGAGGGGAAAGATAATTAGAGAGTATTGTTGGAACGAAGGTTACGATCGTGAGTTTCAAAAAGATACTGGAATTTACTGCTTAAGTAGTTAGGAGACTGGGGGTTTCGAAGAAGAGTGTGGAGGGTACAAAGAGTCATATATACTGAATACTTTTTCCCAGAAAATCGTGAAATCAAAAATAACAATAAAATTCGAGTCTCCATTCTAAGAAACTGGATACACAGTATAAAAGGTGCTAATAATATCAATTTTAACTTGTAAATATATTGGTCTCGTAAAGTTTGTTAGTAATTTCTAGAAATTAAGCAGATCAGGTGTAAAAGATGTGGTGTAATCTTATACACTTATCATCTGGTGGGCCGTATGCTTGTATGCCATCTCAGTGGTATAAAAAAATATATACCTGATGCCCATTGAAAACCAGCGTCGCGGTTTTGCTGTGTCGAGCCATGACTTCTTTTTATACCACTGTGGTGGAAACAAGCATACGGCCTACCTAATGGTAAGCGGTTACCGTAGCCTATGAACGCCTGCAATACCAATGCATGTTCGTAGCCGACACTGAAGAAACCTCTTTACCCCTTCTGAACCCCATGCAGTAGTCTCTTGGAAAAACCTCGACAGGGATGACATGCCGAAATGGGCCATACTTTGACCACGACACCAATAATAAAGAGATTAAGTGTATACTGCACTAAAAGAATTATTCTTAAATTGTTTTTTTTTGTGTACACACATATTATATATATATATATATATATTACACACATACATACATATATTGTTTATTTTATTATTGTATTTATACTATTATACATATATGAGTTATTGTGAGTTTGTCAGACCTGTATGGCGTTTTTTTTTGATGGGTGAAAATAGTATGGTAACCCCGCCTGCGCTAACGGGATACGCTGGCGGAGCACCAGTGAAGGGTGATAGATGAGAATGAAAACAGGCCAGTTAGCCCATCATGATGAATTTATCAGGAATTAACCATGATAGTTTCCAGGGGGAACCATGAGGAGGTCGACCTGGTTGAGTATATTGCTAGCAATGGGATTCTCAGTCTCCATTACTAACAATCCCTTTCCCCTTTGTATGGCGTATTAAAGTAATAAATGCCTATCAGATATAAAAGTTGAAAAATGTTTTAGTATGGCCATTATGACCCTTTCTCATACTTATATACATGCTTGCCGGTTACGGGTACTTTTAATTCTTATACTTACTCTTCTAATATCGAAGTTAGGGAACTGCGGGTAAACGGGACATTTCCCAAGTCCAGTACTTATCACATTTTTAAACAGCGTGCTTATTAATAAAAACCATATGGTGGACGCGCCGCTCACTGCAAATTTGCCCATTGCAATCTACATTAATATTATATACCGATATCTAAACAGGGGGTGGCCACACAGCCGCGGAGTACTGCACGTATTCGATATTGTTTTGTAAACATTTAGCATTATTCGAACAACACACGGGGCGGCCGGTCCGGTGCCCGTCCGCAATTAACACTAGCATGTTCGAATGCTATTCAATAAATTATTCATATATTGTATGTATTAGGCTATCGCCATACAATATATTGAAAATTTGACTTTCAGATTGTCATATGGGATTAGATAAAGCGTAATATAACATGTTCTTAATATAATAACTATTGGGGGGAAAAGAGATTGTTAGTAATGGAGACTAAGAATCTCATTGCTAGCAATATATCCAACCAGTTCGACCTCCTCGCAGTTCCCCCTGGAAACTATCATGATTAATTCCTGATGAATTCATCATGATGGGCTAACTGGCCTGTTTTTATCCTCATTGATCACCCTTCACTGGTGCCCCGCCAGCGTATCCCGTTAGCGCAGGCGGGGTTACCACTCCATTTTAATCCAATAAAAAAAAAATATCTATTAGTAATTATTTACTTATTATTTATTGATAAAAAAAAAATAGTCATTGATTATATAATTACTATAATTATCTTGTAAGTAAATCGTTTCAATTATTGTGTTATACATAATAAACGTAGTTGACGTAGCTGATGTTGTAGCTGTAATCACTTACCATCAGGTGAGCCGCATGTTTATTTATCCCTATAATAAAATATAAAAAAAAAACAAACAGATGCCATAGAGTCGAAATTATACCTCTTTTTTGAAGTCGGTTACATTCCGATGTTATCAAGTCAAGTACAAAAACGACAAATGTTAGCACGCTGCTAAAATACAAGTATCAAAATACGACTCATTACAGATGTCTCTGGTGTGCACTATTCGAGTCGTATGCGGCCGCCTTATGTACTCACCCACACATTTGTATTAGGTAAATACATAAAAGTAGCTTGAAATTAAAACGCACAATTCCGTAAGTAACAGTGCATAAGTCATAAGTTCACAACATTCTTTTGTCGCGGGGTCATTACGTATGTTATAAACAATTAATTAAATATTTATCGTTCACACCTCGAACATTTAACTGGACGAATAGGTACAACTGGTATTAATAAAATACATTTATGTTATAACAATTTTATTTATTTATTTATTGTTATTTTACTTTGAAAAGGAAACATACAATATCTAAGACATATAAAATAGTATACACAACCATAACATAAATCAGTAAAGTTTCCACAATGAACCAAACCAAATAATCGAGAGCAGATGATTATTGATATTATATATGATATTAACATAAAAATATATATAATAGTATATACATGCACATACACACACACACACACACACACACACGCGCGTGCGCGCACGCACATGCACACACACGCACACGCGCACACGCACACACACCCACACACACATACACACGCACACACTTGACAATAAAAAAAACAATTTATTATTACTTTACTTATATAACCGTCTTTACTTCTTATAACTAATATGTACATAAATTATATTGACTTAGATGTAAAACTAGTCAGAAACGATATAACAAGTACAGTAGAAAAATATTCAATACTTGTTTATAAATTTTGGAACATATTTTTACGACTAACTCACAATAACACACAGTTGCCTTTCTCGTGGGTGCCGTAAGAGGCGACTAAGGTAGGAGAACTGATTATATATATACAGATTTTTTTTTTATACAACTTAGAATGGCAAATAAGCTGACGGCTCACCTGATGGAAAGTGGTAACCGTCGCCTATAGACATGAGCAGTACCAAGGACATAATACTGTTTCGCCCATGATACCCCCCATGCGTTGCCGTACCCGAGGACTCGGATGTTATTCCTCTGTACCCTGTAAATTCATGCCGTATCCCACCTTTCAAACCGAAACACAGCCATGCAAACACAACTGCTTCACGGTTGAAACACGAATGGAATAGTGAGAACTTTAAGGATGGAGGAATGAGGACCTTAATGGAAGGAGGAGGGATGGGCAGCAGCGCCCCTCTTAAAATGTGATCAAAGCCTAACTAATCTACCTGCCAAGAGTGGCAAATACTGATCCCCCTCGCTTTGCAAGGGGGAGACCCAGGTTCAGCAGTGGACAGGCTGGACTGATAGGGACTGAAAGGGATTGTGAGTAATGGGCTCAAATAGCCCCATTACTAGTAATATACCCTGTCAGGTCGACCTCCACATGGTTCCCCCTGGAAATCATCGTGACTAATTCTAGTTGAATTCGTCAGGATAGGCTAACTGACCTGTTTTCTTCCTCATCAGTCATCTATCACTGGTGCCCCGCCAGTGTATACCGATAGCGTAGGCGGGGTGACCATACCATTATCACCCATTAAAAAAAGTCTGGACTGATGATTTTGTATGAAAAGAGATATTTTACGTCTATGTATATATGTATATGTATTATTGTATACAGATATGTATTTATTTTGATTTTAATTGTATGAGTTACTTTGTATATATGTCAACATATTTCATATTTTTAATAGAAACATCTATAATGTTTCCTTCCATTATTGTACGCATACTGCCCGCTAATAATGAATGCTCCTTTCCACTCAGGGTTTGCTGGAAGAGAACTCTTACAGAGTTAAGCTCGCCTGTTGTACATCTTTATTTTATATATATTATATGTTGTAATTTTTTTATGTACAATAAAGAATAAATAAATAAATAAATGATTTTGCATTACATGAATTTTTTTTTAAGTATTACTTTTTATTATAACAATTTAACTCCCAAAGTATATATATAGTATATATAAGTATATAGTTCAACTTTTTCAACTTGTTAAACTCGAGTTTTAATCCGCGGTGCAGAATGAGAGCGTAAGTTATTTTTACCGTGTGGGGTCGACATGGCGTATAATTATTTCGGCTTGCTGTGAAGTTTTACTTGTAGGGTTTCATTTATTTATTAATTTTAATATTTTTTTTTTACAACACGGGGAATACGAACATGCGGCTCACCTGATGGTAAGTGACTACCGCCGCCCATGGTCACCCACAACACCTACGGCATTGCAGGTGTGCTGTCGGTCTTTTAAAAAGGAATATGCTCTTTTATTGAAGGTTATATTGTCTTATCGGTTCGGAAATACTGCTGCTGGAAGTTGATTCCAAAGAGTGGTTGTGCGTGGGAGAAAGTGCCTTGAAAAACGCTCGGTGGAGGACCGCCACTCGTCCAGATGGTTGCCTCTTATATTTATAAATACAGCTCTGCTGTTCATACGTGCACTAGTCATTAACAGGTTGCTATGGTAACAATATAAGCAATATATTACCACTTTATATTAAGCGCTATATCGGACTTCTCGACGGCGTGGTACCGCGTGTGCAACATGGCGCGCGCCTTGTCCGAGTCGCGGCCGTCGAGCCAGTCGGCGTACAGTCTGCGGACCAGGCCGCCGCCGCCGGCCGCCGCCAGCGGCAGCTGCGAGTACAGCCCCTCCAGTTGCGTCACCAGCTCACGACTGCTCTCGCCAGTCGAGGGTCGTACCTGCGCTCCGCCGTTTAAGCACCCTAAAAAAATATGCTTACTGTAAATAAATTCAGATAAAGTATTGTTATGAACTAGAATGGTGATCCAGCTATCAATATACATTGGCGGGGTACCAGTGAAAGATGATAGATCAGGGGTTCCCAAACTTATTTTGTCTACTGCCCACTTTGAGAATAAATATTTTTTAGCGCCCCCATTTTTTCACCTAGTCAAAAACCACAATTACTTCAAATTAATCAATTATTGTGAGCTATATTAGCGGAGATTAAACATTAATTCTAAACGAACTGGCGGAGCACCAGTGAAGGGTGATAGATGAGAATGAAAACAGGCCAGTTAGCCCATCATGATGAATTCATCAGGAATTAACAATGATACTTTCCAGGGGGAACCGCGATAAGGTTGACCTGGTTGGGTATATTGCTAGCAATGCGATTCTTAGTCTCCATTACTAACAATCCCTTTCTCCCCTACCGCCCCCCTTTAGGCCTGCAGCGTCCACTTTGGCAAATTATAGCTGCAATAAAGTGTAAACAAATAAATGATTTTTCTGATCAGTATTTAATTTTTTAATGGTGTTTTCATTGCCAGAAACGTTTTGCAAATACTATTCCTATTGTAAATTAAATACATTTCCATTTCATTGTTACATTACATTAAAAAAAATGTTACCTGATGGACAAGCCATGACTTCCACATAGTGGTACGGAGATTTGCCTCTCTTGAGCTTTTGTACTAAGTTCTGAATATTTCTGAATCCATTCGCTATTGCAAATTTCAACACTTCCTTGCCGTCTTTTTCTAATGTAACCTCCCGGAAATCTGGATTCCTGTAAAAGAAACATGTAACTTACAGGTTTATATATAAGGTTTTATATGCGCACTTAAAATATTTGTTTAATAAAATTGTCGGAGCCTAATGAAATAGTAAACTCCATCCGCGCTATCGGTATACACCGGCGGGGCACCAGTGAAGGATGATAGATGAGGATGAAACAGGTCAGTTAGCCCATCGTGACGAATTCAACGAGAATTGTTCACGACGGTTTTATTGCTAGCAATGGGGCTGTCAAATTCCATTGCTAACAATCCCTTTTCCCTCCAGCCGAATTATGTAAGCCATGTTGGGGTCGTCTTAGATTACGGAGAAAATATGATCGTATTATCATGGTCTATATATAGCAAGGGTGGCCAACTTGACTAGACCCAAGACCTACTGTTTACTGACGAAACCTTGTGCGATCTACCAATTACATACTTCTAGAAATCTCAAATGAAACAACATAGTTTAGTACACAATTATATAGTATTGTAGTATTTTTTTTTTATTTTATTAAGAGGAAAAACATAAAGCTGAAAATTATTCTTAATAACTACTTATTTATATTAATGTGAGCTTTATCATCTGCGTTACTTGGCGTGAGTTTACAGGGTACAGAGGAATAACACCTGAGTCCTCAGGAATGGCAACGCATGAGGGGTATCATGGGCGAAACAGTGTACTCTGTTATGTCCATGGTACTGCTCATGTTTATAGGCGACGGTTACCACTTTCCATTAGGTGGGCCGTCAGCTTGTTTGCCATTCTAAGTTGTATAAAAAAAAAGAAAGATAATTTTTCACAATAATTTTTATCATAATATTTATATCATTATAACTATCAATTGCTGAACATAGGCTTTCCCCTGTGGGGAGTTTTGCCAATAGTTGCCACGCTTGGTAGACGGGTTGGCAAACGCAGTTAGGCTTTGGTGATGTTTTAAGGACGCTGATGGCCATCCTTCGCCTTCCCTTAGTGGCCTCTTACAACACCCATGAGAAAAGAAGGGCTGGCCCATTCTATGAAGGCTTAATGACGATATCAATTTTTTTTTTAAATACAACTGTATCGATAAAGTTCTTTTTGAAGTTGGTTGATTAAGGACACCCAACATTTTGGACTTCTATACTTTAACTTTTACTCTGACTGCTGAAGTCACTTTATTAAATGATTATAAAGAGCAAAGGGTGTGTTTTATCAAATATGACCTATTCCCTGGTTCAGTCAGACAAATCAACTTTGGCATTAACAATATTCAGGTTGAAGGATTACCTTACAATCTCACCTTAAATTTCTATAAACGAGCGGCGCATTGCTCTCTCCGAATAACTGTTCGGCAGCGTAACTGAACACGTGGTCTGCGTAGCCGCCCGAGCCCGAGCCGAGGTGGCGGCGGATCGCCGGGTGACCGTCGCTCTCTGACCACGGCCAGTCCAGCTCCGAGCTCGCCACTTCACTGAGAGACTTGCCGCTGTTGTTCAGCATTTGTTCCAACTCAACTGGCAATAAGATCACACATTAATAACTTAGACCGGCTGCTGTTTAAGGTTGTTTGGACAGAATGTTAATAAAACACTTTTACTGAATAATTATTACTTTTTTTTTATATCACAAAGGTAACAAACAAATAAGCCTGTCTGATGGTAAACGGTCACTATAAACCTATGGACGCCTGCAACACTAGGAGTGTAACGTGCGCATTATCGACTCTGAAGAAACCTTAATATACCCTTTTTGAAGTACCTAAAGCAGTGACTCTCAACCACTGTGCCGCGGCACTTTTGTGTGCCGCCAAATTTTAAAAGTGTGCCGCCAAATTTTGCAAATATTTAAAATTTTTGTCATAAACTATTTATGCAGTGTGTTGTAGTAAGTAAATAATTTTTATCTTTTTCTTTGTGTGCCGTCAAATTTTGAAATCGTTAAATATGTGCCGCAACAAAAAAAAGGTTGAGAATCACTGACCTAAAGTCTAAGAAGTCTAAACCCTTGGCAGGAAGCTCATTCCACAGCCTGAGCGTTCGCGGGAGAAAATTTCTTTGAAATTGCACTGTACGTGATCTTTTAGGGACAAGTGTGCGAGAAAGAATTCCCTGTCGTCGGCGATTGATTAGAAACAACTAATAGGTTTATTGATAGGTTCAATCTACTAATATTATATTATTTATAATTATATTTTGGCTAAAATATTAACTCTAAGATTTAGTATACTGTCAGTCGTGTTAAATAGCAAGAATGAATAACAATGACGCACCCATAATTCAACCTTAAAAAAAAAATAACTTAAGATTGTGTATCACAAAAAAACCAATTTCAATTATGGTAAAACAAGTTAGTTCCATTTCAAAACTATAATATTAATTTTGATAGTTTCAATGGGACCAAAGTAAAGGTATAATAATAATAAATAATTTCTATTCAAGTAAACTTAATAATAAGCATTTTTGAATAGTTATTTTTTTATGAAACCACTGCCAAGTTCAGCATGCAATTTCAGCTGAGAAGAATGGACACAAATTACAGCTGTTGCTTTTTTAAAATAAAAGTTTAAGGTTGCTTTTTGTTCAAATAAACAATAAAATTATATTTTTTTTAAATAAAAAAGAATTTTTCAAATGGTTTATAAATGACAAAGGTATTAGGTAACATACATAAAAAATACAACCTCAATAAGAGGTTCTCAATAGAATCTCCTCCTTTTTTGAAGTTGGTTAGAAAGGTATGACTTTATAATAACAACATTTAATATTGTAGGAATAATAAGAACAATACTTGGCTTGAAAAGGTGAACGTTCTTACTTGCAGTAATGACGCAGTCCACATCATGACAACTTAATATTTCACTATAGAAATCCTCTCTGGACGCTTCTAGCTTCTTGTCGTAGCATGGCATGAATGTCACGTGGTAGATCTCACTTGGGTTCACCTCCTTGGATTTAGACAGGTACTGCTTCACCAGGGAGCCCATAATTTGCTGGGGGGATTTTGTACTGGATATGTATGGAAGGATGAAGTTTCCGTGAGTCTTCTCTGCATAACATACCCAACCTGTAGAAATTAAGAATTATAATTATTATATATCAAATAAGGAACAACACAAATTAATCATGGTTTTTTATTGTGAATGGCGTATTACAACTGATGATAGATTATGTGTTAGTACCCTACATAATAATAGCTTTTTCCATAAAAAGTTGAGAGTCCAATGAGGGTGGTTCTAGAAAAACACTGACACATTGAATTATTGATATACAACAATAATATTTTGTCCTTTTTATACAGTGAATATATTTCTTCAAAAGGGGGGTAAAGAGGTTTCTTCAGGGTCGGCAAAGCACGCATAATATCTCTGGTATTGCAGGTGTTCATAGGCTACGGTAACCACTTACCATCAGGTGGGTCGTATGGTTGTTTGCCACCTCAGTGATATAAAAAAAAAAAGTGATACTGCAAAGCAGCTAATTTGTATTGGTTGAAAAAGATTTTCAATTTATGTATGTATCTAAAGACATTTTAATATGTGATAACAATATAAGTGATTAATTTCTCATCAAATAGATTATAGTATAAAATAATTATGATATGGCCTTTAACTATCAAAACTCACACTTAGGTTTCTTCTGTCTTAAACTTTTAGGTAGGTAGGTGAGGATGAAAGCAGGTCAGTTCATTTCATCGTGATGAATATGTAAAAACAAATCATAATAGTTTCCAGTAGGGATCACATGGAAATTGCTATATGAATGTATTGCTAGGTACTGGGCAGTTGGCTTCTGTTACTAACAATCCTATTTCCCCACTATCATTGTAACTTGTTCAATTTAAAACTTAGGACATAAAAAAGTGAAGTACCTGGACAAGAACTGGCAAGCATTGGAAGATGTTTAGCAGTTGGATCGTTCTGATGATTATGGTATCGTTCTAGAAACTCCTGCTGTACTTCAAGGAGTGAGAGATCTTCCGCCACTGTCATATCTAGTACTAAATCAGCTCCCAAACTTTTGAAATATCCTGAAGATAAATTGTTTTAATTGATTTAGAAAATATATTATTAATTATATATAAATTGTCAACCCATAATCAGGTTGACTGGAAAATAATGTTATTTAACATTAAGTCTGTCTTATACACTATGTACAATGAGTAGTTACAGTTATAATAAATAAATAAAATCATTACATACATTACAAAATATCAGTGCCAAATTGTAAAATTAGCTGCAATATAAGACTTGTTAAAAATAGAATTATTGTGTTGTCATTTTAAAATAGAAAGTAAGCATACAAACTCCATTTAAAAACCTTTTATTTTACTCTCTATGCTAAAAGTATTTATTAAGATTTTTGAATGATACAAATTCGTTTCTATATGTTAATCTTACCAGCTAATTTTTTAGTAGCATCCTCAGGAGTGAGCTTGTATCGTGCCGCAAGAGAGAGTGTAGGCTGCGGTGACAAAGATATCACAACTAGACTCACACTTTTTGTCACACCCTTGTTATCTGTGTATTTCCTCTCTGAGAACACTCTGAAAATATTCAACATAGTTAAAAATAGTGATTTCTTATATTACTGGTAAATTACTAATAGTTAAATTGATTTTTAGTTTATAAATTTAACATATTGTTCATAGCTTCAGGTCTAAAGAGGATACTGTCAGGTTTATTGTCAAAGTATTTTAAAAAAAGTTAATTTGAATCTAATTAAAATTTAAATAATTTTACAATATTTTGATCAATTAGAAATTATTAATTCACATTCTTCATTATAGAAACTTGCCTATTACTTAACTGTCACAATATAAAATTGTAACTCAATCATGATTAGCCTTATTAATAATATGTAAAGACGAGTTTGGTATTTTAGCAGTTAACCAATCACTATGAAATTTGGTATATAGGTACTATATGGAGAAAGGATATAGGCTACTTTTTATTCCAATTAGTAAACATATTTTGGTTACATGGACAAAGTTGCAGGTAAAAGCTAGTTAGATAATATTCTAGTCTAATCAATTTCTATTTACATGTTATTGTTTTTTATAAACATAAAACTGACTTGAGTAGTTCTTCTTGACTCTGCCGAGTGACTAATACACTCTCCGCTGATGTGATGCAACCACTGCAAGCAAGGCAGTCAGCTAGAGTAATCTCGACTTTCTGAAGTTTCTGCTCTTGACCGCTAGATATATCAAAATATCCATCCTCTCCAATCTTTATTTTAGCACCAGTTTTTGTTTTCTTTTTTTCAATTGTCACTGGTTTTATGCACTCCTGAAATAAAAATCAGTCGTAATGTTAGTTAACAATTGCGATATTGTGCTAGGCGGGAAAAGGAATTCAAAAATTCTTTCTTTTATTAAGTAAATATATGAATATTCTATCATATAACTGGATGTAATTTTATTCTGGTTTTAAATCTATTTATATATAAAATTGTTTGAAATATAGCAAAATTAGTTGTAATAAGTTTATAGGTTACTCACTTGTGAGGGCGTAATAAAGTCATCAAGGTCTGTAAGCTGTAGAGCACCACTAAATCGAGATGCCATAATTTAAAATTCTTATTTTAAACTCTTGAAAAGTGTAAAAAATTAATAAGTTTTAATTTCATTTCATTTTTTTTTTTTTAGTACGTTTGTTCCGTTTGGAACAGGCTAAGGTCGGAGACCATGCTGCCTTAATTTCATTTCATTCGAATAAGTCAATATACACAAAAACTCATAACAAATTACACAGACAAAATTTTTTTTTTTTTTTAGTACGTTTGTTCCGTTTGGAACAGGCTAAGGTCGGAGACCATGCTGCCTAGTCTTCAAAAAGATAATTTGTCTGGAATTTTATTTTTCTAATGTCGCTTCAATTATTGTCATAATCTTCAATATTTCATTTGTCAAATCCGGTAAGTACATTTTCATAAATATCTTTTCTTGAGTTTTCTTAAACCAGTGGATTTATCAAATTAAAAATAAATAATTATAAAAAATCATTGTCTTGCAATTCAATAAAAGTATTCTTATAGCTCCTTGAATGTTGTAGTAATATAAGTGAAAATAGCTTTGAAACAAGAAGGAAATCTTAAGAGAATCGGGATTGAGTGCGGGATATTTTCGGGTTTTTTGAAGATAATCCTAAGTTCGTCAAACATAATGTGTCTTTGAATGACAAATTCAGAGCAATCAAAAAAAAAAAGGTGATGTAGAGTTTGGGCTGTATTTGAGTTACACCATGTGCATGATGGGGAAGCGATCATGCCCATTCGGTGCAGGTGTTCGTTGAAATGTCCGTGGCCGATTCGTAATCTACAAATATTGGTGTAAAATTTTCTGTTTGTGTCCTTTCCTTTGCAGAACCACGGTTTTCCAATACGCCAATTAATTTTGCGGTACCATTTGCCTTTAGTCTGTAATATTTGAGTCCAATGCTCCTCCCATTTAGTTGTAACGATTTTATGTATTCCAATACTACAATCTGAGTAACAAAGGGTTAAATCTTGAACACGAGCAGCACTTGAATTAATAATTTTAGCCAAAGTGTCTACTTGTTCATTCCCAAACACTCCAATATGTGAAGGGGTCCAGATGAAGATAATATCTTTTCCATATATAGTACAGAGATGATAATATTTATTACGAATTTCTTGAATTAAGTAGTTTGATGATGAAATGAATGTGTTATTTTTTAATGCCATAAGAACACTCATACTATCTGTAATTATAATCCATTTCGAATATAGTACCTGTTTTTCTATGTATTCTAATGCTAAAAATATAGCTTATGCTTCTGCTGTGTAAATACTAGCCAAAGTTGAAATTTTATAACCGTGACCAAATCTATTTGACAAATCGTAAAAAGCCACTGAAGTGCTAAGTGCATTTTTGGAACCATCTGTATATATCTGCCTGTAGTCAATAAATTCTGATAAAGTCTCATACATATCGTGCTTTTCTTTTATGTCTTTACGTATAACAATTTTGATCTTACAGAACTTACTCTCATAAAGGCCATTATAACAAGGAAGTATCTTACTACTATAGATGTTATATTCATCTCGTAAATTCAAATCATTGACAATAGTTTTATTCAAAAACATAGAAATGGGGCAATTTAATAATTTGAGTATGAGTGGGTTATTGGAAACTGAAAAAACTTTGAAGAGAAATTTGAGTTTTAGGTATTCGAAACGAAGAAGGATAGGAGGCAAATTACATTCTACTTGCATTGAGATAATTGGAGAAGTATACATAGCACCTAAAATAAGTCTTAAATTCATATTTTGAATTTTTTCGAGTTTTTCTACTAATTTATGTTCTGAGGCATAACAAAAGAAAGCGTAATCAAAATTACTTCTAACAAGAGATTTGTAAAGTAAAAGGATAATTTTAGGATCAGCTCCCCAGTTACGACCAATTACAGATCTTATTATATTAGTGGCTCTTAAAGCACGATCTACTAAGCAATCAACGTATAGATCCCATTTTAAATTTTGATGAAAAATTACCCCCAGAAATTTAACGCTACAGTCTGTTGGAAGAGTTTGATTATTATATATAATATTCATTAATGGAACATATTTATGAACTTGATGAAAAACAACTACTTTACTTTTGGTTAAACTAATATCGAGGGAAAGAAGAGAAAAATATTTCTCAAGTCTTTTTAATGACTCATTTAACACTAATTGCATATCAATAATATTCTTTCCTTTTATATAAATTAATAAATCATCGGCAAATTGCAAGTTGTTCACACTGTTTCCTAAAATTGAATTAAGTTTATAGATATATAAAATATATAGTAGCGGGCTTAGAATACCACCTTGACATACTCCTTTAGAGCTTAACCTAGGTCCTATTAATTTACTATTTACTTTAACATACACTTCTCTATTACTAAGAAAATTATAAATCCATTCGATAAGTTTCATTGGAAGAAATGAGGATAAAATCGAAGATAGAACTGTTAAATTTACATTGTTAAAAGCTCCTACGACATCTAAAAAAACAGATAGAACATATTCATCGTTATTCAAAGCAGTACTAAGGTCGACATAGAAGTTCGCTAAACTTTCGCGCGCTGAATATCCACGGCGAAAACCAAATTGATTCGATGGTAATATACTATTACTTTCAATAAAGAACTCTAAACGCTGTTTAATTAATTGTTCGAATAATTTGCCTGCACAGGACGTCAATGTTATAGGTCTATAGGAGTCGAAATTTGTAGGATCTTTACCTTGGGTTTAATTACTGGAATCAAACAATCCATTTTCCATTCTGGTGGGATAATACAGTCCTTCCATAAATCGTTAAAAATTTGTAAGAGTTTAGTAAGGTTTATTTTATTCAGCAATCGAAACATATTGTATGTTAAGCGATCAAGGCCACTAGCTGTATCTTTTCTAGATTTTACTGCACTGGATATTTCATCAATTGAGAATGGGTCAGTGAGAAATTTTGGGCATGAATTAACAGAATTAAACTGTTTGTCATCAAAAGGTGAGTGTACAAAATCAGGAGTATATTTGCGTAAAAAATCATTGACCCATGATATATCTTTAAAATGATTTTGACGATGTTTTGAATTTAGTTTTCTCATATTTTGCCAAACAGTGGAAATTGGTGTTAATCTATTAAATTTGGAACAAAATTCCTGCCACCCCTGTTGTCTTACTTGCTTAATTACTAACTTTTTAACAGCTTGAACTCTTTTAAAATTTATGTAATTATCGAGAGTTGGATTTTGTTTAAACCTAAGGTAAGCCGCTTTACTATCATTGACAGCTGTCGCACACCTGTTATTCCACCAAGGTACTGCAATATGTTTGTGCCTTTTTGAAGTATTTGCACCGCTATTTGATAAGTTCCTACGTGGAACGGAACGTTCCACAGCTGTCAAAATAATTTTACAGAACCTATTGTAATTGTTTAAGGGTTCATTGACATCATACTCGAAATCCAAAAGTAATTGATTAACAGTTTCAGAATAAAGATCCCAATTAACGAGACGTAGGTTTATACGATTTAACAAAAGTTTATTAACTTCATCTATAGGAGCATGTTGTTCACCTGACGGAGTTGATGAAGAGTTCTTTGTGTTTATTTTAGTAAAAGTCGGCAGGTGATAACTTCCTAACGGATCATCATGAACCGACCACTCGCATTTTAATGATATGGATGGGGATACCATAGTTAAATCAAGGCCATTGGGTCTCCAAATATGAGAGCCAACAGTAGTAACTTGCTTATCATTTAATAGTACCAAATTACATTCATCTAAACAATCAAGAATGTCTTTACCTCTTGTATTAGTGGAGGTACAACCCCACATAGTATGATGTGCATTTAAATCTCCAGATATGATAGTGGGTTTAGGAAGAGACTCCAAAAAGAACTTAAATTTGGCTTTAGTAAAACTAGGTTACACAGACAAAATATTAACTGTCAACGTCAGCTGAGCATTTTTTTTTATTGGCAATATTTTTTATTTTTAACTTAGTGACTTTTTAATTTATTCATGACCGTATATAGGTCTTAAACCGAATATTTAAATAATATTTGACTAAAATAAGGACTACTGTCTTACCGTAAGTCCGTCTAAAACACAATGCATTATTATTGGTAACCCTCGCTATATATATATTAAATTCGGGTAATCATCGACCGATTACTTTTAATGATTATGTAATTAAAAGTAAGTGTTAAAAATTTCTGGGTACATTTTAATCAAACATTAGCCTAGTCACATCAAATATCTTGTATAAGTCGTAAAATATTTGCACCCATAGGTAATCTCAATTGACTGCGAAACTTTCTGCCAGTCGGAAAAAAATGTGTGGATTGGCATATTCTTTTTCTACTACTTTATATTCTAAATTACGCTGATGTCTGTTAATCTTACAGAAGATTAATTAAATAAACTTAAGCGACATCAAAATATTTATATGCGGTTTATATTTAATCTTCGCAAATATAACCATGTCTCTGATTTCCGCAATTAACTCAAGTGGCTTCCAATTCGCTTTCACAGGAGCTGGCATATAATTTCTTTATATTATTATTTTCCATCCTTCAACTCCTGATTACATCAAGATATGCTTTAAGTTTCATGTCGATTCCCAGGGTAGCACATTACGCAACGCGGGATCCCTTCCTTTAGTAACTCCTATACATTCTTCTAAAGTCTATTCCTATTCTTTCACTATCCAAATTATCCGTCTTTGGAACTCCTTACCTCTTTTCATTAGATCAACGTAATCTTTTGCCTCGTTTAAGAGGAAGTTAAAATCTTATTACTTATCTCTCTAATTTGACTTGATATTTACTACGTGTTCGTTATTTTAATCTATTTAGTATATTTATGTTTATGTACTATTTTTTATATTATAAACGTATGTTTATGTAATTTTCTTTTATTTCTATATAAATGATATTTAGAATAATATTGATTTTTAAAAAGTAGTAAGATGCGTTATTTTTTTGTATTTACTGTGTCTGACTTGCGCTATTCACCTTCATCTCTGTACGTATCTACTATTTATGCCAGGTTGTCTGTAAGAGATCCCTTTTAGCGATTGGCCGCCTTTTGTATTCAGTATAAATACTCCTTGGATACTACGTCCCTTTTGTGCGCAATAAAGAGTTTATTATTATTATTTACATTCTACACGAAATGACATAGGTTTCAGTTAATAACATGGATGTAATATAAGGTTAACAACTAGCTACATTACCACTACTCCAGTAACATTAATAAGAAAGAATTGGCCGTGGTCTTATACATAAGAGCGTCAGGCATATAATAGGCTTTTTTTTTGTATCCTTTAAGGGGGGCGAGAAGGGGGGGGGGAATAGAGGCGGGAAGGGGGTTTTCTTTTGGCCGTGAAAAGCGAGGAATGGGCAGCAGCGTCTCTCTTAAAACATCTCCAAAACCTGTTCTATATATATATATGGTTTCCAGGAGGAACCGCGTGAAGGTCAACCTGCTAGGATATATTGTTAGCAATGAGCCGACGGTATTCACCATCGTTGAAACCGTCCCTAGTTAAAATAAACAGTAGAAAGTATATTTTTTTTATGGGTACCAATAGAACATTTTAAATATTGATATTTATGAATATATAACACTATATCAATAAGGACATCTAATTGACATAGGTAGGTATATTTACATATAAGTAAAAGTTGGTAGATAAGTTCTATTGTTTTCAATAACGTCGCACGCAAAACACACTCTGTGTACGTTTATTTTGAATGTTTTTACCAATTTCGGTCTTACTACGTAGGACTGGCCACTTACATCAGCTGCGTTGAGAAAAATCAATCACATCTTCCCGCCTCCGTCGGTTTCCAAGGTAACGCGTAAACAGTGGGGAGCCGCCGTGCAGTCCGCTGTATTGTTCGGACGCGCTAAGATTGTTTTTTGACTTGTTTCGTGCCCGTGTTCGTAATAATATTGTACTTGTGCATCTAATTTGTCAGTGGATAATGGCTGAGGAAGGAGCCGCGGCTCCTGGAGGAGCCACTGAGAAAGTGATACATACCTATCCGCTTATAAGGGTAATATATGGAGTTTGATTTTTGTTGTAGTTATACATATTTTTTAAAAGATATTCAATACTTAAACTGGCATAGCATACAATAACATTGAATGAATTTATTTATATTTTATTATTATTGGGAAAATTGTACCTATTTGTTTATTATACGAGAATGGTCAAGACAAAAGTCTTAGACGAATTCACATCCTAAGTATGTCCTTTGTAAATTTTTTTAAGACCAAAAATAAATAAAAATATTTTTTTATTAAAAAAAAAACTACTTTTCTCTATCTCCACGCCAAGTCTCTTGCGGCGTAGGCAATTTTTTTTACAACATAGGGGGCAAACGAGCATGCGGCTCACCTGATGGTAAGTGACTACCGCCGCCCATAATCACCCACAATATCACAGACGTGCTGCCGTGTGATAATAGAATGGTATCTCCGCCTGCACTATCAGTATACACTGGCGGGGCATCAGTGAGTGATGATAGATGAGGATGAAGCAGATTAATTATTCCATCGTGACGAATTCAACAATAATAAGCCACGATGGTTTCCAGGAGGAACTACGTGAAGGTCAACTTGATAAGATATATTGTTGCCAATGGGGCTGTCAAACCCCATTACTAATAATCTCTTTCCCCCCTAACTTTTAAATTATTAGGTAGTCATATAATAATCTAAATGTCTATAAATTTTAATCTAATATATAACAGATAGATCTGTAGTAGGTAGTTTCAAATTTCGGACAACTCAAGGTCCGTTAGTCTGGGAAGTGGGAATACCAGCGTCGCGCTTCGCTGAATAGTGACATCGTGTCATATCAGGTTACCTTCATAGCGTACTGTTTATTGATCCTCATTTTCCATCAATATTTAATTTTAATGAGTGTCACAGTGTATATGTATATATAATGTATGGACATATATATATATATATATATATATATATATATATATATATATATATATATATATATATATATATATATATATATAGTCTATAGGTGACAATCACTACACTCTATCAGGAGCTTAGCATGGGGTTTTTCAAAAGGGGGGTAAAGAGGTTTTTTAAGGGTCGGCAACGCACGCGTAATACCTCTGGTATTGCAGGTGTTCATTGGCTACGGTAACTACTCATCATTAGGTGGGCTGTATGCTTGTTTGTCACCTCAGTGGTATAAAAAAAAGGTGTACCATCAGATTATTATATATATTCTTTATTGCACTTGTTAATTATATGTAATATAATGTATTTATAAATGTTGTGAGCAAGGGTGGACTTATCTCTGACAGAGATCTCTTCCAGTCAACCCAATATAGTGAGAAAGCATGTCGTTAGCTGGTAGCTGAAGTGCTACAACTATTAATAATTAGAAAACAAATATATTATCTACCATGCCAGGATATTTGCTTGCATATAAACAAATTTCGAAGAGAACAAGATTTCCGAGGTAATTAGGTACCTAATCTACATACCTACTCATGGACGGTGGGTACACAAATATTGAACAAACAACAACGGTTGAATGGTGCACGCCCGGTTCCACTATTTGTTTTGGCAGGTGGATCCGAACCATTCGTGTTAGTTTAGTTATCAATCAAAATTTATTATCTTTACAAACTATTTGAGTGCTTTTATGTAGGATGTTTGGATAGGTGTACACAAAGCATCGATTAGTTATCGGACGTAAATGGAATGACTGGGGGGACGAAATCGTTAGTAATGAGGGCTACCAGTCCCATTGCTAGCAATATACCCTGTCAGGTCGACCTCCACGCGGTTCCCCCTGGAAACCATCGTGAGTTCCATGTGTATTCATCACGATGGGCTGACTGATCTGCTTTTTTTGATTATTCACCTATCACCCCTCACTGGTGCCCCGCCAGCGTATACCGATAGCGCAGGCGGGATTACCATTTCATTAATCATCCATTAAAAAAAATGGAATGATTATTGTGCCTGCGCTATTATATTAGTGTACTAGAGAGAGATAATAAGTAGGGATGACGTCAAATCAGCTGGCCCATCGTGATGAATTCATTGGAAGTTAACCACGATGGTTTTAAAGAGGAACTACGTGGAAGTTGACTCGACATCGTTAATTGTTATTAACGGAGCCGGTAATCTTCATTACTAAAAATTCCTTCTCCCCCTTCTGCTGGATTGTCAAGTAGTTTACTTTGACCATCATATTTATAATACCCATAGTAATAGGTACATTAGGAGGGAAAGGGATTGTTAGTAATAGAGACTGAGAATCCCATTACTAGAAATATACCCAACCAGGTCGATCTCCTCGCGGTTCTCCCTGGAAACTATCATGGTTAATTCCTGATGAATTTATCGTGATGGGCTAACTGGCCTGTTTTCATTCTCATCTATCACCCTTCACTGGTGCTCCGCCAGCTAATCCCGTTAGTGCAGGCGGGGTTACCATACCATTTTCACCCATCAAAAAAAATAGGTACATTAAATAGATGCCTAAATATACTTGTAAACGAGGAAGTATGTTTTACGGACTCTGAGAAGCATTTTTTTAAGTTATGACTTTTAAAATAGTTTCATTGTCCCCAGCACTCGGATATGTCAGAAGAAATGCGCGTAGAAGCAATGGAGTTATCAGTAACAGCGTGCGAAAAGTTCTCACAAAACAACGAGCTGGCCGCCCGCATGGTGAAGGAATCCATGGACAAGAAGTTTGGGCCTGCCTTCCACGTGGTGGTCGGCGAAAGTTACGGCTTTGAGATCACATATGAGTGCACCACCATATGCTATATGTACTTTGGTGGGAACCAAGCGATCTGTATTTGGAAATGCTCTTGAAATTCTCGATACACGGCTATTGATGTGCTGGACATTTCCATAAACGTTTAAAGTATTTTTTACAAGTGCTCACTGTGATTATAGAAATTGGTTTCGTGATTACATACGGTAAGCTGGTTATGGTCGTCTATTATATTTACTTTTTTTTTAAACATGAAATACTTAGAAGTGAAAAATGCGGCCGACATCCGAAACAATACTACATTATGCTTTCTTATGCAAAGTAGTTTGTTACATAAATGAGAACTTTGAAAACAATTTCGAGACATCATTAACATATTCTTTTCTAGTATTCGTATTTACTTAGTATTGATTTTTCGATGTTTTACGTATTGAGCATGTCGTACACTTCACTCAGAATAAGTATCTAACCGATTTCAAAAATATAATTTTCTTTTCAATTTTATTCCTGTATGTTACGTGATACCTATGCCATATGAACTATTTCAATTATATTTATAATCGAGCTAATAATATTTCAAAATTTTACTAATGTGAAAGTGAGTTTATTTGTTCATTTTGGCACTTTAATTGCTCAACCAATCGTCATCAAGTTTGGCACACGTACTATTTGCGGTAGATGACATAATTTATTAAATAAAAAAGAAATACGTTGTTTTCAAAAATAATATTTTTAACAGTATTTAAGGCCCGTGGTAGATATTCAAACTACGTCCGGAAAATAAGGACAGTAATTTAAATGTGCTTGAATTAATAATTTTAGCATATGACTGTGCCTAAAAATATAAATTATAGAAAATGTGTATAAAACGAAAACTGTTCACACTATCTTTGAGTTTACCCACATACATTATAAATGGAACCAGGTCAAAGCAATGTGAAACGCAGGCCAAAGTAAGAAAGGAATGTATGGCGCATTCTTATGATTTATGAATGCGTAATACATACATTTTTCGTATCTAAAGCCTTCTAAATTGGTGGAGCGGCACCTACTTATTGGGTTAAGTTACATGGAGCAATGATCTCACAATGGATGTAGGGCTAATATACAGCTTCATGATTGATTGTTCTAATCATGAACTTTTAATATTGTAAGATCATCGTTAGTTTATGCTGTGATAATCAGTGACGGATGATACATGTAGATATGAAGTTGGTCGATTAGTCCATCGTGACAAATTCACAAATAAATAACTACGTTGATGTTTTTTTTTACTGGTTGACAATGGAATGGTAACCCCGCCTGCGCCAACGATACACTACGTTGGCAGGGCAGCAGTGAGAGATGATATGTGAGAATGAAAAGGCAGATTAGTTAGTCCATCGTGATGAATACGCTTGGAATTTAGCACGATGGTTTCCAGGGGGAATCACGGTGAGGTCGATTTGGTTGGGTATACTGCTTGCAATGGGGCCTTAGTCCCCATTGCTAACAATCCCTCCTCCCCCCTCACTACGTTGATGTTTCCCAGAAGGACCGTGCGGGGATCGATTTGAGAGGTGTATTGCTAGCGATGCCTTGTGTCAGATTAGTTATGCCCTTGGTTTAAATATAACAATAGGGATCCATTTTGTCTAATATTTTTGTAAATCAAAATCAAGACAACCAAGGTGAAGTGTGTAATTACACGTATTTATAGTCAAAGGTACTTAAAGTCCACAAAAAGCAAACGGTGCCTAATAATAAAGTAATTATTTTTTGTCAATTATGGTGTTTAGTCAGCCTTGAGCTGGGTACGACTTCCGAGATCCTATTGTTCACTGAGTCATGATTCGAAATGAGTAACTAAGCAACGACAAGTTTATTAAATGATATAATTATTGTCAATTAGATGCATCAATTTTTATGATTGTATTTTGTGTATTGTAAGTAATTATGATACAGTGTGAAGGGTGGTCGAAAAGGCGTACGCGCAGGCCGCAGGGTTCAAACATACAAGAGCGTCGATTCTTATGTGCTATTTTTTTAAACCTTAAGAGATATTTAATTTTTTTATTTAATAAGTTTAAATACAAAAAATATACCTGTATTTAATTTTTGCTAGAAACAACATCCATTACCGCAAAATTTAGCTAAGTGGGTTACTGCGAATGCGGTTCATAATAAACCCACATTTTATGCGTCTTTTTTACCACTCTTACACAGGGTCAAATGTAATGAGTATACTAAGCAAAGATATAGTGAAAGTATTCATGTAAGTCTCCTCTCTTCCAGACAAAGTGCCGCCACCGAAACCGCGTGGTCACGTAATCATTAAGCACATACGAAAATTTTTTAAAATGTTTTTGTATTACGACTGACCATCCATTTTTAGGGGTCCGTACCTTGAATGAAAAAAACGGAACCTTTATAGGATCACTTCGTTGTCTGTTTGTGAAAACACTTTTTCTTAGGAACGCGTGGTGGTGTCAAGTTTAGATTGATATCATATTAGGTCTGGTCAGGTTTGCAATCTCTTAAAGCAGTAAAAAAATCAAAGATACGGCCTTTTATGTTCCATTTATATCGCATATTTTGACATTTGCAAAGGGAATCAAAACCTATAGGGTACTTCCCATTGACCTAGAATCATGAAATTTGCCAAGCAGCAATATCATGTAGCACAAGTAAAGGAAAGATCCGGAAACCATAAATTTGTAGTTATTTCACGAAAAAAATTAAAATTGATGATTTTGTACGGAACCCTTGTTGCGCAATTCCAACTTTCACTGGACCGGCTTTTTTATTATTGCACGACATGTGACCACACCATCCTGACTCAGGATTCCTGAGCGAACACAGAGACAACACGGTCGATGAATGCAATCAACCGAAAAAAAATTTTTTTTTGATGAGTGAAAATGCTATGGTAACCCCGCCTGCGCTAACGGGATACGCTGGCGGAGCACCAGTGAAGGGTGATAGATGAGAATGAAAACAGGCCAGTTAGCCCATCATGATGAATTCATCAGGAATTAACCATGATAGTTTTCAGGGGGAACCGCGAGGAGGTCGACCTGGTTGGGTATATTACTAGCAATGGGATTCACAGTCTTCATTACTAACAATCCCTCTCCCCCCACCGAAAAGACTTTGTAGACTCACTAACTGCTTTATCACGCTACGTAAAGCTCCGATCGATCTTGACGATATAAGTAGTTTAGTTTCATAATATATATAAATATTGTCACTTGATTTTAGCTTAGTATGTTCAATACAGTTAACCCTATTTATAAACCTGTATATATAATTTTATAGTTTACTCTAGAATTATCTACTTACGACGCTATGATGAAGCGAGTACAAAACAATATGGCGGCCATAATTGTAACCAGAGTTATACAATATTATAGATATATATTATTATAATTAAATGACGTATTTATCAGAGATTATTGTGTGGTGTGTGGAAATTTTATAACTAATATATAGTTTACATATAAACCAACCTTATGTTTAATTTTAGTACCTTTAAATCCCATTATTTGGACTTATATGCAAAATTTAATGACAATATATTTTTTTTTTATTTTTTTGCTGTTTTAAAAAATAGTTATTCTTATTTGCAGTTGTATGTCCGTTTGATTTGAATAAGTTAATAACTAACTACATATTAATATGTAGGTGTACAGAAAATAACATAAAAAGTTTTTTTTTAATGGGTGAAGATTAAATGGTAATCCCGCCTGCGCTATCGGTACGAGAATACGTTGCGATTTCTTGCTGCTGCACCAGTGAGGGATGATAGGTGAAGATGAAAGCAGGTCAGTTGGACCATCGTGACTAATTCATCAATAATTAAGGACGATGGTTTCCAAGAACCGCATGGAGGTCACCCTGTTATATTGCTAGCAATGGAGCTGTTCACCTCATTACTAACAATCCCTTTCCCCCACTAAAAAAGGCTTAATACCTACTCTAATTTGCTCTTGAAGGAATAGTAGTATAATTCGTGTGAGAATGGGAACTACACGTGTCAAGTTTCTAGTTTGTTTTCAGTACAATGATCCTACCCCGAAGATCACTAGAGCTTATACATGCAGTTTTTTTTTGTGGGTGATAATGGAATGGTTACCTCGCCTGTGCTATCGGTATACACTAGCGAGGTACCAGTGATGGATGATAAACGAGGATGAAGTAGGTCAGTTAGCCCATCGTGACGAATTCAACAAGAATTGTTCACGATGGTTTCCAGGGGAACCATGTAGAGGTCGACCTAATAGGGCATATTGCTAGCAATAGGGCTGTCAAACTCCATTAGTAATAATCCCTTTTCCCCCTTATACATGCAGTTCTCGACCTTAATTCTTACCAAGATAAATCTTTCGACTTCTTTCACTCACACGAAATTAGGTCACGGACGTTAAAGCATAGAGCAATGCATTTTCATATTAATATGCAGTGCGTAGCGTGCACACTACACACCCACTTCGTCAACAAATGAGATTTTAAAATGTTTTGTATAACCGCTTGCCTAATTAATATATGGTAATAGTTACACACAATACAAACCTGCCTAATTCATATTCATAACTCGCATTGGTAGTTAACGGTTCAAACAATGTTCAATATGTTATCTGTATTTATAACAATTGTTCGCGTCGCGCGGAAAATTCTAGATAGAATTTAGAAGATAGTGATTTATTACCTATTGCACAAATAGCGAAAGGATTTAAATAATAGAACTTAGGCCATATATAAAGTATACATAAAGCGAATTTACTGGGTACAGAGGAATAACACCTGAGTCCTCAGGAATGGCAACGCATGGGGGGTATCATGAGCGAAACAGTATACTCTGTTATGTCAATGGTACTGTTCATGTCTATAGGCGACGGTTACCACTTTCCATCAGGTGGGCCGTCAGCTTGTTTGCTATTCTAAGTTGCATAAAAAAAAATCAGTTTTATTAAATTTGGTAATTATTGACCAAATAAAACCATGCTTGTCTCTCTTTCTCTTTGCGTCTTATAAATATGAGAAAATTCACTCGTATAATAAAAATGAAACAATCACTTAAGTCAAAATTATAATAAACTTTAATAATACTTAAGTTATACATTTCAATTAAATTCAAATGGAAAGTTGAAGGTCATATTTCCGATTTGATAATAAAGCACTGTATGTGATGTCCGTTTTCTATACTACTTATTTATTAGAAAACTGTAAATGCCGTGTTACTGGGTGCGTTTAAAATATTATTTTAGAAATTGTTGCAGTTGCAGGCAATTATGTATTTTGTAGAAACAATTTTTAGTTAGTCGGTTTATTAGTATGTGTTTATTATTTATTGAATCGAATTCTTTTTTCTATATTTAAACTTTGACCACACTCGTAGAGTCGAGCAGTGGAACAAAAACTTTTACAGTATAATCGAAATTGCCACGTAAAAACAACAAAGAATGGTTAAAAAAAAAACCTCGGACTGCAACAGACAAATATCTGTACCTGATATTTGCACATCTATAGTAATTTTAAATTTCCTTCAAATTTATTTAAATTACAATGTTAATATTAAACATAACAAAGTTTTATTAGAAAATCTTGCGTTTCCCGCTTTGTCAAGAGAATTATGGCGCCCTGCATTTATTTTACGTCTTGGCTGTTCCTTAAACAGATCGTAAACCAAACTTGTGCCTATTATTATAGTGGGAATATAATAGAAACTCAAGTCCAAGAAACATCGTCAGACTTAAGCCATCGATAAGCATTGTTATTATTAGTCCTAATGAATTGTAGGCATCGTTGTAGAACAGCCAAGAACAAAATATACTTATAATAAAAAAAAAAAAAAATAGCTGTAGAGCGCCATAACACCGCAACACAAAGGGGAAACACTCCCAAAAGTGCAACAACAATAATTGCAGACTAACCTACGTCTTTTACGTAAACATTGGCACATAAAGTGATCACATAATATGTATATCAATACTAAATACATTCCGTACGAAAGCTATTACAAATATAGTTAATAAACTACAATATTAAAATTTACATTATATCAACTATATATATATATATATATATGTATAGGTACTTACAGTCAGGTTAACACAGTTATGAAACGCTCATATAAAAATCTACACAACTCATACAATATAGTTAATGTTGTTAAACTTATCTAATTCTATCTAACAAATGTATGAATATAATTTAACATTTTAGGCACGTATTTTTTATCATATTCAGTGTGTACTGGCTGTGTCTCTAGTAGACGACTGGGTTGTATAGGGAACTAATATTATTATAAGCACCTCTGTTTTATATATTTAGATGTGGGAATTCATCGTTTATGCTGCATGACGTCTTTAAAATTATATTTTATAAATTATAAAAGATTTTTCAACAAATATTAAGTAGATATATTTGCCTTTAATGCAATGCAATGAGTGATGTTAAGGCCTCCGTGGTTTAAGGCCCTTTCCTGTCTACGTATATCTAATGTCTGTTATATCGCAGCTCCTAAATAGTTAAACTTGTATTTTTTTTCGTTCTATTTGAAATCTTGTTGTTCCTAGCTATATTATGATAAATCTTTGTTGTAATTTTTTTTATACAACTTAGAATGGTAAACAAGCTGACGGCCCACCTGATGGAAAGTGGTAACCGTCGCCTATAGACATGAGTAGTACCATGGATATAACAGAGTATACTGTTTCGCCCATGATACCCCCATGCGTTACCATTCCTGAGGACTCAGGTGTTATTCCTCTGTACCCAGTAAATTCACGCCATATCCCACCCTTCAAACCGAAACACAGCTATGCAAACACAACTGCTTCACGGTTGAAACACGAATGGGATAGAGGGACCCAAGCAATCGACTTTTGTACAAAATCTCCCTCTGGTAGAAAGAAGAAATTACACGAAATATCTGTTTAAGATTTAAATACTGATATGTTTACAGCAAGATAACGTTACGTGATCTTAAAGCAGGAGGACTGCAATTTCTTATTTTTAATATTTCATATATGACTTAGTTCCATTCCATTCTAAATATTAATACTTTGTTATTAATAAAACAACATAATTAAAAACTTACTTAGTACCTACACTACAAATTCAGAGCTCGGAAAGGAATCGTAAAAAAAAAAATTTAGACATCATGCAGCGTGAGAAATCTCTGTTACATAAAACAACTGTTTAGATCATTTGAAGGAGATATTAGAGATAAAGTAATATAAAGAATTATCAAGGTCGATTCACATAATCGAGCTAAACTGGCCTTTCACAATATTTTAATATTAGACGTTATTTCAAAGATTGACGGCTTTAGCGATATAAATTAAATGGTGAATTGTTTAATTTTTTTTTTTATACAATTTAGAATGGCAAACAAGCTGACGGCCCACCTGATGGAAAGTGGTAACCGTCGCCTATAGGCATAAGCAGTACCATGGACATAACAGAGTATACTGTTTCGCCCACGATACCCCCCATGCGTTGCCATTCCTGAGGGTTCAGCTGATATTCCTCGGTACCCAGTAAATTCACGCCATATCCCACCCTTCAAACCGAAACACAGCCATGCAAACACAACTGCTTCACGGTAGAAACACGAATGGGACAGAGGTACCCAAGCAATCGACTTTTGTACAAAGTCTCCCTCTGGTTTAATGTTGTCTTTATTCTTTTGTAACTAGACGGCGATGGTCGATGGTCAATTAATATTCGTACGATTATTCATGATATGCCCTCATTTCAATGATTATGAATTGATAAAAATTTAAAACTGCAATGATGTGAATCGACCTTTAATAATATAGGTACGCAATACCTTATAAAAACGATAAACGATTAAATAAACCTATTCTAGCTATTGAAGTTTTTTATCTCTTTCTTTTACACTGATTTCTCAGTTTGAAAGGAAGTGACAAAACACTTTAATAGTTAATATATGTTTGTAGGAGGTTTTGATTTCTATTATCGAGAGTAATAGTTATATACGTAAATAATAATTCGAAATTCAGTGAAATTATATTATACTTACTTTGTAAAGTTTAAAAATTATTTTTATATCTCGTGTTACTTGAATTACACGATTACTATCTCATCGTTTCGAATTATTACACTCTGACCGTTACACCTCGTGTGACATTCGACTATAACTTTTATGGCTATATAAAAATAAAGAACACATTGTATTGGAATGATGTAGTAGATGCAGCGTGAAGAGATCTGTTGAAGGTTTGTGACAGCGTAATATATAATAAGTTAAAGAATACTGCAATAAGCCATGCTTACACCGATTCAAATGAGATAACTTGTTGCTCGACAAATGAGCACGAATGGCACTTGTGTTCAACGAATGACGATCACAATAAACAATGTAACAACTAGACAACGGTGGCGCTGCACGTAACTGTTCATACAAGTGTATTTAATAATCGTGCTTAAAAGCTGTAACCTGTAATATAATTATCCTACAAGTTACTACAGCATGTTGTCTGTCTGTGTACCAAATTTCATTAGAATATATTCAACCATATAAGCGTTAACAGACATCCAAATAAATTCACAATTTTTTATATTTACATCAAATATTTTGCACGACAGACCAAGTATCAAATACGAACAGTCATGTGTGGTGCCACTATAATTTATTCGTATATGTTTGCTCGATTAAAATCATTTAACGAATAAATTTAAATTACGTCACAAAAAAACTAGCAAAATTGTTACTTCCACAATGATATACAACTTATATATATATACAGGTACGTATAGGTATGTAACAATACCTGCTTGCCTCGAAATACATCTTTGAAATAATATGGTAAGTAACAATTTTCACTTGTCCCCCTAAATTATATATAATATACATATAAATCACTAATACTTTACTTACACAAAAACTATCATATAATTTAATATCTCGAATGCATGTATATTAATTTGTTAAAGAGTTTATTACAGGTCTGTCTTTGTAAATAGCAATGCATTTTATTTTTTTGATGGATGAAAATGGTATGGTAACCCCCCGCCTGCGCTAACGGGATACGCTGGCGGAGCACCAGTGAAGGGTGATAGATGAGAATGAAAACAGGCCAGTTAGCCCATCATGATGAATTCATCAGGAATTAACCATGATAGTTTCCGCGAGGAGGTCGACCTGGTTGGGTATATTTCTAGCAATAGGATTCTCAGTCTCTATTACTAACAGTCCCTTTCCCCTAATAATATAGCAATGCATTAATAGTTACATCAAAAAGCGCAAAGCGTTACAATATTTAATACTACCTACCTATTATTCTTTATGATAATCCGAGACTTTACAATATTTTGTTATAATTATATCACGTTTTCGATATCCGTTCGAAGACTTATCGACATGGTACGCGCAAAGCTCCTTGGCAAAGTACCTATTTACTGTTAGTCGTTTAGTCGTATCGCTCTATATGTATGAGTTTGCAATATTCTATGTTTATAGGCTTTTTAGAGGGTGAGTGGGGAGGGGGAGTGACCATCACAACATTCAAGAGCGGAGCTTTACACACTGATCTATCTATAATATGCTTCTATACTTGAATAATTTAGTAAACTTTTTTTGAAGTTAATTCTATCATATTTTATTTAAAAATATGATCGACAAAATCAATAATGGATAATAAATAAAAAAAAACAAAAATGATTTAATTCTAGCTTTTCTGTATTGTACTGTTATTTCGATAAACAGAAAAATCGTGATAGTTTACCAAATATTACCAATACAAATTACAAATTTGTTTGGGGTGAAAGGATGAATATCATAGAATAGTCGGAATAAACTAAGTATTGCGATAAGTTTCTGTTGGTGTCCTGTCTAGGCTATGAAACATAAGGAAAACACTTTCTTCATATACATCAGCCGAATTTTTTTTTCAGCTTGGAGATAAGTAGAATATGGAAACTGGTTTCCACAGACACGAAAACTGTAATAAACCGCCCGGGGTAATTTTCAAGCGCTGTCACTTAAAATGCATCTCGACTTTTACCCATACGAGCCGAGCGTTAAGTGTTCATTCGAGTTATCTACATAAGTATTATTTTTTAATAATAATTTATAATAAATTTAAATCATATTTTATACTTAATAAGTAAGTAAAAAAAATATATAAGTAGGTAATTAGAGAATTTCTTAGATTAAGATTTCAATTAGCTTGAAATGCGAATTGAAACGTGATGGGAGATAAATCACTTTTCATTGCATATTCCTACATTATGCATTAGTATTGGCGATATATCCACTAACACTGAGGTCGGACATGCGTGTAGATACTTCGTAAACTCATATGTTTGTACTAATATTCTTGTAGATATTTCACATAATTTTTTGCAACAATATTTTTTGTTCAAGTTAGTATTTTCAAAAACTTATAGTTTTTTTGCTAACATGAGAATACAGTAAACACTCTATATAAAGCATCTCATTTGAACCACTTTTAATAAAAAAAAAAATCTTATTGGGAAAAGTTGCTTATAGGGGGGAAAAGGAGTATAAAAATACTTACCGTCTGGAAAATATTTTTACTTTATTCTTTTACTAACTAAGCTGAGTAGAATAAATAAAATATAAAGAATGTTGCTTATAGAGAGGTTGCTTATATAGAGCGTTCACTGTACATAAAAGTATTTGTACAGTGAAATATTAACAAAATATTTGTACAAACATATTTGTACAAATGCCACATATGGGATCGACTAGCGAGAAATATCTAGCACCCAACCTCAAATTACACAATAATAACGCGATAAAATATTTTATACTTTTTAACCATTTGTTTGGTGTCGTACCAGTCTAAATCGACATTTAATTTTTAAATTCAAAATAATCTCATCACATTTGTATATGCGTTTGTAGACATATTTATATTAGGAAGACGTTCCTATTATTTTTCACGTCGTCAAACTAGTTTGAACACAACGAAATATCACTAAAATACTAATACGTATTTAACCACGTTTATTACGATACAAAAAAAAATATAAATTTTAATTATAAAAGTAACAGATCATGAATTTTAGCGGCTTTGTTGTGAATGCTGACTGCGAATATTTGGTAACGAAAGTAACGTATATGCAATGGAATACGAAATATAAGTTTAAGTGTGGCAACATTGCAATTATCTGTCAATTTCCAAAAACAATTGATAAGTTTTCAATATTTCAGATTGATCGTTTAAAAAGTTCTCTGCTAGCGAACTAAAACTTTAAGCGTGCAATAATATTCTTGTAAAGCTGTCACTGAAAATTTAAATTTTGGTGGAAAAATGTATTTGAAAAATTTCGAAACAAAATATTAAGTAGGTGCAAGAATTAACGTTTTAGTTCGCTAGCAAAGCAGTTTTTAAATAAACAATCAAAAACAGTAAAAAATGTCGTTGGTTTTGAAAATTTAGAAATAATTGAGACGTTGTCATAATTCGTTAACAACGCCTCTTAATTTGTAACGTTTATGCAATAGTTTATTATTTACATATTTTTTTTATGTAACTCTACAGTAAAGCAAAAGAGGTCTCTTTGAATCGAAACATTTGGTGTTGCATTGTCTACCTACCCCAAAAGGAGACAGGCGTGACATCTGTGTGTATGTTACTCTCGTTTAAGGTTTCATATAATAGAAAGAAAATAGAGAAGACGCGGAACTTTTAGTACTTCGTGTACATTATGTTACGTAATTCTGTGTTCTTTTAAAGTCTCTCCAAGGATTGTCTTCTTTTAGCAAAGGCCTATCAGTTGCCATTTTTTCAATCGATGACATTCAAACCTTTAAAACATGTAATATTCAAATTAAACAAATTTATAATTTTAAATTAAAACTCGCAGTCAATATCCATAAAAAAAAACTAAAATTACGTTCGCAGAAAAACTGGGCATATAATTTGTTGACTACTACAATAAAGATACACAACCATGTATGACAAAATATGTTTTTTTTAAATTAATAATTACTTTTGCAAAAAAAAAAAAAATTATAATAATGGGTATACCATGCCGCAAGTTTCGGCATGGTATGAACCTTCATGAAACTGAATAACTTTCCCAGAAGCAATTTCCAATATGCAAATAATTATTGAACCCTTTCGTAAGAATTTGCTTTCGCAACTAAGAAAAAAAAAAAAAATAAAAAAAATGTTGCTCCATGTTCTGTTTTTTTTTTTTTGAGAGAATTTATTCAGTTTTATGAATACTATCACTGGTTTTCGAATTGATTAATTATTTTTATTGATAAATAAATTTTAATGAAGCTTGATTCTGAATAAGCCCATCTCAATCTGTGTCTAATCTTTTCGTATGATACAATTATTTGTGATCCAAATATTCTTATCAGGTATCATTTTAGATATACGTATATCTCAGTATACATACAAAACGAATATGTATTCTAAAAAAAAATACTTAATTGTTAGCAAACAACCTAACAGCTGCCGTGGATTGTTGTCACGCTACAACCAATGTTACAACCGCGATCATCCCCTGGAAAGTAAACACAAGATGTTATTACACTCATAAGTTGTATTTGATGCTCTGTTACATGACATTTTATGGGTGACAAAACTATAGCCATTTTGGCACTTTTTGACAGATTTTTTTTTTAAACATACGGGGGAAACGAGCGTGCGGCTCACCTGATGGTACACGCATGCCTATTTAATTAAATATTGTTATAAAAATTTAAAAATTCCAATATAAACAGTTTATTATAATTAATTATACTGTTTATTTAAATGAAATAAAATAGAAATTAAATAAATTATTTTGTTACAATGTATTTGTGGTTTGAGTTGTTTGCTAGAATTTTTAGATTTCAATTTTGTTCTCTCTGAATACTATTGGAACATTTGAATCTATCGATCCAATTATGTCGATAGTACCAATAATGCTGATTTATTATATTAGAGGTATATATTTTTTTTTAATTAATAAACAAAAAATTGGCATACCTAATAGGTACGTAGCGGAAATATTTATTGCCTGAATACCTGAATGTGACAGAAAGTGATATCTGACTACCCCTCATCTAATGGTATCTGTTATTTATTTATTTATTTAGAATATAATATCAAATGGAGGCGAATGTAATGGACACATACACTGCATTTTATTTATATTTCTTTTTATTGTTATTTTTAATAAGGAGTTTCGTGACTGACTCTTGGCCACAACAGAATATCAGTGTTTTGCTCTTTTAAGGGCAAAGCAATAAACAGAGATTTGGCCATTTTATGTTACAATGTTATGTTACTAATCTTAGTTTTGAAGACTTTCGTTCACAAGTAATTGGGGTTAACATGTAAGTGGTAAATATTGTATTAATATCAATCCCATATCACATATAATTTTGTTGCATTTAAAATCTTGGATGCATTTATATATGCACAAAACAAATTTACCTTATAAAAATTTGTTGGGTCAAAAATCTGGGTCAAAAACGGTGAAGGTGATGTAGAGGCGTAGGTAACCTGGTGCGGCGGACTAGACGGTGGTGTAGTAGTAGGTGGCGCGGCGCTAGGAGGGCTGGAAGTGCGTGACGAGCAGCTTGGTGGCCCGCGCCAGCTCGTACGCGGCCGCGCGCAGCTCGCCCAGCGCCGCCTCGCCGCCGCACGCCGCCTCGCCGCCGCACACCGCGCACACCGCGCACACCGCGCCCGCCGCCGCGCGCAGCTGGCTCAGCACCGCCGCCAGCGACCCGTCCGCGCACGGCTGCCGGGAACACCCTCCTCTCAATATTTTACTCTTGTTACACAAAAACAAAAAACAAGTATTTCGATAGTGAGAAAATTAGTGCATTACTGCAGCGGCCAGCAACTGAGGCATTGATGGACGAACGTGCAAATGTGGGCCGAGGCGTAGCCGAGGCATACATACGTGACTCCATCAATGGCTAGTTGTGGCCAAGGCTTGTATAGTACTTTTCTCAAATAATGCGCGGAAATCAAAAACACTTTTTAAGTTCAATAACGAATAACGAACAATAATAATTTTTCACGCGCCATAATGTTCGTTTGTTTTTTTTTTTTTTCAATAAATAGCTTTCTATTTGCAAGTCAGTTCGAAATCTAAATAAAACCTTGTAGTAGTAACCTCCTTGGTAGCCATGTTTCGAGGTAAAAGATCATACCATTTTTAAATTACAGGAAAGATATGAGTTTACATTGTAATTTGTCTGGTCGCAAAACACGACTGATATGGATTTTCATACAACTTTTGCCGGCCGCCGCCCGCATGTATCTGGCCAGTACGGCAATTTTGATTTATCTCGAAGAAAATTGTCAAAATAATGCTTTCATCCTCATCAGTTAGTCCATCGTGACGATCCCCTGAGAATTAACCACAATGGTATCCAGGGCGAACCGCATGGAAGTTGACTTGATAGAGTATATTAGTATGAGGCTGTTAGATGTTATTACTAACAGTGTCCCTAGAGTAGCAACAGCAGCGGTTACCTGCGGGAAGAGCGCGAGCAGGTCGGCGACGGCGCGGCGGATGCAGTCGGCGCGGACGGCGCGGGCGGCGTGGCGCTGCTGCGGCTCGCGTGCAGCCGCCCACAACTCCTGGATGGCGCGCGTCACGGCCTCGGCACGCCGCTGCACCGCCTCCGCACTCGGCAGCTCCTCCACACCACCCGCTGCACCCGCCGCACCCACTGAGCATTCCTCCAGCGCGCTCTGGGTCAATGACCGCTCCAGTCCCGATATCGTCGTCAGCTGGAACGTCACTCTCGCGTTATTCTAATCTTTATTATTACGAACTGACTCTACTGCTGGCAGTTTCGTTCGCGTACAGATTTTTTTTTTATTAATGTACGGGAATATGTTGATGTATTCGTAAATATTTGCACTTTCTTCCACACACAACCACTCTTTGGAATCAACTTCCAGCAGCAGTATTTCTGAACCGATATGATATCATAACCTTCAAGAAAAGAGCATATTTTTTAAAAGGCCGGCAGCACATCTGCGATGCCGTTGGTGTTGTAGGTGAGCATGGGCAGCGGTAGTCACTTACCATCAGGTAAGCCTTATGCTCATTTGTCCCCAGGGTTGTAAAAAAATATATCAGTTTATACGAAAAGCATTTCAATATCTCTTTGTCTAGGTATCGATGCTCTGTTTAATTCAGAACTAAACAGCACTAAGTAATATGTCCAGTGGTATTTAATATTATTTATATACAATACTTTACTTATTATACATGTGGATTTAATTCCAGAAACCTTAATACCTGGAAGCTTTTAACTAACCAAACTTACATAATAGCTACTACAGTACTACCATGTTTATAAGTCACCACACTGTATCTGTGTAGTTGACATAATTATAGAATGCAAAAAATTTTAAAACATGCTTTTTAATCAAGCTCTAAATACCATAAAATCCAAGAATCGTCATTAGTATTAAATGGAAAATATATTTCTAATACAAATACAATCAAAATAATCAAAATAAATTTATATCAATTGTTACCGCTAGGTGGATAAAGGAAACTAGGTGTAAAATCAATTATATTGTAGATTGTTTTAATTCAGGTTAGTTCATTTATTTCCAATAATGTCCACATTATTTATAAACATAGAGTACTGTACATATTACTATGTTAATTTAAACTCGTTACTTCGTGTCAGACTCACACCACTAAACTACACTATTTTTTTTTTAAGAAATAAGTATATCGTCATATTGCAGTTGTATGCTAAATAATTTGTAAATTATATTTGTCATAGGAAGATATTCTTTTTAAGAAAATAAAACCAATATCACATTTAGATACCTTTTCAATATATTTTTTTTTATACCACTGAGGTGGTAAACTAGCATACGACCCACCTGATGATAAGCGGATACTGTAGCCAAATGAATTAAATCTAAGACTCTCTTCTTACTATGACCCATCTCTTTTTTTTTATTTCAAATATTAAATACACATCCAATCCAAACTCGGTAGGTACTTATTTCTTAAAAATGCACTAAATAATTAGTATATTTAATATAGATTAGTACCTGACGTTTAGTAACCTGCCAGTTATTCTTTGGTCCCTCCCTAGGCTCATACATACTGACCGGGCGCTGCGTGCTTTTCAACGATTGCTTCAAATCTGACTCTTCAGACGAGCGCAGTTCCTCCGATTCTAGACTCCGCCCTCTCTCTTGTGGCTTTGAACTGGATTCTAATGTATTACTAGTAGAGATTTCAGTGCCAGAATTCTGAGATGTCATACTTTGATCATCATCAATACTGTTAGTTTTCAATACACTGTTTTCTTTCGTTAACTGTTCTACTATTGTCTGTAAATTCTTTAATTGATTTTTAAGTTCCGTGATAGTGGAATCTCTGCTGTCTAACTCCTTTTTAAGACTTGCGATTTCACCTCTCTCTGGCACATTACCCAGTGCCATATTAATGGGTGATTGCGTTCTCCGGAAATCTATATTTTGTGAATGCTCGATGGGCAGTGAAGCATTGTATGTGGAAGAAACAGTTTCGCCTGGTCGCGGAACTATGCAGGATAGCTGTGAAACAAATATGTACTTGGAATCAATATTTTTTATAAAGTACTATCTATATTTCAAGAATTTACTTTATTTATTTATTTACACTTTATTGCACCAAGTAAAAAGAGAAATAACAACAGATACAGTAAATATTAATGAGAAGTGATACAAAAGGCGGCCTTATCGCTAAGCAATCTCTTCCAGACAACCTTTGGGTAGACGACACTGAGAAAAAGACAAAGGCTGGGTGGCGCACTATTATATAAATATTATCATATACAAAGAATTTGCTTTCATGTATATTAATACATAATTATTTTTATTTATAATGCCTGGTGAATTTGTTTTGATGGATCAACTTAATCAACAACAATCCAACCTTGGTAAAACAGCAGAATATTAATGTAAATAGTGACATTTGAGAACCAAGTGTAAAGTATCACACACAAGCCCAAGAGGTTTAAGTGGTACTAAAAATCCAATTTTTTTAATGTATGATAATTAAATAAAAAAAAAAAAAACTAACCTGACTCCATCTCATCTATCATCTTTTACTAGTAACCAATAGCACAGGCAGACTTGTCATTCTATAAAAAAGTATAATGCAATATAAGTCTACTCACATCAAGGTCTATAGGCGCCAACGCGGCGTAGTCCTCATCGGAGGCGACCGAGTCGTAGAGCGGCTCGTCGTCGGACAAGTGCGAGAAGTGCTTGAGGTGGGCAGCGTGGGCGGCGGGCAGCAGCGGGCTGAGGGCGAGCGGCGCCCGCGGCTGCAGGCCGGCGATGTGCTGGCGGCGCGTGGCGTCCACCAGCACGTCCCGCAGCAGCGCCGCCAGCTCGGCGGCCGACAGCCGCGCCAGCTTCTGGCGGCCCTGGTTGCGCGGCGCTGATAGCGCCGGGTTCACCGGCAGGAACACCACGCCGCTCCGCTCCAGACCCGTCGCGCTCGTCTGCCATACTGGAAACATACATACATATTTATATAATAAAACTGAATTAGTTTTAATATCCTATTTTTTTTATGCAACTTAGAATGGCAAATAAGCTGACGGCCCACCTGATGGTAAGTGGTAACTGTCGCTTATAGACATGAACAGTACCATGGACATAACAGAGTATACTGTTTCGCCCATGATAACCTCTATGCGTTGCCATTCCTGAGGACTCAGATGTTATTCCTCTGCACCCTATAAATTCACTGCCATATCTCAATATGGCAGTGAATTTACAGGAAGGGTGGCCCTTTCGAACTGAAACACATACAAACACAACTGCTTCACGGTGGAAACACAAATGGGATAGAGGTGCCCAAGCAAACAAAACTATTATATTCTCTGAAACTACTAGTCGGCTTTGAAAAATTCTTTCTGATAGATCATTTCTTAAAGAAAGTTATAAGCTTTTCAATATCACGATATGACCATGAGTAAAACTACGGGTTACAGCCAGTCAATATAACAAAAGTTGACAAGAGATTACTACGTCGCTATAGTATTAGAAGAAAAATACACATATTATTGTATGAGCAGTGAAAATTACTCACTCGCTTCAGTTTCCCGCCGATCGATTTCATCATAGATATCCATCACCAACTCCTCAAAAAGGTGGTTAGGGAGCTGTAAGAAAAAAGGTTAAATGGTTTACTTAAAAAAAAAAAAGTCAAATGTTAGTTCTCATTCATCATACCATTTACAAGTTTTACTTAACTAAAAAATATATTCAAGAGTTATATATAAAAGCACATTTTATTTTGTTTATTTAATGATGGTATAACTCGATCGAAATCTTGTATCTTGATATTTAATGTAATGTTAATGTAAATTGGACTCTATTTTCCGCACTAAGCCTCTCAATATCTTGAGAGGCATGTATGCTAAATCCCTTAATGTGCTCGCATTTATTCTTTAATATCCTTCATACTACTTTACATTAAACAGGAGGTTGTCAATTTATCTAGATTTTTTCTTCAATTATGTAACATATTAGTACAAGACTTATATGCAATTAAAAAAAATATTACAAATAGTAAACTTTATCGAGTTTACTATCATTTCTGGTTGCAAAAAACTGCTCAAAACAAAGTAAAGACTGTATGTAAACATGCATTATTTACAATACTGGATCACATAAATAGTGACATGTTTTATCAAAACATGCAATGTCATAATTTATTAGTGCATTCAAGATTGAGGTCACTTTTTTGTAAAGAAATATTTTTTTTTTTATAGTATATAGGTAGCGACTTATCTGATGATAAGTAACTACCGCTTACCATCTGGTGATTATACTTGTATAAACCTCGTAAACTAGCAAGGTTACATACCAGCTGCAGCTTGCCCCTGGCGGCCTTTGCGACGTCGGTCATCTCGTGCGTGTCGTGCGCGCGCGGCACGATATAGTGGCGGCCGGCCGCGTGGTCGGGCTTCTCGCCCGACAGGAAGTAGATCATGCGGTCGGTCGCCTCGTACACTAGCTCCGTCATGCGCTCCGCCAGCTCTGTGTGCCCGCCTTGTCTGAGGAAACAGGGACATTTTACATTAGCATACAACGATCGGTGTTTTGACACGTCAGTAAACAGAGATTCTGCAGAATAGTACTTCTATCATCAGCCTACAATGATCATGTTTTGATACGTATCGATAAACATATGTAAACATTTGATGACCAATTACTTGCGTGCTAAAATCGAAGAACTAGAAGAATATAACCAGAGAGAGACTGAACAAGAATATTTCGTATACAAGGCCCGCCTTAGCCCGCGCTTCAAACATGTTCTTAATGGCGCCGCCCTGATGACAAAAACACAAACGAAGTCACAACACCTTTATTTAAGATGTCCCTGGGCAAATTTTTGACAACATCTGGCGCTGCCAAATACGACATAGATTGTGTACCAACAGACATTAATAAAAAAGATTTTTTTTCATTAAGTGAGAATGAAATGGTAAAGCCGGTTGCGTTGTGGCAGTATACGCTGCCGGGGTACCAGTGAAAGATTGAAAGGTGATAATGAAAATAGCTCAGTAGGCACCTCGTGACGAATTTAACAATAATTAACTACAATGGTCATCAGGGGAACCGCATGGAGGTCGATCTGTTAGGGTATGATGGTAACAATGTAGCTGTTAGACCTTATTACTAACAATCCCTTTCCCGCCAATAAAAAAAGATCTGTCATTGTTGAATTTGGATTATATGTTGTGTCCATCACACATACACAAGTGTAATAAAGAGTAAGTAACGGGGTGGGGGGGTTAAACCATGCCCCAGGTTGCTTTGTCAAGATACACCTGAGGGTATGTTTTGGCACCTGAGGGTATAGAGGCGCTTTTTTAAGGACCCATGTTTCCCCGAAAAAAATTTACGGCAATGTAAGTGTCAATCGTCGCCAAGTAAATAGGTGGATTAATATGGTGCCTTGTGTGGAGCAAAATTCTGCTTATGCTTGATATAAATGTACAACTTTATTGTTGCAGGAAAACCATTTTATACAAATCACGTCATATTTAGTCACAATAGGATAATTAAGAAGTATGTAGGTGTAAACTGCAGACGTAACACCAATGACCTTTAAACATTTCGTAATAGTTGAATGTGACCATATTTCAGCACTGATTAATAAATTATTGCCCACCACTATTTAGTTACAATTTTATAATAATTGAATAATTTTTATGTCTGTTATAAAAAAAAAAGTAATTAAAAAAAGAACATATTCTGCAAAGCTAGTATCATTGGATATCATTAAATTTTGCAATTTTTTTTGTAGTTATATGTTTCATGGTCCTACTGATATAAATTTGATCACACTGTACAAACCTGGCACAGTCTGATGGTGTATTCCCACTATGGTCCCGTGCAGTGGGATCAGCACCCCACGCCACCAGCAGCTCAGCTTGGGCAGGCTGTCCCGCTCTACATGCAACATGTAGGCATGTAGTACCTTTTTCCTGCAATATGAAATTATTTATATTATCCTAATTTTATAACAGTCTGTAAAAAAAAAAATATTTCAAATGTATTTTTAAAATTTTAATGTAGAATTTAATTTAGATAAATAAATTACTAATAATAACATATTTGAACAACACAATTGAAGTTTGTTTCGTTTGAGACACAATCTTTTATAATTGCTAAATTTTTTTTCTTAAAATTTTATTATGTCTGTATATCTGACCATCCAAGTATATTAATATCATCTTTATTTTAACCATTTCTAATTTCTACTCTTCAACTGAATATAGATTTTACCTATGGTTTGTCACAAAAAACCATTCTGAATCACCTGGGAAACTTACTTTTATTATATTTGACATGTCTTTTAATAAATCAAAATGACAAGGCAATGTTACCTGTGCTATTGGTTTACTTTGGTGTGATGGCAGTGAAGGATGATAAGTGAGGTTGAAATTAGATTAGTTGGCTAAAAATTAACAGTTGAATGATGTCTCCATAAATTCATTTATAAGTTTGTTTTATTATATGAAATGTTGCAACACTATTATCTGATTTCAGTGTTTTCATAATTAATGATTATTTCACCCACATATTTAAGATCAACACAATATAATATGATAATAAATTTATTACCTGATTGTAATAATTAGGGTCAGCTCCTTGTGCAAGTAGTCTCATTGCAGTGTCTAATGAAGAACTCCTCACAGCACTGTGGAGCTGTCTACCCAGTTCACAAGGGGGTTCATCACGACGAGCTCTCAAAACATATGCCAGCCGGAGGTGCTTAGCTTGGATGAACTCTGATTTAATTGGACTAAAATAAAATTGAAAAGCTAATATTAAATTCTTGAACTCATTTAAATAAAAACAAAATAAATCAACCTATTTCAATAAAAATTAACATTGTCACACATGGTGTGTGAAACTAAGAATCTACCTATCTAAAAAACATAGAACAAAATATTATATTATTATATAATAAAAAAATTACAAACATTTTCAGTCTCCCATATTAACTAAAAATTTTTGGTCATTTTTCAATCCATGTTTCTTTGTTGAAGATAGTCAGTTTCACTAGTAAAGAACTTCTCTGGATGGTAACATTTTTAAATTCACTCCGTATGAAGTGGTATTATTAAAAATAATTCTTAATTGGAGATCTGACTTGATTGACTCTCTGTCTACCTAGGCTTATGCCTGTGAGATTAATGTTTAAAGCCAAAATATGTATATTTTATTGACTACTAAATAAATTTACATTGTTTTATATTTTCTACAAGCTATCATTAATTTCACTTTTTATCCTACCAATTATTCAGAAACTGTTAAAGATGTATTTTTTTTTTTACTCAATCATTTAAGTTGAATGGATTTTAGTAAAATTTTAGAAGATAGAGCATATCAAATTCAATAATTAAATATTATATTGATAAGACTTTATTGAAATTTATAAATATAGCTACAAATTAGTAATTAATATTATCTAAATTAATTATATTAATATTTACACTAGATCATTTACTTCTGAAGTTATTATTACCACAATAAAATAGAGTTAATATCAGAGTATAAGTTTCTCTTACTGTAATGGATCTTTTGCTTGTGGTTTCTTCCGTAAGTGTTTAGGTGCTGATGTGTCAAGTAGAGAATGTTCCCAAATACAGTTCACATTTTGTGCAGTGAGAGCTTGCACCATCTGAAGTTTTAAAATTATTTAATATTTCTCAATAAATGGAATCCTAACTATACAAATATTATACAGCTAGTATTGTACCGCTAAAAGTGACGGTGGCCACGAGCCTTGGCGTAAAGACTTCACATGAGAAATATGTCGCCCCATACTTCTGTGTACACTACAGCACTCAGCGCACAGAAGTAGCCCGCGGTTTATGGACGCCCATGACGGATCTGCACCAATAAGCCACCATAGTAGGTAGTTATTAATCACCAGAAGAGTAACATTATAATTAAGATTAGGATCAAAACCAGAACACCGCCCCGACCTGATGCTCCGCAATCAGCACACACTTCTACCGACGATCGGTGTTTAGACCGTGATATCATCATTTTCTATTATTTAAGGAAGACAAGTTTGTATCCAACTGTGGCAAAAACTTTCCGTTACACTGAATTTTTTTAAAAGCTCATTTTGATACAAAAATAAATAAAGCATTTGTGTTGAATTGACTGTAATTGGGAATACGATACGGCGAGGACAAGAACGACTGAAAAATGTCAATTTTATTGTCAGTCAAATGTCAATTATCTGACCAAATTGTTAGGTAATTAAAATGACTGGGTTTACATGAATGGTTAGTGTGAATGTTCTCATTACTATAAAAAGAGTCAATTTTATGAAAGTATAAAAAATGCTTTATCATTAGTATAAATATGGAATAAGGAAACCTGTAGATTTTATCCTTAATAATATGTGTCAAAATGAAATCGTTTCTTTGATACCTCATAGCGCCTTAATGGCTTAATCAATTACTATGAAATTTGATATATACGTATTACATGGAATAACAAAAGATAATTTATATCCGGGTTAATGAATATACTTTGGTTACGCGAACTATAAAAAAAGTCATGAGTAAAAGTCAATATGAAAGAATGTTTAAATTACTTTATCTGAGGTGTGATAGTTAGTTTAAGTGAAACCATAGATTAAAAATAGTGGCCGTATGATCAGTGACATAGTACAATTGTCATTTATCGCTATCGTTCATTGGCTGCTGTTGACATTGACATTTATCAACGCGAATGACACGTCAGTGATAAATTACATTTCTTAATTCTTTCAAATAATAAATTATAATGAAGATTTTAATAATTTTAGTTGTAACAGTTTATTTCTCTTCTGCATTAGCAGAACAAGAAACATTAGTTTTAGTCGACAATTTAAATATAAGGGAAACACATTCTCAGTTTTTCAAATCATTGCAAGGTAAGTTCGTCCGAGGATGGCGTGTCGCGAACCGCCGGTATGTTCCGATAACTCACAATATTGTAGATAAAATTATAGTTATTTGTTATTAAAATCGTAAATGGAAGTACTACTAATATTTTGTTATGTGTTTGTGGGTATTCTCATTTACATTTGTTTCTCTTCAGATCGTGGTTATACTCTTACGTATAAATTAGCCGACGATGCTAATCTCGTACTGTCAAAGTATGGAGAGTATTTGTACAAAAATTTAATTATATTCTCACCATCCGTGGTCGAGTTTGGTGGACAAATAGATACGGAAACCATAACTAAGTTCATCGATGATGGAGGAAATTTGCTCATGGCTGGCAATGCTGCTGCCGGTGATGTATACAGAGAAATTGCTTCCGAATGTGGTTTTGAGGTTTGTTCATTATCATTGTTATTATTATAAATGTTAGTTACCTCTTGGCACCCTTAATTCTTAACTAGTTCTCATGATTTGCTATTTTGTATGGAGAAAAATATCTTAAGTGATAAAATAAAATAAATAAGTAAGTAAATAATGTAAAAAAACTAGGCTACTTTAATCCTAGCTCAGTATATGTTCTGCTAACAAACATATCACTGACTTCATTTTTGTTAAGTTTTTCTATATAGGTGTTTCACTATATGATGATAACATATATGTTAATGCATGCTAGTAACTATAAGAATTGTGTCATTTTGTATGATCATCTCGGCTATTATCTGTCCACTGCTGAGTATAGGCCTTTTCCATATACTACCATAAGGAATGCTCTTGAGCCACCTGCATTTTGTATGCTTCATTATAAATAAATAATTATGATTAATATACCAAAAAAAAATATTTGGGACAAAAACATTTATATATATAAAATTGTGAACAACACAATTTTAATGAATAACATATCCACAGAAGTATATACATTTGCAACCTAATTTTTTTATGTAACTGAATCACACTGTCAAGAAGAAAATTAATTATGTAAAATATACATTATACTATTAATTACAGATGGATGAAGAGTCAGCAGCAGTGATTGATCATTTCAACTATGATGTTTCTGATGAGAGTGACCACACTAGGATAGTGGTGGCACCGAAAAACTTAATTAATGCACCAACAATTGTGGGGGTTCAGAACACCCAGCCTCTCCTGTTTGAAGGGACTGGACTCATATTGGACAGGGACAACAGTTTGGTGCTCCCAATATTGACTGCTGATAGTACTGCATACAGTTATAATCCCAAGAGTCAGGTAATTGGATTTAATAATAATAATAAATAATTACACCAATAACTTATTCTTTAAATAAGAAATAATAATTGATGTATGTTATAAGAAATAAGGCAATGAATGTCTAGACTCATTTAAACTTGAGACAATTGGGGGGGAAAGGGATTGTTAGTAATGGAGATTGAGAATCCCATTGCTAGCAATATACCCAACCAGGTCGACCTCCTCGCGGTTCTCCCTAGAAACTGTCATGATTAATTCCAGATGAATTCATCATGGTGGGCTAACTGGCCTGTTTTCATCCTCATCTATCACCCTTCACTGGTGCTCCGCCAGCGTATCCCGTTAGCATAGGCAGGATTACCATTCCATTTTCATCAAATAAAAAAAAACTTGAGACAATTTAATAATGTTTATATTTATATAGTCTATTATATGACATCAGATGTCATTTGTGCATTATGTAGCTTCAAATTGACTATACTAAATTCTTTGTGTAAGTCCTTGAATAAAGGATATGTGTATCTAAATTTTCCGCTTTTACATAGTCACATAATTAATGAATATAGATGCAGATATGCACCATATGATATGACTGCGATTGATTTATCTTTCACAACTAATATTGTATTTATGAATAATAATTACAATAATAGAAGACTTTTATAAAGTTATAGAATAGGAACTAAACTAATCAAGATATAATAAATCTGAATTGCATTTGCCCTATAGATTGATGGATTGTATTTTTTTAAAGGTGAAAGAGTATCCTCATGCTGTGGGCCGCAAGACGGTTCTCATTGCAGCACTGCAGGCCAGAAACAATGCTCGCATTGTTTTCAGTGGATCACTGTTCTTCTTCTCTGATGAAGCATTCAATTCACCAGTTTCCAAAGTGCATGTAAGTATTTCTTTTAAGATTTTGTGTAGAAGTAAATAAAGTTACTGTTAAAGATAACAGTACTTATCTTAAAAATTCTGCCTTAAATTGTGTATGTATTTTCAATTGACTTCAAAAAGAAGGAGATTTTCATACTACCACCACAGAGTAACATTGGAAAAATATATTAACACCTGAAAGTAATCTTATAGTTCTACAATTGAAGCGAATTGTGTTACCATATTTAAAAACATACTTCATCATATAACCTTGAGATTTTAAGCATAGTCTGAATTAGCTTTTAGTGATCCAGCACTATGTGGCCAGTCATATATGAAAAGATTCCTCCCTTTAGTTGTTCAATCATCTATTATACAGTTTTTATATAACAATTAATTCAGAATTATATATTCACTTGTGAAGCTTATTAAAATAGAATATATCATAAAAATATTCATAGTCTTTATATCTCGAAATGTTTTTTCCATTACTTATATATATATTCTATAATTTTATAGGGTGACAAGGTGAAGTCAGATGTGTCTGGCAACAAAGCATTGGCGATCCACTTGAGCCAGTGGGTGTTTGGAGAACGCGGCCGCCTACGAGTTCGCAGTGTGCAGCACAACAGGGAGGGCGAGAAGGAATCCTCTAACACCTACACTATCACTGACACTGTTGTGAGTGTCACTTTACATACTTACTAGTTAATCTGCTTTCTATCAACAAACTATTCAAAAGCATAATTTGTTGATGGGATAGGACAATTATTTGATGTTTGAAAAATTATAGAAATTCTCGCTTTAGCCTATGGCGTTGCCCATATAAATTACACAATGGATTGTAATACATGTTGAATTAACAGTGAGATCTTCAGAAAAATTAAATCAGAAATTAGTAGAAATTTTTTTAGAAGATGAAATAAATTTCATAATTTAGCATGTAACTTGGTAGAAGTAGTTTAGACTCCAAAGATGGTAATTAAAAATTATGTCATTAAAAAAACTACTAGTAGTTTAACTCTGTAGATAAGAAGGGAGCAAATCCATGTATGAAATCATCATCCCTAGCATTTCCATAAAATATAATGAGATAGATAACTATTCTATTGATGGATTCCTTTGCCATTTGTGTAGGGGGCTGATGTAGTTAATGATATTATGTAGTAATCATATAAAAGGGAAAACAAATAGAAGCTTTCTGATAAAAATCCAAAAATACATTTCAGGTGTACAGAATTGAGATTGAAGAATTGAAGCAGGGCAAATGGCAGCCATTTAAAGCTGATGATGTGCAGCTGGAGTTTGTCCGCATTGATCCCTTCGTACGCACCACACTGAAGAACAAAGGCAATGGAGTGTATGAAGCTGTCTTTAAAGTTCCAGATATCTGGGGTGTATATCAGTTCAAAGTGGATTATGACAGAGTGGGTTACACAAGGCTTTACCATTCTACACAGGTATGGAGGTTCTTTCTTATTAGATTACAAAATTTTCTGTAATATGATTCAAATAAATATGAGCATTAGAAATATCTAAAATTAACTTGTGTGTAATATGTGAGACGGAAATAGCATGTGTCATCCCTGTGGGATATGACAATAATTTACAGGGTATTTCCATCCCGAATTGTATTAAAAAAAAGGACCAGCTTGATAGCTTGTTTGCGGCACTTAATATCAGAGGGTCTTCCATGAAATGTTTTCCGAAATTTCGGAGCGGAACGAAACACAAATTTGATGTTAAAATTACATAATACTTACCGTTTAAAAACATATATTCTTTATTGCACTTGAACCATAGACGATAGAACATATCGATTAGTTTAACAATTTGTTAGCAAGGGAGGAAAATTAAAAATATTAAAATATTATTCCTTTTGACTTATAAGGTAGGATTTATGACGAACGAAATGTTAAACTCCATTCACTGGACCGATTTATATATGAACGAAAATACGAAATTTAGTCCGAAATTTCGGAATTTTATGGCCCCCAGTACCGGACTACATAAGGCGGGGAGCCTGGTCGGGTAGCGTACCGTTACGGTGAGATCTAAATATGATTTAGAGGTTGGTATTTAAAGTCATATTTTCAGTATTTTTTTGTCATAGGTAGGGAACTATCAGAAACTTCTCCAGGATAAAAGGAAGGTTAAGGCTACCTTGATTATATTATTTTATATTGAACTTTTTGGTTTGCAGGTGTCAGTGCGTCCATTACAGCACACACAATATGAGCGGTTCATACCCAGTGCATACCCTTACTATGTGAGCGCATTCTCCATGATGATCGGCGTGTTTCTCTTCTCCTTCGTCTTCCTTTACTACAAGGAGGACACACCTAAGTCTAAGAGTGAATAAGCAAATTCAATTACTTACCTTTTATATGTCACGAAAGTAGTTAATATTTTTTTTTATTGTAAATGGCATAGTGTGTGTGAGTTGTATGTATTGTCACTAAAATTATGTTATTTAATTTCATGGTAATAAAGATTATTTCCTTATTTTTATTATTTGGTAACATTCATTATGAGGATCCTAGCAAAGTTGAGGCTGGTGGTGAGTTAAAATGCCACTTGTGAACATAGGTAGTACAACAATTTTCTGTACATATTAAAATTCAAGATGGCAGAAGAAGACTACAGAATAGACGTTTTTCAGATTTGTTAATAATGCCAGTGGTTATCATTAGCAAAAGATTAATTAAGCAACTTTATTTTCCGTATGTTTTGATGCCTGATGACGAATATTAACGTTCCATAGAACACTTGGCACATTCTTCAGTTTTCAGTAGACTTACTAGCTTGCTCCCTTATTCATAAAAACGTCAAACCTCTCATAAACCTATTTTAGCTATTGATTTCTTCTTTTACAATTTGAAAAATAGCAACAAAACGCTCTAAATGTTAAAATAGGTTAGTAGGACGTTTTAGTTTTTATTAATAAGGGGGTTAGGTAGTTACATTTTTTGGAAATGCCCTAACATCAAATGTATTTTCGACTAATTCCAACTGTAAAGAAAGGATTATATATTCATGAATGAAATTACAATAAAAAAAGAATCAAATTAAAATTTTGTATATATTGCACAAAATACTTAAGCAAAAAATAAGTGCTTTTTTGATGGGAGGTATAAATTGATATTTTGAAAATAAATGAGATCAGTATTTCTGAATAAATATGATTTTAACACTTTTAACATAAAAGAGCATATTCTTTCGCACACCTATAATGTCTTTAATGTTGCGGTTCCTTATGAGTATATTATGATTACAATTAGGTGAACCGTATACTGGTTTGACCCCTATGTTATAAAAAATCCACTGTCGTGGATATCCGTTTACATTTTACGGAGTCCCAATTCATATTTTCGCTGGCATATTTAATTGATCTCTTAAGGATTCTTATTAGGGACTATTCACACTTATTCAGCTCTATTCAGCTTTCGTCCATAGGAAACAACGATTTTGTAAGGAGACGTGTACGCATCCATTCAGCTTTCCACGTCTAATCTGCTTTCGTAGCAACTCAGTATAAAATGAAGATAAATGTGTATTTATCATGCGAATTTTATAGAGAGCGTCCGGAGCTGTTTCGCTGCGTTTAGCGCTGTTCCACCGCGTTCATCGTCGAACGCGGTGAAACAGTTCTTTACAAGGATGTTTCACGACTCCTTGTCGACAAGTTGCGACCTGTATTGTTTCTGCATTGATTTGATTTATTATTGCGCAATTACTATGTACGCAAGGATTAAAGAATGCAGACGTATTTTTTAGTAATTATAGTTATTTTACGAAATGTAGCATATTCAACGCCGTACATAGTAGATGAGCATTTTAGCGGAGATAGCACGCTTTAGCACGCATAGGCTTTTCTCATTCTTACGACGCCGTACGCGGCTAATAAAAGCAGAGCTGTATTAGTGTGATCAAAATCGTTCAGCGAAACGCGAATAGAGCTGAATAAGTGTGAGTAGTCCCTTACGGTCTATATAGGTGTGCTGTTCTCCTCGTATGGTAGGTAGGTGTAGGAAATAATAAACAATAATATGTCACAATGCGACTCACACGACCACCCGCCCGGACGTCACCCAGAGGAGTGGCAGGAGCGGGGGGACTTGCAGTCTCAACTTTAATGAGTACATCACATCTCTCCCTTTTCAAAATATTTTAAAATTAATAATAGAATATGAATATTTTTACTCTAGGAAACTTAATTATTATTTTTTAAGCATTTTTGAATAGTCATTTTTTTTATAAATCTACCGCCCATTCGGAATGCAATTTCAGCTAAGAAGAACGGGCAAGAAACTTAGCTGTTGCTTTTTTCAAACAAAGTTGAGTTTACAACAAAATGTGAAGGATATTACTCACAAATTTCATATAGATACAACTACAACAATATAGTTTTACATTACAGTCATAGGTAACTAAAATAATATCATGATATTACCATATATATTATGTTACAAAATATAACTTAGGCAACTAAATATAATAAGACTGGTTTGTATAAAAATAACTATATGACTATTTCCTCTCGAAGTCCATCGAGATCTTTCTTTTCATCATCCTTATAATTTCTTACTGATCTTTCATCTTCTTAAGTATATTATTGTGTATATTTCATCTTAATTCTTGTCCCATAATTTCTTATAGATATAGCGCCAATAAGTATATGTATACAGGGATTGAAGTATCGCATATATATTTTCTTTAATTATATTCCGAATACACTTTCTCCTATTTTCAATATCTATGTCACTATATCTTTCCCTTCCAATTTTAAAATGTTCTTTTATTGATTTGTCTCTGCCATTCTAAATAAATCTCATTATTCTTAGCATGTACAATAGAAGAGATTTTATCTCTAATGACAAATCAATAATGTGGCATGATATTGTAACTTATGAGGTATAGCAGGAGTTTATCCCTCCAGTCAGATTTTGGGTTTTAATTTATTTGTACACGTATTATAATGTCACATTTTTGTATTCTACTTGCTTCGTTCTACTGCGGTCGATATGGTGTCGAATAGTATAGTTTAATACCAAATTCTAAGCAGTTATCCAATGTTGTGCTGAATAAAGTGTCAAGTCTTGTAAAATTTCTTTTATTTATGTACTTTTAAGAAGATTTATGGTCTTATACTAAGTATATCAGAATTCCAATTAATAATTCCTACAATACATACACTGACAATATTAGAGACGTTACTATTTATAATCTCAATATTTACATAAGTACGTCACATTTATTATAGTTTAGACATCGATTAATTTTAGGAATGTTACATAATATATTGTTTTAGATCAGATGTAATGTAGACAAAATTTTATTTCTTCATGAACATTGATTACAACATCTATTATATGTACCGAGACTGGTATCAATCCTTTGTACCTTGATACATAATCTACTGTTTATGGCAACAGTGCCGGGGTGCCAGAATAATTATCATGAGTCGTAGCGAATGCTCGTCTACGCTATCTCAAATGAAATAAAAATAGAAAACCATTAATAAAGGACTCAGAATTCGTATTTAAAGAGTTTGTAATGATTGACTTTAAGGTTCAGTTTTCCTGGGAGCATCTAACTACTAATTGCATGGCTTATAAAACTTAAGTGTCCACAATTTACTAACTCTTTTTGCTTTGAAATTACGAATTACTGTAAATGTTTGCTTTTCTTTCCAGAACTCTGAATACAGTATATTTAGCGAGCTTACGCCTTAACATTTTACGTATTTGTTCAGTCATTGTAGCCAAATTTTGAGTCCATTTTCTTTTATTGTGTACCAATAAACTGATAAAGATAGATAAGTGTGACTGTGTACAACTTGTAATTTAAGATATTGATAATATACAGTTATATACATATATCTAAAATATTTACGCATAAAATCTAAATATTATTATAACACATTATCATATTTATTTCTCAAAATAGGTTACTAGTTTTATAACTTTAAAATTTTCCAAAAAATTGGTTTTCTAAGTGATTCTATAGTCTTTAGGGACTTACAAGTAATACTTTCTGAGATTAGCTCATGCCCTAAAAATTCTACTTACGATTGATTAAACATGAACATAAATCCTTTATTAATACATTATTTGTAACCTACGTGTACAGATATGTAGGTATATTATTTTGCCTTACAAAGTTAAAATACGTTGAACACATTTTTAAACTTTCGCGTTGTGAATCGCGAATTTAAATAGATGTAGGACATGTTTTAGCCTTACATCATTTGTTCGAAATTAAAATATTAACAAACAAACAGTTAATCTTGTGTAAGATATTTAATACATGTTTAGGTGTCTTATTCATTTCCTTTATTTGGGATTATTTCCAATTATTACATTTAAAACATTCATGTGTATATTATAATATACCTATTAGTTGGTGGTTTACATGTCTTGCTACAAAACCGTGACCAATATTTGTTTATATTTAAACTAAGGTAAGTCTCTGTTATTAAAAATAAAGATACTTAAAGTAATAAATTATATTTATATAATTTATAGATTTTGACACGTTAAATTACAAGTATCATTGTTACACAGACTAAATAATATAATATTTAGTCACTGTAAACAGAGATTTGGTAAATACTGTTTAAATAAACAGAGTTTTAATTATTTATTGTAGTAGGATCGTAATCGAAACGAAATAACCACTTGCTTGTTATAAAAACTTAAGTACATTCTAATCTCAATTTGATAAAAAGCATCTTTTAAGCCAGGTTTAGATAAAGATAAATTTATTTGCATAAACAAATCACGTTGTGTGTGTGCAGTAAATACATATTAGGTATTTTAATTATGTAGTAATTGTAACATGTTTTTTACCAAGATTAGCATGCACATTTTTTGTTTAGGACTTTTCCCTTGACAGACAGATTCATATTCCTTTTTTCTATTCTTTAAAATAACTATGACTAGAGAAACTCAATTCGCAGCTTTGTCTACAAGTTCGATTATATTTTCTGTTTATTTGAGCTATACTATTTTATTTTACTAAACACTTGATTTTATGATCAATATCTAACTGATGTTCATTTAGATATTGAATTTGAATTTTGGATTTTTTTTTGTTTGTTTTGTGTTTAGTAAATTAATATGCAACTTAATTGTAATATATAATGAATCATAGCAGTCTCTTAGGTACACAATAAGCTGCGAGTACAATTTTTCTCTACTTCTTCCAGATCCAACCAAGACTGACATTTTAAATGGGCCCAGTACATCAACGAGTCTTTAGGACTCGATATGTCCTAGAATTTTGTCAGATTTTTCTTGGTTAGTTTTTTTTTTTTTTTTTTAAGTAGTTTTAAGTAGTCCTAGGTTTTGTCGACTATTATTATTATTGTTACTTTTGTACCCGAATTGATGGGTATATAATATTATGTCAATTATTATGTTAGTTTTGTACCCGAATTAATGGGTATGTTAGTTTTGTACCCGAATTGATGGGTATGTTACTTTTGTACCCGAATTGATGGGTATGTTAGT